TTAATTGTAGTTTGTGATTTTCTTAGAACAATAGGAAAAGGAGAATAGAAGAATTTGCATGTGAATAGTGAAAATTGTTCCAGATTGTTTTGGGATTTTTATTTAATGTCAAGTGTTTTAATGGGGGTTGAACTTTTGGTTTAGAAGGGGTTCTATTATCAAATAACTGCAGTTTTTGAAGGACTTTTTTTGAAAACTTTTGGAATTGCTTGTTTGAAGCTATTCGTTTATCTTGAATATGATTTTTTAAAAGTTTTGAAATTTGACTTGCAGCTTTTGATATTCTTCAATGACATGATTTTTAAGGATCATCAATTGTGACGCAATGAATGATTTTTGACGCAATAATTGTAGTCAAAACATGACAAATCGATAAAAATTATAATTGTCGAGGAAATTTGTATTACTTAACATTCTGATTCAAATACCAATTAGGGTTCTTGAATGATCAAGAAGGTACAATAGATTCTATCAACGATCAGGATCGCAGTGCCTTCAGCTCGTCGCAACGTGTAGTAGCACATCACTTGGCTGTAACCCTAGCACATTATTATTATGATCAAGACAAATTTAAGGATATTTTGGGGTGCAGCTATTTAACATTTTTGCTAATATCACATTTTCTGGTATTAGGGTAAATATTATATGTTTTGCTTTAGACTAGATAGAAGTCCATGCCTTAAACATATCACATCTTGGGAACCCCTCTTCAATTATTGTCATAACAACAAAAAAAGGATTCTCAAAACAGAAAAAAAGGTCAAAAATACTAAGACGTAAGATATTTCGAAGAAAACCTCATAACAAATTTACCGTTGGTGCCAATAAAAATGCGCAATAATGATCCACGTGTGACAAAGGAATTTTTGCACTTATAAATTTTTCATTATTTCCTTCTTAACGTTTCTTTAATTCTTTTGCTACGCGAGGAGCTATTTTATGTGTAAACATTAAGTTTTATTAGTCCAATAATAACAACCGCCAAAAAAATAAAAAGATTTTTCCTTCTCTCACTATTGTTTCTCTTCCGATCCGGAAAGCCTACAAAGCCCAACGCGGTAGAACAAAACAAAAAAAAATACACACAACTAATAGTTGGTGGAAATGCAATAAATGTATATATACAAATTTACCACACAAATTGCTTATTGCATTTTTATGCCTGTTTATAAATGCTATGTGTCTCATTCGGAATAATTTTTAGTTCTTTATTATTATTTTTTTGTACGTGTGTATTTAAAATCATGCTATGTTGAATTAATCCAAAAATAATTGAAATTATAATACAAAATACATAAAAATTTATAGATTATTACATTTTTTTGCATGTATAACAATTATTAGGTTGATGATCAATACACAGCGATTCTCACTAAAATAAGCCGAATTTTTATTTTATTTGATAAAAATTTTTATTCTAAGGCATCACTAATAAATTTCATTTTATCGATATTATTATAATATGTATGCTTAAAAATCGGAGAGGACTATAATAACTTTTAAAAGCTTTTCTTTTTATTTTATTTTATTATTTTTCTTTTCTTTTTCCTTAGACTAGAATTTTTTTTTTCTTTAATGAAAATAGCACTTTTTAACGAGCTTAAATATTATATGAATACAAACATAACACATAAAATTCACACGAAAATTTCTTTAACCAATAAAATGTTTAATCCTGCTTGTGCATGTTTATTTATTTCATTTTTTCCAGTTTTATTTTGTCCTTTAAAAACATAATGCAGTAAAATAGATTTACTGCAGTTCTTTATCTCTCATGGTCTATATTTTCCTTATTTTCTTTTTTTTCCTTTTCTTTTCTATTAAGTGTATTTTTTTCTATTTTTCTTTCACACTCAACCGCTTGATGGCGAAAAGCAGACTGAAAGAAAATTTCTTCGAAGTTGTGAAAATGTGCACGGAAAAGATGGAAAATTTCTTGTTTATTCGGAACTATCGATTGCGACTTGTATTATTCTCAATTTCTCTCTCACTTGCTCTTTTTATGCTCAATTCTGGAGAGAGTTCTTTAATGCTTTTCTAACACTTTCTCTTTGCTCTTTTTTTTTCTTCTTTTATGTTGCTGTTGATTACTTTATGTATGTTTGGATACAAATCTTTTATTTTTTTTCTTCTCAAAAGAAAATATTATTATTCTAGATGATTATGTGTAGCTAACTGTGCATCATTATCATATTATGTCGTCTCTATGATCATTAATTATCACACTTTTCATTAGTCTTTAATGAGGACTTTATGACACTTAATTCTTTTAGCGCCAAACTTTTATATTCTATTCGCGGCATATTTTTGTATTAATGTTTTCTTATGCTGCACATCTTATTCTTAGAGGACAAACTTTTTGATAATTTTGTGGCACACCTGAATTATTTTTATATCACCCTAGACCAAACTTAACCCTCGGGCTCAAATAACCAGAAATGTGATCGGTCTAGTGCTTATTTGGAATCGATTCGAGTTGCATAAGTCAGTTAAGCCAAAAAAAACATGATGTCATGCCGGCATGACTCTAGCATAGTACTCGCTTCGATTTAAATCCATGCTAGACATTAACCGGCTTGTGCCATTCGCGAATTGGCACTTTAATCCAACTTTACATTAGCTATACTTCAGAAGTATCTTTTTCTAGCCATGACTCTTAAACTATGGTTTGTAATGCATTCCTGCGTCACCAAAAACTCAAAACGTAAAATACACGAGGTCCACAATGTTTTAAAACTTCTGTTTCTAAGATTGAAGTTGGTCACTCCTGCATTAGCGTCATTAAAACCAAATGAAATGCCATAAAACTCTAATGCCTTAAATACATTTTTCATACCAAATAAAACAGCACAAGTCATTCACACCAAAAATTAGGAATTCACTTTCTTACACAATTTTTTTATTTTTTACCGACTATAAAATAATTGAAATTCAGACAATTTACGGTATCATCTGCAAAAAAAAAGATCCGATCGTCTTACAGTTCATACAGAAACTAAAAAATAACTATTACTGAACATAGTACGCAACCCAGTGCTATCCATTCATCGACTCTCAGCTGTTATTATTTTCACGTTTCGTACATAAATAACATCACAGGAGGGACATGAGTGAGTACGTAGAAAAAAAATAGGGAGAGAAGAAGGAATAAAAAAATTTTCATAAATTTATTGGCTCAGCTAGCCGCAAAACGAAAAATATTGAAAAATCTTTCTCTGTTTCATCTCATTTCACCTTTAAAAATAATTCTGTGATATATCTCCGATTCTCATTGAGATGCTTAATGCTCATAAATATAAAATAGTGACGCAATTTACTAACAAATACTTTAAATTAAGCTAATTTGTGTCGATTTTCTTTTTCTTTTGTGCTGAGTACACTCATGTGAATATGAGTTCGGCTTTGCTTGCTTTTGCATGATCATGACCAATGACTTTGAGATATGGAAATGTTATGAAAAAATTAAAGTAATTAAAACATTTCAGCTTCGTTTTTTATCTCTTTACATTTTGTTTATTATTGCATTGATTTCATCTTTTTTGCATTTAAAATTTTTAAGGTTTTCAAATGTTGAGATTAATTAGTTGTAAATTATAGTATGTAGATTGTTCCGGTTCTAGGTAATTGAAGGCATAGTCGTGCATTCTTTTTTTCTGATAACTCGTGAAATTTTAATATTATGCATTTAAGTTTAATCATAGGTTGATTCTCATTCTAATTTGGTACACATCCTGATTATATTGAGATAAAAACATACAATAAAGAGTTTACAACCCCTAAGTGTAGAACATCAATTGAACAATAAGAATGAGGATCAGTCGTAATTGGCAGATTACAGATTTATACAATTTTAGAAATAGGGGTCGATTCTACTCAAAACTGGTTTTATAAAACGTCATTGTTTGATGTCAATTTTATTTCATTCTATTGCTAATTTTACCAACTCTTGTATTGATAGTTCCAACTGGATTCCAACAGCATACATACTTTTTAATAAGGATCTCTTTTGAGCATAGAACAAACAAGGGCACAGAATCAGGATCGTTGACTTTAGAGGAAGTTGGAGTCTAGAATTTTTTTATCATTAAAACAATGTATCCATAATACTTTGGAGATAAAAAGGAAGAAATTTTATATCCTTACTGATTGTTACGGTTCAAAAATTCAAAGAAAAAAGACTTTCGAGAATCTCAAGCCCGAGTGATACAATGTAGTCATTAAGGTTCGAAACAGTGTGCGACTCAGAAAATAAATCGCACTTTTGTGAAAATAAACGGTGTTCTTTGCTTACGATTCACCTTAACATTTACAAAAGCAATGAAAGATCTAAGCCACTTTTAACCATCCTTGATTGCATGATTAATTCCTTAAAAATTTACATTTAAAAAAAATCAAATTAAATTGAATCGTGACAGTAAATCACAACTTTTAATCTACAAATAGAACTCTGCAGTATTTAAAAGATTGATGGTCATTCTAGTCATAATTAATTAAAATTTTCTGTGCTCAATAAATTTTTTAATATTTCTGAAAGCTTATCTAATAGGGTAAGCATTTAGGAGGCTATTTGTCATGTTCAGCGAAAAAAAAATGTTTACAGCTTCAAAAAATTGTAATACGCTCGTCCGAAACAAGCTTGATTTCCATCTAATTAACCTCAATCAAATCAACCCTTAAAAAATAAAAATAATAATAATAATAAGTAGGATCATGTTGAGTTCATAATAAATAAAGATGACAAAATTAATCTTAAAAGTCACTATCAATAATGTGCTCATAATTATGTTGCTTATGTAAATAATGAACTTCCTCCTGCAATCGTTAAATTCATTAAGTCAAGTTATCGTGTCGATATCATTAATTCATAAATTTGAGCATGAATATTCAATGTTTAATTCCTATTGTAATAAAAAATATATTTTGTCATATCTTATGAATAACATAGTAAAAATTATAATTAAGGGAAGAACATTAAAACAAAAAGAATTTGGAATTAACATTCACAATGATTTTTGCTTCTCATTTGGGAATTTTCCAGCACATGTGCTGAACTTTATTTGTGGAAGAACGCATGTAATTGGACTAAAGGTTAATGCCTTGCCAAATAATTTCTGCTTCACTGCCTTTAGTCTTCGACTGCATCTCCTTGACGATTGTGATTTTTTCATAAATGACATCTGTAATGAAAAGATAATGAGGATTAAATGGTGACCTAATAGAATCACGTATTAGTCAATAATAATAATAATAATCTCTTAATGGCACTTTGCAGGTTAATTTCTCGTCTCTGTCTGCATAATGAGTAGAGTAGAAAATGTAAATCATGCATGAAAAATTTTCGCTAGAAAGCAATTTAAATTAATATTTCCAAGTTTGTATAGAAAATGAGGCATTTACACACGATGTCAAGTTTAATACTTGGAAACTTTAATTTTTATAATGTTGAATATTATTCTCTGCAGAATTATTTTTGCATAAATTTTATTTAAGCTTTACATTTGCTGACTTTTTAAACTGTGTATTTATTTAAATTTATCTGTGAGTCGTGTACAAAATTAAATTTTTCGCAATATTTTCATTACTTTAAATCGCAGCAAGCTTATGATTACTTTTGCTCTTTTGGAATATATTGCTGTTGAATGGGTGATACAAAGTATGGAATTTTTCGTTATCAATATCTGCTGCTTGATTTCGAGCTTGTAGTTTGATCATTTTGGGGTACGTTAGTTCTTTTGTAAGGCGCTGTGAATTATTGATATTAAAATACTTATTTAAGTTGAAAATATTTATTTCAGGAAGCTGATATTGCTACAGTTCTCCATGTAAATCGCTTGATATCGGCTGGACATATGTTCAGACGCTCACAAGATACTCCAGTATTATAAGTGGCAGTACCAAACTTTATGGATGGCAAGTAATCACGAGGAAGACCGAAGAACTCGTAGATTGGATGTGTTGAAAAGGATGCTAGAGTCCTTAATATCTTGAACTGACAGAAGGTTTCTAAGGATAAAGATGCCTTCAGACGATCTCTAATCGCGGCAATGGGCCCAAGTTCACCCCAGCCAAAGAAGTAAGTAATAAAATCCACATAGATCCAACTCCCTCCAAAAACCAACCTCTCAACCATTATATATTGTTGTCAATAAGACAAAGCTTCCCACAATTTTCAATTACAAGATTTAATATCGATTATGACTCAAATGTCGAAGTTCCATTTCTACATTCTATGCAATGACACTCGATGATAAGAATCAAACACACGTTCTGCATCAAAAATTACCTTTTTTTCCTGTCAAAAATTCCGATCATAGAGATATGTCTCTTGAAGTGACAGATTTGTCTTTTCATAGTTTCGTTTCCGAAATTCATACTGAATGCTGACTTAACATGTTTGATATAAATTGATTTTCCAACATTTTCAATAGAATTTTGCCAAAATTTAATTCAAAATTTTATCACAAACAAAACTATCAGCAACGTAATAATCATTTTCAAGTAATGAGCTCACCTCATGTTCCCCAATTTGTAGGAACCGTAAATTAATTCAAATTAAATTAACTTCTAGAAACAAACAAAAATTTGCAATTAAACGCATTTCAGTGGTATAAATGAATTTTAATTCCAGCAGTCATTATCCCCAAAAAATCTTCTTACCTCGCCCGTATTATGGTTTAAGGTTAAAAATATATTCAGATAACCGACGAGTGAGGAAAAAGCGATTTTATAAATTTACATGGGCCCCGACAAAAAAAAAAATTATTCGTGAGTGACGCTTTAAATCTTAAATATCTCCAAAACCACAAAAGTGACAAATTTCAAAGTTATTTTATCTTGTAGGAAACAATTTCTATCTTTTGACATACAACTCACTTCCTAAAGTTAAGCAGTTATGTCAGAAAATCACTTTAACTAAGCGTCACTCACGAATAATTTTTGGGAATTTTCCCATAACTTTGTCAGTTTTCATTGATATATCTTCAAATGTATTTTTTTAGATCCGAAATTTTATTTTCTTTTGATTGGCTTCAAAAAAAGTAAAAACTTGTCCCCGAAACATACTTAAATGAACAAAATTAAGTTTAAAAAATTTTAACGGTTTTAAATTTTTTGAATTTTTTTTGTAGTGAGTTGTTTGTTTACAAACAAAAATTGAAATGAAATTTCAAAAGTCATGAAAATTTCACCCAATAATAATGGTAAAGCTCTTAAAATAGACAGAAAAGCTAATGTATCGTCTACTTTTCGTAATCATATCATAATATTTGGATGCTGGGTTATAAGTCCAGAGATTAGAAGTCCAGATACAAAAACCGAGCACAGAAAATTATAAGTCCAGAAAATCAAAGTTAATAAAGGTTTATAAGTCCAGATACAAATTGCACCTGGACTTAAAAACCTCACGTGCAGTTAATAAGTCCAGGTACAAATACAGCTGGAATTATAAACTGCATGAGAGGTTTTTAAGTCCAGGTACATATTATATCTGGACTTATAAACCTCACGTGTGGTTTATAATTCCAGAAAATTTTTTAAATTTTACTAATAAACTTCTAGTGCGATTATAAGTCCAGATACATTTTTCTGGACTTATAATCCTTGAAAATTATTTTTGAAACTATTTCAATTTTTTCCTTTAAAGCAATTCTACAAATGAACTTTTCTGATTTTTTTTTTCCTTTAAAGTACCTTATATATCCTTTTCAGCTGTTGTATTTCATTAAAATCATTATAATAAATTAAACGTTTTATCTTCCAAATCATTGCTTAAATTGAATTTTAAGGAAGTTTTAGAAGATAAATCAATTTTTCTGATGTAAATTTACATCTCTGAAAAACTTCAGCTTTTATTTTCCTAATACGTTTTAAAAAATTATTTTTTAAAATTAAAATTTTATTTTATATAACGTGGCAAGTCAGATAAGCTTCGCTTAGCATATGGTTGAGATTTAAAGCTTAACAAACATTCTATAATGTTTTTTTTAAAAAAAATTTATTAACCAAATTTTAATTTTATAAACAACATTCTAATCAAAGAAATTATAGTAAACTTGATTTTTTAATATCATTTTTCACGGATTTGCCTTAAGCGTTGGTATATTACATTAGTTGCAATAAAATTATTCATTTTTCTGTTAATTGGGTGTCTTTCAAGACAATTTAAGTATGCAGAATCATAGAAAATGATAGAATGAACGGATAGTGTCATAAGAAAAAGCGAGATCGTTTGGGGAGTGTTGCATAGACCGGGAAAATAATTCTACAGAATTCTGGTAAAAAATTCTGATCAATTATTCTAGCAGAATATTAAAACAGAATTTCCAGAACTCTCCAGAATTCTGAAAGCTTATTCTGATGATTCTGATGACAATTTTTTTCCTTTTACCAAAATAAATTTTGAAGAATTCTGATTCAAGCAGAATTTTTTTGTCAGAATTCTGATAATTTTAAAATCTCCTTTTTTAAAAATAATGTATATCAAGAATGAAATTTTTTAAAGGTTTTATTAAAAAAAAACTTTATTCATAATTTATATTTAAAATGAGTGTGTTACATAGGATAGACAGAATAATTCTGCAGAATTCTGCTCAACAGTTGCGCAATAAGTCTGCAGAATTATTCTGATAAATTCTGCAGAATAAATCTGAAGATTATTTCTGATGAATCTTCAACAGTATAGAATTTTTTTTTTCAGAATTTAATTTCCAAATTCTGCATAATTAAAAGTTTTGATGAATTACGTTATCGTACTTTTCTTCAACGTGTAAATGTAATTGTAAAAGCAACATATGGATTAAAAACTGAGTGATTATGCAGAATTTGGAAATTAAATTCTGAAAAAAAAATTCTATACTGTTGAAGATTCATCAGAAATAATCTTCAGAATTATTCTGCAGAATTTATCAGAATAATTCTGCAGAATTATTGCACAACTGTTGAGCAGAATTCTGCAGAATTATTCTGTCTATCCTATGCAACACACTCATTTTAAATATAAACTATAAATAAAGTTTTTTTTAATGAAACCTTTAAAAAATTTCATTCTTGATATACATTTTTTAAAAAAGTAGATTTTAGAATTATCAGAATTCTGCTTGAATCAAAATTTTTATATTTTCCATCAATAATAATTTACTTTTATTATAAATGATGAAATTTGTCAAAAGTGTAGCTTGAAAGTTCAGAATTACAGTATTTTCTATCAAAATTTTTTTGTAATTTCTTAACGGATTAGGAAAATTTAAGCTCTTGCGTTCCTTTTTGACAGAAAATTGACGTTCGGAGAATCGATTTATCTCGATAATTAAGCTTTATTACTGGAGTTTGGAGCATTTACATTCCTAAACAGATCTTAATCTATCATTAAGTGTACATTTAATGCTGCAAATATGAGGATTTGATATGCAACTATATGAAATTTTTGATTACCCTGTTGAAACTTTTACGAAATTCTATTTTGTCACAAAGCAACGGGCCGAAGAATTCAAATATCTTAATAATTAGGAAATAAAAAATTACATCAGATAAACTGAAAAGCTTGTAAGGTTTAATGAAAAATTTCGACAAAAAATTCATTTGATGTCAAAATTTTTGCAATTTACCCTACTGGAATCGCCTATTGTCAAATGCAATAATAATTTTCAAGGATTATAGGTCCAGAAAAATGAATCTGGACTTATAATCGCACTAGAAGTTTATAAGTAAAATTTATAAATTTTCTGGAATTATAAACCACGCGTGAGGTTTATAAGTAGGGTTACCATCTAATTTTCATAAAAATACAGGACTTTTGGTAAATTTTTTCGAAAAATACAGGACTTAGAGTAAAATTCGAAAATTAACGGAAATTTTCGTGAAAAAAATACAGGACCTGGAACAAAGTTTTCAAATTTATACAGGACAGGGTTTTGAAATACAGGACTGTCCGTTGTAAAACTACGCAGATGGTCACCCTATTTATAAGTCCAGATGTAATATGTACCTGGACTTAAAAACCTCTCGTGCAGTTTATAATTCCAGCTGCATTTGCCCCTGGACTTAAAAACTGCACGTGAGGTTTTTAAGTCCAGTGCAATTTGTATCTGGACTTATAAACCTTTATTGACTTTGATTTTCTGGACTTATAATCTCTGGACTTATAGTTTCTGGACTTATAACCCAGCATCTAATATTTGGAAATAATGATTGAATAATTAAGATATTTGAGAATTTAATTTTTGATGTTTTGTAAGACAGTGTTAGTGAATTTCAAATTTAATTTTTCCGTTGAGTAATAATCATAAAAAAATCGTCGAGGCCCACATGCAAAAAAAATAATGTTAGGGCATTGAATAAAATTTCCATTTCTTATGGTTTTTTACCCAATTTCAAACGACACCTTTCCTAATTCTTTACACAATGGATAGAAACAGGGACAACAATTCATATTTGCTGTATTTTTGCTGCATAGTAATTTTCTTGCTTTACTGTATTGTATTCAACGAACTTATGAGTGTTAACTCGAAAGAGCTTTCATAAAAAAAATCTATAGTAGCATGGAATAATATTTTAATTAATTAAAATATAATTATTCAGTATACTGTCGTAGTGCTCGTTCATTTTTTAATATTTCTCGTCCATTCTTCTTCTTTTCCCTTTTATTTTTGAGTTAAGCTTTTTGTTTAATACACAAAATATATAAAAACAGAAGTTCCATAGATCACGTAAAATTATTGTGTATAAAGGCATTATTCAAATTAACAAGCCCCTCCAAATGAATTTCAATGCTCATTCATTAAAACCCAAATTAAGTTATTAATCCATATAGAAATATTTTTTTTTTTTGAGGAAAATTGAGGACATTTTGGCTTGTGTGTGGATTAAAAGTAAAGCATGATGTACATTTGATGTTTTTATGAGTGTTTGCTTAGCATTTCATTATAATTCAATCGCAATAATTAAACAGCATGCTACTAATCTAACCATTAAAACTTCTATTCTACTACGCAGTGACCTAGTCTTTCTACCTCCGATTCCTTTTGTACTGTATCCTTAAGGACTTTATATTATCGTAGAATCGTAACATTAACACTTAAATTACACCGGAATGTGGCTGACAGGAACTTATCAAAATTTTTTTGAGCAATATTCTCTAAGAATCTAGTTGTTCATGACATTCTGTTTACGCAAAGCCAGCAAAATAAGTGTGAACTTAAGCAAAGAATTTTAAACTACATCCAACACACAAATTGAGCTTAATGACTAGATCAGTAAATCGTACTCGAACTTTGTTCAAACTAAACCTGACCTGGGATCAAACCTAATTCTTATCAAGTTCCCATAATGTCGTTTTCTCCTCAAACCTTAACCTTATAGTTCCAAAGTGCCATTCTACCAATCAGACTAGAAGTCAACGTTTATACAAGACTCACCTTTATTAGAAAATAAGCTATAGCTGCAACGCACACGAACATGAATAGAATTCCTAATTTTAATGTTGATAGGCCAGCGAGATAAACGAGTAATGAGAGTTGAGCATAAATGTAAACGATGCTTGCATATGAAGCGGTTTTTAAAAATCTATCAGTCTTTCTATCTGTTATCTCTTCCTCGTTGCAGTCATAAAATATCTCATCATCATCATTCCTAGTAATTTTTGAAGGAATTGTCTCTGTCGTTAATTCAACCTTATCAGTCTCTTTATTCTCTGTCTGTCTCTCAACTTTGCACAAATTACGTTGGCGCAGTGCCTTCAATTGATTAAATTCAATGATAAATTTCTCCAACTTCTGAATGTGGAATAAACAGAAAGGAAGAAGAACTTTTTGTTATTATTCATTTTGAAAATGGAGCATTATCGCATCCAATGAAATGTTTGTTTACCTCAAACGACAATCCCCCGACAAACTTTTGATTCCTTATCAAATTTATTAAAATAGACATAGCAACACAGAATATTTGGATCGAGGGTACTATAATAATATTAACAGGCTTCTGGATGAGCTCTTTTGATGAGTTCATTGTGTCCTCTAAAATATTTATAAGCACGACTTTCTTCGCGAACATGGACTCTGTAAATAAATAGATTATATTGATTATCAGTTCTTAAAGTTATGTCAGTACATTCATTCTGAAAGAAATAAATTGATTCTCAAGTCACGGTTATCAACATTATGCATCTGAAATATGTAGACATTGCAATCATCATCCAGATTAAACTGGCTATCATTTCGATTTCAATTTCAATTATTGTAACTGATTACTTCAATTACACAGAATAATCCAGAAGATTATCAATCTGTACAAGTGTGATAAATTTTTATATCAACGGATTTTTTTTTCTGGTAATGTTGATGAACTTGCATTTTTCATTAATATTGACTTTCTTCTTAAATAATCAAAGGGTTAATACGCTGAGGTTTAAGCTTGTCGTGGCAATATTTTATGCTGTTTAATCACATTTTTTTCCGTTTAGGAAAGAACTTTTTGGAACCAGATGAACCGGTTATTTTATAAAATGTGCTTTTATGCATTTTAATTCCGGAAAAGGGTCATACAAGTAAGCAATATTCCTATTTCGTTGATGACTTTCCATCTGGTTCGTTTGTCCTTAGAATTTTGTTAACTTTAATATTATAGGAAAATAATTTGGCTCAGAGTTGTCACCTATCGAATTCCTATCAAAGGCAAAAATCTATCTCAGGCATTACCTTTGTATAGGCAGAAATTTTTGCCTTTGCCTAGACATGCCTAGTCAAAGGCAATACCTAGCCAAATGCATTACCTAGAAATAGGTGTGCCTAGTCAAAGGCAAAAAAGTGTGCCTAGTCAAAGGCAATACCTAGCCAAAGGCAATACCTAGCCAAAGGCAATACCTAGCCAAAGGCACTGCCTTTGTAAGATTAAATCTACTATAGAAATTGCCTTTTACCTTTAGTCTTACTCGTTGAGTTTTTTTTTTTAAATTTAAGCCACCTTTTTTCCTTAATTTGAATTTATTTGAGCATAATAGTGAATCATATCTTCTTTTAAACCAATAATTTGCTACGTCAAAAATTTAAAAAATTCAATTTGTCGTTATCAAAAATTTTGTCGCCTTGGATAAATCAAAATTCGGCGTTTCAGTCATTTGGAGGGGGTCTGTAGTTTTTCAATGGTTCAAACAAAAGAAATTTTGCATTATTGTTCAAAAACTCAACGAGTAAGACTAAAGGTTAAAGGCAATTTCTATAGTAGATTTAATCTTACAAAGGCATTGTCTTTAGCTAGGTATTGCCTTTGACTAGGCACACTTTTTTGCCTTTGGCTAGGCACACCTATTTCTAGGTAGTGCCTATGGCTAGGCAGTACCTTTGACTAGACACACTTTTTTGCCTTTAGCTAGGCTTGCCTATACCTAGGTGTTGACTAGACAAAGGCAAGAGCTACCATGCTCCGTTGAGGCACCTTTTCAAAGGTACCTATATGACAACCCTGATTTGGCTTAAGTGTTGTGCTTCAAGCAAGGCTTGGAGGATAAAGAACATATATTGAAATTTTCGGAATAGTGCCAATTTTCTTAAAGTTCCCACTTCTTGACTTAAGAAGGATTTAAAAGTCATCTTATGAACAACATTTGAGCATGTTCAGATTAAGATAGCATCATATTTTCGAACTGTCAACAAAATAATAGTGATATGATCAGGATTTTTTTTTTGGGAAATTCCGATTAGTAAGTTCCTGTTAAAACATGTTCTGATCTCAATAAATTTACCTGCATCAAATTAATAATACAGAAAATGTCAGAATATTACGTAAATAATTAATGATAAGCACTGAAAGGATTCAACTCAAATGATGAGCATAAGTAAATTGATTGAGTTGGATATTTGACAAAGGCGACTTAAAATGCCATTAATTCATTCAGTTCACTTATTCCTTCATAAAGTAAAGACAAATACTAGCAAACCAAAGCTTAAACCTATTAACGTGACAAAACAGACAGGATTCCATTTTTCTGATGAATTGACAACCAATCCACATGTTCACTTACCTAATGTTGAATATGCACAGCATTTAATCTTGTCCAATGACCCATGTCTGACTAAAATATTCTTGAATGCAATTTTGTTACTTTTTACATGCACTGAACTCATTTTTGTATAATTTTCTATTTATTTCTTATAAATTAGCACTTAATTGAATTAATTTGTTATTACTTTCAAGTCACTGAACAGAAACAAAAGTAAAATTATCACATATAAAAAGAAGCAACTGATCCACCGGTATAATCCAGGGAATAAATCAGAAGTTTGTATTTACGGTGCAACGAATGAATATGAAATGAGATAATGTCAGTACATTTAAGTGATTTATAAATGGAGCATTCTCTAGACATTACTGAGTATAAAATGAGAATTAAGTGATGAGATTAAAAAGTTCGGGTTTTGAGAAAGTAAGAAGAGTTTGTTGATCATTTCTTGCATGCATGACAAATATCGCTTGTTTGTTATTTCTCATCTACAATGTACAATTGCAGACGTCCGAAGTACTTCTAGATTTAATTCCGTGATCAAAGTCGCTTCACCTAAATTGATAATTGCTTGACATTCCTCACTTCTTACTCGTCTGTCTTTCAAAAAATAGTTGAAGATTAATTTCATAATTACTCAACTATCGAAAATGAGTCAGTTATGCTTATGCTGTGGAAAGTTTGTGATGAGAAGATGAAAACATCGTGTTGGCTAGTAACCGCACGTATAAAGTATTTATAGAAGAATTAAAATTAATCACTAAATGATTAAAGTCCATAAGAAGAAGACGTGAATAGAACGTGCTCTAAAAACGTGATTTAATTTTTTTTTCGGAAATTTGCTTCCATCTTCCCGTGAAATATTAATATTTTGATGATTTGACAGAAAATTTTAAATGTGCAGGATATTCTAGATGAAATTTTCATATTCACGAGATTACCCTTGCCTTGAACTCACGGCAGCAAATGATTGACTTGCAATATTTAGCTGCTCTTTCACTTATTACAAAACTTCATTTGCATGCACTGCTCGCGTGAATTGTAGTCTAGTGTCATGTTAAAAGTGAAATCTTTTGAGAATTAATTTCCAGTAAGCTATTAGGTAATTTATAACAGAATAATGAGCTGGAATTAATAATACCTAGATTGTTCTTTTCGTTAATTGTCTGGAATGATGCAATTTTGTGTCTACTTTACTGGTAATTTTTGACAAAGATCAAAGGTGTAGCGTGCTGATAGTCAGAAGATTTGGTTTGAACTGGATCCAAAATTAAATTGTTGACAACTGAAATGCCGTGTTGATAACTTTATTTTGAATCTTTTTAATTTATGGAAAATTTAATTGAGTTTTTTTGTTTCTGTTCCTCTTGTCTGTACATTGTTGCAATGGGTGCTTCAAAGAAATTAAATTGCAATACTTCCGACTCATTGAATTGTTTGAAACTTCTTCAATAAGTTAACTTGCAAGTGCTATAATTCTGGTAAAAATATTAAAGTTTTATTAATTGTTGTTTAAACTTAAAGATTGCATTGTTTAATTCCAAAAAAATAACATGCAAATCAGTTCTATTCTCATTCGTTGAATCCTCAAGTTTTGATAAAAAATAATTATTTTATAACGTTCATTTGAGATTTATATAATATTTATTGTAAAATAGTTATTTTCCCCTTTTCATTTGCTTTTCATGCACATATTCATTCGGTTCATGAACTCCGAACAATTAACATCGTTTTATTACAATAAAACCAGAGGTCGAAGTTGGTGAAGTGAAGTCGTTTCACTTCACTTCACTTCACTAAAATTTCAATCGGTTTCAAGTCAGCTCGAGTGAACTCATTTTTTTCGTGTTCACTCGAGTCGACTTTTAACCGAGTTGATTTTTTCATGTTCACTTTAGTCGACTTGAAACCGACTTGAGTTCACTAAGGAAAAAAAAATGTAATATACCAAACTGATTTCTGCTAGTGCTTGTGAAGTATATGTGATTACATTCAAAATTGCAGAATTTGTCCTTTTTTACTTCTCATAACCATATAGCAAACTAAACGAATTAATTTAAAATATTTTTTAAATTTCATATATTTTATAAATGTTTTACACTATAGATTATTTTTCTGATTTGAAATTATTTATTACGAACTGCTACAATTATGAATGAAATTTATTTTAATTCACACCATATTTCCAATTTTGATGAATCAATTTTAACCTCAGATTTATTTGTTTGACAACATTGATATATTGATGAGTGCACTGAATGAATCGTTAATTCTATTTTTTTCTCACTTGTTTTTAATTTCACCATTAAATATAACACTTTTTTTTTATTTATAGAGTTAAATTTCTTTAAGGTACAAACATAAATAATGAAAAAAATTTAAAACTTGAAGTATAATAAACTGGAAATTTGAAAAATATTTTAAATTAATTCGTTAAGTTTGCTATATGGTTATGAAAAGTAAAAAAGGACAAATTCTGCAATTTTGTATGTAATCACATATACTTCACAAGCACTAGCAGAAATCAGTTTGGTATATTACATTTTTTTTCCTTAGTGAACTCAAGTCGGTTTCAAGTCGACTAAAGTGAACATGAAAAAATCAACTCGGTTAAAAGTCGACTCGAGTGAACACGAAAAAAATGAGTTCACTCGAGCTGACTTGAAACCGATTGAAATTTTAGTGAAGTGAAGTGAGTTTGCTTCATCGACTTCGACCTCTGGTTAAAACCATTTGCTATATATCCGTATATATTAATCAAACCACAATTACAAAAGTGGAGACGAGAAATGCAAATCTTTTCTTTTAATTTAACCTTTTGTTTCCAATTTCAACTAGTAAAGATAAAATTTCAAATTAACCTTTGCATTCATCCTCAAACGCTCCAAATATCCAATTTTCAACAATCAGCAATGAAAAAAAAAAACATAAAATTCCTCAGTAAGATCTCAATTCCCAAACAGAAAAATGACAACAAATTTTTTGAAATCACAACAGAACTTTTATGACAATTCTCGCAGCAAACTGAACATTTCATTTTAGATATTGTACTAAAGATATAGATACAAGCATCATAAAGATAAGCAGTGCTGAATAAAAGCGTGTCAAAAAGGGCATATATTGTAGAATATGAAAAAAAATATTTCTCATCTTATCAAATTGAACTGTCTGGTAGCATTGACTATATTGCCTTCATCATAATCTTATTTATGAAATATAATATTCTTCTCATTGTCATAGCAAAAGTTCAAGAGTCATCAATTTCATGTTTTTACTTCATGATCCCTTTCATTGACCATTTTTAAGCATGGAAGGTCTTTTGTTTTGCATATTTTGTGTATGAAGTCCAGAAATTTATTTACTTATTGAATACAAAAGTGTGCTTTATGTAAACAATATTTTATCAACTCCTCATGAACCGTCCCCAGAAGTGATAAAAATAATTTTTGCTGCATAATCGGAAAATTAGCCTTACTCATGAAACTTCATTTGTTTTATCAGCAACAAAAAAAAAATTTCTCTGTTGTTTGAGTTCAATGAATTTTTGTCAACATAAAAAGTGACATAGACACAACAAAATACTGATGTAGATTATTGCAATAAATGTGGTCAAAATGTTTAATTTTATAGCTTTGGATAAATTTTTTGTTGGTTCTAGAAAGTCGATTAGATTTTGCAAGTCGCAGTTGATTAATTGTAAATTCTTAAAACTAGTAGTCATTGTGTAAACTTATAAGATATTGTTTATCATAGCAACGTATATCAACAGCTATATCAGCAATCCAAAAAGTCTGAGAATGATAACGTACAATGTTTTATGAAGTTCGTATACCGAACGAATTTTGGCTCTGTTGCTATTTTGAACTTTCTTTTAAAAACATATTTTTGTTTTTGAACAACCAATTGATCCTTGAAACTTAATAAACCTTGACAATATAAAAATCAAAATAGAATCAAAGGTCTAAAATCAGTCATCAAATAAAGTTCATGTAAGAGAGTTAAATCTTGAAATTTGATTGAAATCAAAAACAATTTCTTTGGGGTCGTTAACGAATGATGTCTTTTAAGAATGTATGATCGCTCATCCTTAGCCTTTTTTGAAATTGTAGCTAGTATATGTCCTTTGTAGCAAGTTTTCTCTTACGTGATTCATTAAGAAATATCATCAAAGTAGTGGCTTACCCGAATAGCACAAGTCAGATAATCGAGACGAAATCCAACGCCAGGAAGACTTATGCTATTCGGGTTAGATCATTTTAAAATCTAAATGTAGGTTGTAGAATCTGCTGAGAATCTTGAAGTACTGAAAAGCTCAAAGAGCTCAAAGAGTCAAAGCTTTTAAAGAGATTAAGAAACAATTCTTCAAAGATATGTTCTAGTCAGGATCAGGTTCAATCTTCTAAGTGTTCAGAAAAATACACAAGAAACTTGTGACAAAGAAGGAGGCAATGTAGCTATTTTTACATTTCGTAATCAGTGATTGACTCCTCTTATGCTTAATTAAAATTCACAACCGAAATCCACACGAGAATCAGAGTCTGAAGACACAAACAACATTTTGAGAGGCTTGTTTGTTGATCGTCAAACTTTACAGCTTGTTTGCGATGTTCTGCATGACTAATAAATGATAACCGACTGTCGTTATGCAAAGAAAGAAGAAACATTTCAGCTGATTTAATTGATTTTTCATTTTTTTATTAATAATTAAACTAAGTAAATAAAAGTTATGATTTAAAATCAATTTAAATACATAATTATATAATCTAGATAAATACAAAAAATACATTAAATACATACGTACTAAAAGAACAAATGGTGTGAATGTAGGACATACTAATTGATATTTAACTGACTTGATATAGTTGCCAGTCTAGATTAAAGTGGATTTTTTTTAAAGATTAAATCAATTAATTTTTTTGATTATGTACGAATGGCTTATTATTGTGAGGAACAAACGAATTAAATTCATCAGACAATAACAAATGGCAAAATCACTTAACAATTTTTTGTTTTAATTTTGTCTTCTTTTTTTCTATAAAAAATAAACTTCGAATGTTTTTTTTTAAATTCTTTAACTTTTCGCGCAGTTTGGGGCTCAAGTTCTATGAAAACTGCATAAATTCTTTGTCCCCAATAAACCGTACAAATGTAAGACATTCAGACATTTTCATGATACTATTGTGTGAAATTGAATGGTTATTAGCAGTGCTGATTTGATTTGTACGGTTCTGAAGCATTTTAAAGTCAACTGAGGACGGTTAAATGGATATCAACTAGGTTTTGATAAAACTATGTATTGTCCTATCAAAAACATTAAGCAGCTATTGATTACAAAAATACTAAGGGATTTGATTCCAGTCAACCGCCTTCAGTCCACTGTTTTTAGTAAATTTTAAAATTAGAGTAGTTACTGGTAAATACCTAAGTACATACAAATTTTTTCAATGAGGTCTCTATGTAGATCGTCGAAAAAATAGAGTGTCATAATTATCAAAAGTATTTAATTAATCGTCCATAAAGCTCTTAGCCAAGTCCAACGTCTAAGCACATCATAACTATGAAGCCAACCTGTGAGATAAGGATTTAATTATTATTGTTGATAATTAGCGATTTGAGACTATAATCTTACTATACATCCCCAAGTTGCAAGCATTCCATTACCACTATAGAGTCAAGATATGAGATTTTATAGCTTTTATTACATAAAATTAAAGATAATTAAATAATTACCTCGAGTGAGCTTCTGGTAAGATATCATCAGCAACGATGAATATCATAGCGCCTGCTGCAAATGCCAATCCAATTGGCAAAATTTTAGCTGCAAAACTGACAGCAACAGCACCTGTTTAACAGAACAGCATGTACGTTGAGGAAGAAAAAGAAGTCAGAAAAGGTGTCAAGCTCTTTCTATTATTCTATGATTAATTGCTTTTCATAACACATAATGAATATTTTAATGAATAAGAAGCAAGTAGCTTCTGTAATACTGACCTAGAACGCCAAATATTGGCTCTACCATTCCACTTAATTGACCATACCAAAAACTTTTAAGCATTGAAAATCCACTCGCATGTAGTGGCAAGCTGACAGCTAAACCTTCGGGAAAATTTTGTATACCAATTCCGATTGCCAAATTTCTTGCTGCTTCAAATGTCGCTTTTGATGATGATCCAATTGCACCGAATGACACACCGACGGCAAGTCCCTCTGTGTTAATCATAAAGGCACAGTAATTATTAGCACAATTAGACACAATTGGGATTATTCAATAATGACGTCCATCAACTGGTAAGGAACACGATCTTGACTCTTTAAAATAATCGAATTCCTTAATAGACGTCATTGGCGAAGTAACCCATTGTAGATGCAGACATAACAGTAGTCTAATATTTACCTGGTATATTATGAATAGTAACTGCAGTAATCAAAAGAATAATCCTCTTCCAATGAGTCACACGATTTTGTAAATCAGTTTGTGAATTGGTTTCGTATGTTTCTTGATCACGCATGTGGCTTTCCTTCTTTCGGCGCTTCCTTGTCTGTCCACTGTGTTGATTGTTGAGACAATCAGCAAAGCTGTCCATCCCTATTGTCGTGCAATGTTCATTAAGTTCCCCGACTGTAATCATAGGCTTTCCATGTTCTAACGCACATTCATCCATTTGTATATCAGCTTTATCTTTATTTGATTGTGTCAACTGAATCATCATTGAGGCAGAATCAATTCCTAAATATGTAATTATCTGCAAGATAAAATTGTATAAGCACAAAGAGACACAATATAGTTGAGATAACATACACGATCACAAACGTAAACGAACACGGCTCCAAAAAGGAATCCACCAGCAACTGGAATGAATGCATAGCGACCGTCGGATCCATAATATCCACTGCTTTCGGCTAATTCAATAGCTGGTGCAAGCAAGCTCCAAAAACTGGCAGCTATCATAACACCAGCACTAAATCCCAACGAAACATCCAACGTTTTGCGCTACAAAGAATAAAATTTGATAAGAATGATTTTTCGGCTCAAGGCTGAACGTGACCTATATAATTTAAATAGAAAGATGTACTTACATGATTACCGCGTAGAAAAACAACAAGTCCAGCACCAGCAGCCGTAAGTCCCCATGTCATCAGAGTACCTAACAAAGCCTGTGTCACAGCATTATATCCCTCTATCATTTTTGCAGTCTAAATCTCGTCTAAGCTTATTTTCCTTTTGTTTGATTTATTTAAATGGAGAACACAGAGACGATTGATGATTAGCAACATCAATTAAATAAGTATTATTTTTTTTGATGAAAAATGTTAATTTTTCAATTTTTTTAAGAAATATAGAATCGAACAGCTGACTCAGCGTTACTTTAAGAATGAATTAAATACGCGAAAATGTACTTAGTTTTAACCATTTCTCATGTAGCGTATGATAATTATAATGAGCAATAAAAATCCTACTATGAGTAAATACTCTACCGAGACGTGTATTTGATCTAAGACAGATTCATTTCTTTATCTAAAGACACGATATATGGATGCGCGACATTTCTTCATGACGATATGAGGAATGGCAAATTATGAGAGAATCTCTTCATTTTTTTTCATTATATTTCAATAAATTATATCTACGTGATGTGATGGTTAAGCTCGCGCGTTAAACAAATACAAGAGAATGAGTACCAATTACTTAGTGTGTAGAGCATCCAAGGTGATTTTTACGCAAATTTGAGAATGAGTTGGACCGAAAGAAATTAACTTGATTTGATATCGCGAGTAAATTGTATATTTAAAAGGTCAATTACAACTAAACTGCTGAGTGAGCATTAAGGCACTTGAATCGTGTCTACGACAAAAAAAACGGCAGCCTTATCTTAATTGAAAAAATGGTTTTTTGCCACATAATATAAATTAAATCGTGTAATATTAATTTGATGACGTATCCAAAATCTATTTTTATCGGACAAAACAATCATTTTAAGCCAATCAATCAGCATGCATGCGTTCAATTAACTTTAATCAATTTAAGAATTTCTCTCTCTTCTTATTGCTCTAAAAAAAGTTTCAAAACAAATTCATGTTAATGCGAAATATCTTCAAATCACCTATTTAATTATGTGTGCAAGACAGTCACAACAGTGTCCTTAGTAATGTGCTATAAAACAGTCCTTAAGTAGTGATATTTGTCATTTTAACAAGCTTTAAATGTCCAAAAATGAATATTTTTTAAAAATACACAATTTTCTTCCGCTTTTCTGTGACAAAACAAGATGGGAAGGTGGCATGCATGGCTTTGACATATTCACACCGGATAATGTGTGCAACTTTTGATGCTTATTAATGTTCTTTATGGGATTTTTACTTGGAACCTTTTCAAACACAATCAATCATATTTAGATCACAAAACATCACATAGGTACCTAAATGATGGACATATAGGTTTTCAATAGCCTGATCTCTTTGAACAATTGGATCCTGGCATAAACAAAATGAAGAAAACTGCATTAGATTAAAACTAAGATGATCCAGTGTTTAAATAATTTCAATCATTTTGGAACAATTTTAAGTCATAAAATCATAATTGTAAGATCTTAACTGCAAGACATGACACTGATAAATCAGCATAAAGCATGCATAGAACAAGGTGGGAATGTAAACATTGCATTGACTAAAGAATTCGTTGATGTAAAAAGTACAATTTCGTATTTTCATGCTCGAGCTTGGTTGTTAAGCTTATCCACGTGTCAAGGATTATAAAATTTATGACAAGCATGCTGATTAGCTTAGTAAATTAACGAATCTAATCAGAAATAGAGTTTTGAAATTTGAATTTTTATTTGCCGTTATTCTTGTTTATAAAAAGAGAGCTTTTGGAAAAATTATCAAATTAGCAAGTGACGGAACTAGAAGATAAACTCACATCAGCTGTTTCGACAAGCTGAGCAGTTGTGTATGTGTTGGAAATAAATTTTTTCATTGATCATCGTTTCTTCGATAAAAAAATCATTTGAAGAGTAAAAAATCAACAAATTAATTGAAATTTATCAAAATCATTCAGTATAAAATACAATGTAAGTAAAAAAGGCAATCCAGGACGTTTAATCTAGTGAATAATGATGGAATTGTGAAATTTATTAATGTGTGTGTATGAAAAAAGTTGAAAAATAAGAAGAACAAAAAAATAACAAAATCTACTTTGCATAATTTCTGGCTTATAAGCTCTAGCTGACTATAAGCTTTGAAATAGAAAAACAGATTGAGAACAATAGACATTTATTCGCCATATATTTCCATTAGTCGTGTCATTGACAACCAGTTGAAATGGCTTAAAATAGACAAAGATCCAGAAGCCATTCTAAAATTGCGTAGATTATGAATTCATAGCAGGAGTTTTTCTGAAAAAAAAAAATCTTTCTTCTCTTCCTCGATTCAAATAAAGAGAAGAGTTGTAAGTCAGGCAAAAGTCATTAAAGCTTTGAACTCATTCACTGGATCTAGGGACTTTTTCCTTTACACAAATTGAAAGTATTATGTTTTCAGCATAAAAACCTTTAAATGTAGTGGTGTGTGTGTATTTATCTAATGTTATGCTCAATGTAAAATATCTTTCAACGTACTATATAAAATATATGTCAATATACAAGCTATATACTGGAAGTACATAGCTGAGCACAGAAAAAGAAGAAAAAAAAAATAAATTTTACTGTGAAGTATTTATTGTAAGTTGAAGTTAAAACTGATTTACAAGTCAAATAAATTGATAATTAATCATATAAATAAATTGTTGAGCATTCATCTATGGAAAATCACCTGAAATCGCTGCTGACACTACAGAATTTAATTTTATTGTGCGTAGATTAACCACCTTTAGTATTATTTATGTATACATAGCTACATATGTGTTTGGTGTATTTACGCACTAGAGGAAGTACGAAAACCAAAGTAAAGAAATATGCTTAGAAAATAAAATTAATGTGGAACGAAAACGAAAATTTTCCTTTCAAAATGATGAATAAAGAAACAAGTTTCTTACTACTTTTCTCTGTCTCTATCCACACAAGTGAGCGAAAAATATGGCAAGTTGGATATTAGCCATGAATAGCTATAAATCTCTACTTAAACAATACAGTTGAACTTGAAAAATTTTCAATTCATTTTAATTGCTTAGTAGTGAGTTTTTCATGAAAATTTAATAATGTGAGCGTGAAAATGTTTTAAAACCGTACAACAGTTTTGAAAAATCATTTGAAGGGTTTTTGAATTTAAATTTTCAAGTTTTAAATGTCAAAAATACGTTAAGTGTCAATATTGAAACAATTGATTTAACAAAAATTTGTATGGTTTTAGGGATTAAAAATAGAAAATGTACAACAGTCAAAATTTTAAAACATTTGTAAGGTTCTGAATTTTGAATAAAACCGTTTAATTTTAAAACATTTATATGGTTTTGACAAAGAAGTTTTTATGAAACTACACAACAGTGAACAATTTTCAAAAACATTTGTGAGGTTCCAAAATTTAAAATGAATAAAACCGTTTAATTTTAATACATTTATATGGTTTTGACAAAGAAGTTTTTTTGAAACTACACAACAGTGAACAATTTTCAAAAACATTTGTGAGGTTCAAAAAATAAATTCAAATCAAAAATGTCAGTTAAAAAATAAAACTCGAACAAAATGAAAAGAATAAACAGCAATTAATTCCAAAAAACACGCTAAAGCTTAAAGCTACCATAGTGAAACAGAAAAAATTAAGTAATATCTTCTATTTTACTTTCATGTAAAAGAAAAAAAAGTAGTTTCATTTCATCATAAAATAGTGTGATATTGAGAGTAAAAAGAGTCGATAGCAATTATTCCAATCTAATGTTGTTGCACATGATCATCAGCGAGGGCTCGTCATTCACCAAATAAAAAGAGAAAGAAGAAAAAAAAATATAAACATAGATTCAGAGCTGCGAAACAGGCACCTGTGACAGGTGAGAACCCTACAATTCCTTGATAATTTATAAGGTTTTTCTAACAAAACCATACAAATTATCAAGGAATTGAAAGGTTCTCACCTGTCACAGGTGACCTGTTTCGCAACTCTGCATAGATTCTCTTTGTTTTCAACATTAAAAGTTAACAAGTTTGTGTTAGTGAACATATGTGAAGACCTTTGCACATGATAGGCGAACAGATGAATTTTGATTTAATTTTTGTGTGTGCAAAATTGTATTGATTTGTTGTGTCAATAGCTGACTCGCAATGTCCACATGTACACACTTCATACAGATGTGCATTTAATATTTACTCAATTATTTTTATTTTACGTTGTGAAATAATTGTAAAATATCATCATTTCATAATGAAACAAAGAAAAGCTGAAAAACTTTACTTCTTTTTGCCTCGTCTTACTTGAAATTCTCCCCCATTCATCGTTGCGCTGTGCTGTGCTGTTTAAAAATAATTTTTTTTTTGCTTCGTTTCATCTACAGAACTTATTCCAATTGAAAGCCGCCTAGAACATGAGTAGTCCGTTTCAGGGAAAACGACGTATTGACACGGACTTGATAAAGCTCATTGAATCGAAACATGAGGTAATAAAAATATTCATTTTATTCATGCTAAAGGGCATCATCGCAATAATTGCAATTATTATTTTTCATTAATGTAGGTCACAATACTTGGTGGCCTCAACGAATTTTGTGTCAAATTTTATGGACCTAAAAATACGCCATACGAGAATGGCGTATGGAAAATTCGAGTTCATTTGCCGGAGCATTATCCTTTTAAATCGCCATCAATTGGATTTATGAATAAGGTTTATCATCCGAATATTGACGAAGTGTCAGGAACAGTTTGTCTTGATGTTATTAATCAAAGTTGGACCGCATTATATGACCTTTCAAATATCTTCGAATCATTTTTACCACAATTATTAACGTACCCAAATCCAGTTGGTGAGTATAGTGCTGCTTAATCTTAGGAATTGTTCGAAAATGATGTGAATTTAATGTAAATTGACATTATAAAGTTTTTGACTTCATCTGTTAATTTACGAACGATTCGACGCAAAGTTAATGCTAATCAATTTTATTCATTTTTCGTTTGTTTTCATTGCGGATATCCAAAGATCCACTTAATGGAGATGCAGCGTCATTATATTTGCATAAGCCAGAAGATTACAAAAAGAAAGTAGCAGGTAAATTATACGTGTTTATGCATAATAGCATTTTAACGCATTTTTAATGGCTAGTTGGTGCACTTTGCGATTGATTTTTATGCTTGATTTATGCAAAATTAAGTATAACGGATTTTTAAAATTTAAAAAATTATTGAACACTGGAAAGTTCAAAATTTTCAAATAAAATCTAACCGTTAATTTTTAAATTTTATAAATCCGTTACAAAACTTTTCGTTGATAATCTATAAACTATGTCAGTCATTAAAATTTAATTACTTTGACCTAAAATATGCGTTACTAATCATCCCATATAAAGTCTTCAAGCCAAACTTGATGTTTTGTCTTCTTTCTCTCCGTTTTCGGTGTAAAATTAAATTTCAATTTTTAATTATTCTGTTGTTTCTTTTCTTTACATCCATGACTATGCAGATTATGTACGTCGATTCGCCACTGAAGAAGCTCTTCGTGAGACCGAGAGTAAAGAAGACAGTTCCGACTCGGAAGTATCAGATTTTAGTGATGAAGATGAAGCGAAAGATATGGAGCTATGATTGATCTCAAAATCAGCAAATGTAGTTTGCGTATAAACAATTTTTATTTTTTAAATTAATTCACAAGAGAAAATAAGCGAATTGCGATATTTTTTTCTTTTCCAAAAAAAACTTCTTTAATGGAAATGAAAAAAACTTTAATTTTTTTTTATTTTTCTTAAATTATTATCAAAATTAACGGTCTAGTTCTGTGACTAAATTTAATCAAAAATTTATCTCTATCAATCATTTCAAATCGACCTACATTTAATCAAAAGTTTTATCAATATTTTAAATTAAAAAATATTTCAAATTAAATAATAACTTTTTTTGGATAAGTAGAAGTGCGAAAAGTTTTAAAATGCTTATTATGGGAGTTTATTAGAATTGGATGGTGTTAACATGGATAAAAATTGAACTAAGAAGTAGATGATATCGATGAAAAGAATTCAGTATAGTACTATTGATGTAAGAGAGATTTAAGCTATTAATTATTAACACACGATACAATGTGAAAGATTTTTTTTTAAATCCATTAAGAAAAAACATTTTCTTTATTCAATTAACTTTTTTTTTGATCTTATGTCTTCATTTCCTAATTTAATTAATAAGATTACATGCCATTTACGCAAAAATAAATCATGTTTTTCTCTATGTATGTTACCACAGACACACAAACACACGTTTATAAACATTGAAAGGAAAGAATTTTCGGAGTGTTGCGAGAGCTTTTTTGGAGCAAAAGAAGTGTTACTAAATTTTAAACCCTCAATTTAACGGATTTGTGAAGTTCAAAAAATAACGGTTTCAAATAATTTAAATTTTTGAACCTCGTAAAGATCGAATAAAATTTGAATTTCAAAAATCCGTTTAAAAACTTTATTCCAAAAATTAAATAGCTTTAAATCTTCAAACTAAAATCAAGCAATAATCACATTTATATTAACCAAGAGTTCTATACTGTAAGCCTCTCAAAGTGTGAATCAACACGATAATCTCCTTTATCTTTGTTATCTGAAACGAATGTCATTAAACTTTTGTCAAAAACATCTTTCTAGTGTCACTTCTGTTGCCTCAAAAAACAGATAAAAACCAGCGTTTACAATTATCTCATTCAGAACCAAATAATATATTATTTTTTGTAGACGAAAAACATGAAACAGATCAAAAAATATTTTCTAAAGTGAAACTTTGAGAAGTAAAATAATAAAAAAAAAGTAAATAAATATTTTTCCACACTCATACACACATAATAAAAAGAAGAATAACAATAATAAGAAACATATAAAAAAAGAGTTAAGTAACAAACGTTCGTAGTTCCACATTAAAGTAGCAATTTGATGATGATTGTTATACAGTTACAGAATTGATAAATAAAAAAATTAAAAAAATTAATAAACACATAATGTCCAATGTTATTAAATTTAAGGCAGAAAGTAAAAATTTAATGATCTAATATAACAATTTAAAAAATGATTTAATTGTAAGTGAGAAAAAAAATAATAAACAAGAAAATTAATCTAGTAATAAATTGATGTAAGCGTCAAACTTTGAAAAATTCTCTTTTTGGATGAATAATAAAGCAGAAAAAATTTACAAAATCATATGTCATGTTGGTTTAAATTATAGCATATTCCAAGTATTTCAGCTCTTCTTGAAGTTGCTTTTTACTTCCGTCTGATGGAATTTCCACTACATAAACTTTGTAAGGCACTGGCGAGAGACTTCTTCTTCCTGGAAATGAATTAAAGCAAATTAAAAGAGAAATTATTCAATTTGATTGAATTTTTTGTTTCAAATTGTAATTCAACGGTAATTTGAAATTTAAATGTTTTAAAACTGTTCAAATGTTTTGAAATTGACCTTTTGAACCATACAAATGATTTAAAATATTAAACCAAAACCATGCATTTGCTTAAAAATTTGATACAAAACCGTATAAATGTTTTATATTTTTGTGATGCAGAACCATACAATTCCTGTTTCTGAGCACTTTTTGTAAATCAGAACCCATCAAAAGTCAGTAAAAAACTTAATTAAAAATGAAATATTAATCAAACTAATTTGGTCTGACACGTAAACGAGTTCAAGGCACAAAAATTGCTGCGTTTTCTATTTCATGAAGCTACATCATGTTCTAAAATGTGTTTCACTATTACTCTGGAATTCTCAAAGCATTTTTCAAGCACTTATGGCCATTTACTCATGGAATTTCCTACTATTGTGTTTTAAGGTCGAAAAAAATTATTATAGTCTGCAAATTAAGTTAAATGCTCCGTACATCCAACAGTGAATAATTGATTTTACTGTAGACAAGATTGAACCTGTTACGATCATAATTCTTGAATTTCTGATGTTAATTTTAAAAATAAATAAAGCTACTCACGTCTCTTGAAGTCAACATTTTTAGGTTTATAATAAATATCATTCGGAGTCCTAACAACTCTCAGCCAACACGTACAGCAAAACATCTGAAAAATTCAATTCTTTAGTCACTTCCTCACTTTAACATTTTTTTTGTGGATCCCTCACAAGCAGTAAAATTGTCACAAAAACTGTCAGCATTGCCATTAAATCAATAAAAGAAGAATAATGCATTTTTTTGCTTTTAAATATCTGAAAGAAGTCTAAGTAGCTTGTTGTTCTCCTATCTAGCGTCCAACTAATAAAATGTATCATGCATTACAAATTTGAGAACTGAGAATAATCATTTGAAGAAGAAAAAAATCTTTTGGGAGTCAAAAGTCAGCTTTATTCTCGCTATGAAAATGCCGATAATAGTTGTAGGCTTCTTGTTCTCATCACGATGAGAGCAATTTGTTTTTTTTTTTGTTCTTTACTGAGTATGAAGATTAGGCGGATGTTTGAATTTATTGGGAATCTAATTGAAGGTAAAGAAGCATTGTAGGCGCATTTTTGGGAGTTTTAAATCTTCGATCAATTTTGAATCATTTAGTTTTGACATTCGAGGAAGTGAAATATTCAAAGAAATTGTTATATTCGTGATTGACAGCTAAAATTCTTGTAACGGCTTTTTAAGATCCAAATTTTTGAGTCTTTTTGAAGTTCAATCTTTGCATCATTAAAGCTCCGTTTCTTGCCTCTAAAAAGTTCAATTTTGCTTCATCAAAATTCAATACTTTCGCATCTCCAAAGCTCAATATTTTTGCATCTCAAACTTCAATTTTTGCGTCTCCAAAGTTAAATTTTTGCATCTCAAAATTCAATACTTTCGCATCTCCAAAGCTCAATATTTTTGCATCTCAAACTTCAATTTTTGCGTCTCCAAATTTCAATAATTTTGCATCTCAAGCTTCAATTTTTGCGTCTCCAAAGTTCAATTTTTGCATCTCAAAATTCAATACTTTCGCATCTTCAAAGCTCAATATTTTTGCATCTCAAAATTCAATACTTTCGCATCTCCAAAGCTCAATATTTTTGCATCTCGAAATTCAATACTTTCGCATCTCCAAAGCTCAATATTTTTGCATCTCCAACTTCAATTTTTGCGTCTCCAAAGTTTAATTTTTGCATCTCAAAATTCAATACTTTCGCATCTCCAAAGCTCAATATTTTTGCATCTCAAACTTCAATTTTTGCGTCTCCAAAGTTCAATTTTTGCATCTCCAAATTTCAATAATTTTGCATCTCCATAGTTCAATACTTTTGCATCTCAGAAGCATAACTATTGCATCGTTTAAGTTCAAACTTCGCATCTTTTGATCCTTAATGAACCTTAAAAACAGTCAAAATGAATCAATTGTGCCTTTATGGTCCTCAAATCTTGATAACCTGAAACAATTTTTAAACAAGATTATGAAAATTCGACATGAAACTGAAATAAGAGCATCAATGTAATGCCATAAAGTGTATTAAAATAAGCACCACACGTGCTTACGATCAAAAAAGATAAAACAACAAAAAAATTTTGATATTTTTTCTACTCTTTAATTTTAATTTTTTTATTTCCAATTTTTTTGCCACTTTTTCGTTTTATCAATTTAATTATTTACACGATTTTTGCCTTTTAACTACTCATTACTGCTTCTCTTTCTTTTTTTTTGTTATTAATTATGTAAGAGGAATGAAAAGGATTAATGGAATGTGTATAATATTATTTTGACAAAAAAAAGGGAAGGAAAAATACTTTTTTTTTAATTCTTTTCTTTATAATATTATACATTTATTTAATATTTTCTTGTAATATATGATAACAATTAAATGCAATGGAAATGAAATCTTCGTCTTCCGTTTTCTTGTTTTTTGTTGTATTTTATGAGGTTTCATAATAATTTAGTAAGTATCTTCATAAATCTTTTTTAAATATTTAAATATAATTTTTTTTGATATTCTTTTTTTTTGCTTTTGAAGTACAGAACAATAAAAAATACACATCCGAGATTTATCACAAGAAAAGGAAATGCTTATGGTTGATGTCGTTTTGGGAGCTCCATTTCATGACTTGTTTTTGAGCTTAGTTGACTGTTTTTTGAGAATAAGTTGAAGCAAGTTGAAGTTGAGCTAGGTTTGTGTTAATTTTTCATTAGAATCGATTGTAATCTGATCTAAATCAAGGTTTTTTCTTCAATTCTAATACAAATTGAGATTGAGGTTATGACTTGAAACAGGAGCCGGTTTCTTAACTCCTTTTTTTCATTTTAATTGCACTTTATTGCATTTATTGACGACATACTGTCCGGTAATAATTCACATTTTACACTTTTGTATTTGTATACATATGAATTAGTATTATGTAGGATCAAACTTCTATGTGTGCGTGACGTGATACTTTTCAGGTCCGTTCTAACAATATTCCATTTGTGGGTAATCTTGTAGCTTTCGTTCCTATTTCCTACACTTCAAGTTCCTGGCCCGTTCCTTAATCTAACGTTGCCCAAATGCCCAATTAAAGCTTGATCTCGTATATTGAGCAGTCGAAGTATCTAAACTTCCGAAAAAGAACAAATTTGGAAATGGCTAAATTCGAACCAACGACCTTTGAGTTGCCATCCCAAAATTTGAGCCAAGAGCCTTACGTATTCGACCAGCAAGACACTTAACTCCTCAATCCTCCTTAATGTTTATAATTGTAATGTAAGAGATTCTCAAGGGTACAGTGTTTGACAAACTTTGCTCTTCGTGAGTCGTGGCCTGAAAAGTTTGAAAAGCAAAGCTTTATCAGACGAACCATCCCCAGGGACTCGATTCTTGTCTATACAGTAGCTTCATTCTCTCTAAAATGGCGAGGATATATTCAAGAAAGCGACCAAAGAGCATTAATCTCAAATTATTTTGAAGAATAAACATTAAAGGTTTTAAAGACTTAACCTTAAATTTTACAAAATAATATTCTCTATTCTTAGAACTTAATTAGATTCAACTATAGTCCAATCCATGATTCTCCCCAAAAACGACACCACCCACAACCTGGATGTGATTTATTTTTGATTCTTTTAAAAGGTTTTAATGAAATGAAATGCAAAAATAGATTTTTATAAGGTTTTACTTTCTTCTTTGAATAGGTTTTGAAGATGGAGACACAGCCTTAAATATTCAAAAAATCTTCTCATATTATTTTTTTAATATTATTAGTTAAATATATTATTTGGGAATCAGTTGCTAGCTGCAAAGAAATGTTGAGTTTAAAAATCGATAATAATGAGGAACTAAATTGGATGTTGATGAACATTTTGTACATTTCATCAATATACTTGATTTATGTAAAGTTTTGGCAATTATTCAAAATTAAGTTTGACATCAACTCATTTGACACTTTCTGATTTAAAGTTTAATTTTTATGAAAAAATTATAAAAAGTAGATTTTCAATTTAATTAAAGAAAGTTGAATTTCAAGTCTTAATTCAAAATCAATCTCACTCTAAATCAGGAACACAGCAATCTAGCAACGATCCCCAAAAATATTATTTGTAGTTCTTCTTGAATTGAAAGTTTATCGAAAGTATTAATCCACGATTATTTTACAATTTATTGACGCAAAATGTATAGAGTTTTTCAAGTTTAAATCCACTCAAATCAAAAGCTCATTATTATTATTTTTTGTTGCTTATTAAAACATTTAAACTCTTATTAATGTCATACTAATGATTAGGCCTTTTTTAAATTTTTATAATTCATTAATACTTATTAATTTCCTTGTTTTTTAATTAATTTTTATTTCTTTTGCGATTTTCATTCTTTTCTAAAATGTCAGATTTATCCTTTCTTTCCATAATCCTTCAATTCATTCTCATCAATTTATGATAGCAAACAATAACACAACATTTGTAGAGATATGATTAAATGATTTAAGGATTGACTTTTGTTGGAACTTTTAATTTGATTAAGTTGATCTTGATTATTATTAATTGATATGTCAAAATGTTGTTAAATTAGGAAGATCAGTGTTTTTGTTCATCTGAAGGCTAGATTTTTAACATCGGGAGCTGGTATTTAGGGTTTATCTTAGACATCTTATACACAACACAATGTTTACTTAAAAATTAAAAACCTAAGTCAGGATCAACAAATATCTGCTTATGAAAGTGATTCCTTCTAAAAATTATATCTGATTAAACACATCTTGACACCTAAGGATAGCTTCAATCACGAGTTCAAATATTTAGGAAGGGTAGAATGAGGGATGAAGCCTTTTAAGAAAAAACAATTCTTTAATGAATTTCATAAGAGAACGACTAGTTTGTTCTAGAAACTCAAACAAAATCTTGTTCAATTGTATTTAAAGAACTAAAATTGATCATCTTTTGATGGTATAAGTGAGTCTTAATTATGTCACAGAAGTATCAGTTTAGGATTTTGTTCGAATAATCTAAAGAAATTAACACTGTTTATGCTGATTATATTCCTAGCACATGATATCAAGTTAATTCTTAGTCGTAGGGTCAACTAATGACAAATTTTAAGAAATGTTTCAAAGACAGTGTAATCAGTAGACCCCACGTCTAGTTACTATGTCTACACATCATGTCTTTGATAGTTCTTAACATCCCTCAACTTTGACTTAGTTTTTCCACTCCAACCTCAAAATTCATTTAAATTCAGATTAAAAATCCAAAAATTCCAACAAAAATCTTATCCGAAATCATCTCTAGCTATTTCATCATATATTGGCTACTTTATAAACTTTTTATATTCATCTAACATCATGAACTATTGTGTGGAAAGGAAAAATATTTATGGGAGCAGCTAAGATATTTTTTTCACATTTTTTAATTACTTTCAGTTTTCTATTCTCCATTTTAGTTTATAAAAAATAGTGTAGATATTTTCTGATTCTATGATTTTTTTTATTTCTTCTTTGACCAGCAACAGAATTTCTCAAAAATTCATCATATTAACATCGTTATTTCTATTATTATTAAGTATTTTTTTTTTCAAGTTTCACAATACAACAACCATTTAAATGTTTTTTATATCTTTTCTCATTGAATTCACTGAAATTGTTTATTGTTCTATGGAGCTATGTGCTTGTTTAGAATAGTGTTTATGTTTCTACTTCTCTCAACTGATGAAATTGAAATGAAATTTATATAAATTTTTAAAATGCTTTGTTTAACTAGAATGATACAAAGTTTTGTTGTCAATTATTTATCGGTGACCTTGATGGACTTTGGAGTGTAACTGACTGATGATATGCTGATTGAATTGGTGAGTTTTTTAATTTTGAAATTTTTAAAGTTTGAAACTTGATTTTAAGATTTTTCTTGATTTCGAGATCCATTTAAGTAGACTTTATCATAAAGTTTGTTCGAAATTTGCAAAGTTTAAGCAGGATCTATATGATCGTTGAACTTTTGCAGATCTCTAAGAAGTTAACTGGATTAGAGTTTTTCATGAATTTTTAAAAGTAAAGTTTAAGAATTTGTTGATTTTAAGTTAATAGAACCTTTGAAAAGCTACTGAATACTCATCAATAAAGCTAGTCAAACAGCAGCATTATTGAGAAAACTTAAAAAGTCAAAGAAATAATTCAAACTTTGAATTAAAAAGTTCAAAGAAGATAAAATTTTGAATTTTTAAAACAAATGTTTGAGTTTAGTTTAATTTTGAAGATTTTGAACTAATCTCCCAAATAATTGTACATTTAACTATACAATTTCATTAATCCACATTGCTATTGAGCATCAAATCTATTAATTTTGTTAAAACTCATTTTCAATTCTAACTGGATCTATTTTATTTTAAATTGAAAAGTCAACAAAACTTTGTGTCAAAACAATTAATATCCAACTTGAAGCTGATTTATAATAGATTATGTTACTTCATCCTACGATCACAAATTGTTTCATTCATTTTCACTACATACAATAAATCTGTCCTCAATCAATTCAACTACAAACTGTTTCTAAGACTCTTACTAAGTCGAGCAAAAGGGATTAATTATTTATATTATTGAAAATATTTGTCATTTGAGATTTTAGCTGCTCGATATATAATCGTGTAGAGAGGATAATACAAAAGAAGAAGAAAAAAAAAACTTTTATACATTTAAAATGCTAATTAGAAGTTTTTTTGATAATAGTGATTGCCATAATATTTCATTTTGAAAATTCTTTAAATTTCTTCATATTTTTATTTTTGTCGTCAATCCTTAAATTTATAGTAATTATTTCATTCACGAAAAGGTTTTTAAGTAATAATTAATAAGTTCTTTTCAGTACAATGAATAACTGAGCAATTTTTTTTACATACTAGACTTTTTTCTGATATAATTTATGATGCTCAGCTCCTTAATGCACTTTATCAACATTGATATTTACATGCTAACGAGTTTTTAACAATTTTTTTAAATTATTATTCAGTTAAATGCAAAGAGAAATGTTATCCTAACTGCTAATATTCCTCAAAATGCAGCATATATTATTAATTAATCTTTCTTATTCATCATAATGTAATGCTTTCATGTTTCTCATCCTTTTTATGTATATATATATATATTATTCTCATCATAGAATTCCTTTGCCTTTAAATTTGTTTGATCTTTTACTATATAATAATTGTATTGTCCCAAGAATATTAAGTGAAAAAAAATTGAACGAATTTCCATTAACAAACTTTTACATTAATACTTTTTTGTTTGCATATCTGCAAAGGGTTTTTTATCTTCTTTTTGTTCCTAGCTTAAAGAAAATTTTAATAAATAAATAGGAATTTTCTAATAATTTTTGGATTTTTCATTTAAATATTTTCTAATGAAAAATAAATTTTGTAAAGTTTTTATTGTTAAAAAGTCAGAAAATTTGCTATAGGCAAAACATTTTTAAAGTTCCAAAAAGGAAGGATTTTATAAAATTAGGTAGGGTTTTTGATGATTGATGGACATGCATTTTGATGGTTCTAGAAAGTTTTTTAAAGGTTTGAATTGATTTTTGATCTTTTTCAACTGGAATATTTCCAGGATTTGTTGTAAAAATTTTAAATTTGAATACTTTTATTGATAAACTGTTGATTCCAGTTTAATGAATTCAATTAAATTTCCATTGGAATGTTTCCATCAAATTTAATGACTTCCAGTTAATTTCCAATGGAAGAAAAATTCAAAATTTTGAATGTTTCCGTTAACAATCCTTCCAAGATTTCGAATGACTTCCAATATTTTTCATTATCATTCCAATGGAATTTTATCATTCAAAATATTCCAATGGAAATGTTTTCTGGAAAGTTTCCAATAATTCCAACCAGAAAACAATTTCAATAGTAATTTTGGAACTTTCAGATTCCCAAAATAAAACTTAATAAAAACCAAATAAAACTTCAAATCCATTAATCACCTCAAAACCTTCCTAATCATTTAAAAAAAGCCATTTGCTTAATACAACATCTTCAATATATGTATAATAAATCACGATATGAAAATTATTCATGAAAAATATTAATTTTCTTATTTGTGTATTGTCAAAAATTTAATAAGAATTGAGGGAAAAAGTATGAGCAAGTCTATCATGCTTAAAACTATTAACTTAGGGAAACACATGTGTTTGTGTATGATAAGGTTCTGCTACATTTCAATTAATTCATCTTACTATTTGTTTTGTGTTATTTTAATAATTATTAAATACAATTAATCACAAATAACATATATGAAGAACATTTACTTCACATTTCTTCTATAAGAGATTAAGAACAAATTAAGTGTCGATTTCTTAAAAAATAAATTAAGTTCAATGTTAAGTTCTTAAAAAATTAAATAGCATAGCTCAAAAAAATAATTAAATGAAGTAAAATTTGACCCGATATTTTGTTTTTCATCTTATTCTTTCGGCACATGAATGACCAAAAAAAGATACGAATTTCTCATATTAATTGAGAAAGAGACGAATTTTTTAGCAGAAGCAGCAGTAAAAATTTTAAATTTCAACCTCTTTGGGTTTATATCAGAAATAAATGACTTCCTCTTCCTTATTCTGCTCTTTTAAATCATTACCATTAGAATTAGTCTTGTTGTTATTATTTATATTGCTATTGCTATTATTAGATGATAAATGATTGTTTGGTGAAACCTTGGTGAGCAATGGTGCTGTGGCTGAGCCATGTAATGAGACACTTCGTATTTTCTGTGGTGTTTCGACTGTTTGCTCTGCTGGAACTGTGTCAGAGCTTCTTAAACGATACCGTTCTGGTGCTTGCGATTTAGGATATGTGTTAGTTCTAAATAGAAAAAGGTCGAAAAGTCAATAGTCAATTCCATTGAAATTTGAGTAAGATTTGTACCTTGTTGCTGGATTTCCTGTTTGCTGGGGTTGTTGGGGTGCTTGCTGATACTGCTGTGCTGTAATTGGTTGCTGTATGACAGCGGGACTCGAGCCTGTTCTCGAATGATTCGGTACTATTGCTGTTGGCTAGATTGGAAAGATGAACAAATATTAAGGATTGTTCATAATAGATTGATATTGTATCTTTGGATCAGTAGTGTAGCCATGATGCTTTTATCAACTTGACCCACCCCCAAAATCTCGATTCTGTTAATTTAATGACAAGTGAACAGTGCAATTAAGAATTTACCTTTTTATCGGCCAATTTCAATGGAAACATTTGAGTTACGCTTGCAGGCGATGTGAGAGTGTTAGTTGTCGGTTTTGTGCTGTAAAACATCACACGAATGATAAATTAAATAATTTAAGTGTCAATTTATGAATTGTGAATTTCAGGCAAAAATGGATATTTGTGTGGAAATTGGTGATAATTAAGATGAAGTAAATTAAATTGAAGTACTCACTTTGAGAGCGATGACAATTTCAACGGTAATTGTTGCTTGACACTTGTTGGTACTTTTGGTGAATTTGTGGCGCTAGCTAAATTAGCAGTTGATGGTTTAATTGCTGGAATTAAGACACAAATTTTAAAAGGACGTCAATTAATTAATTTTTTTTTTCCTCACCTGGCATTGGCTTATTCCATCTATTGTCTTTTCGAATGCTTGCATTGATTGCAGCCACAATTCCGCCTCCGTCTGTATGATGCTCATCTGCTCCAGCAATTGATTGAGTATCTTCATTATTCATGTTAACAGGCTGATTAACTGGAATTGCTACATTTGGCGATATTAATAGTCCCTGACTCGAAAGTATTTCCATCTTCCTATACAACTGCTCGCGTTGCTCTTGAATGTCTTGTTGTTCCTTCTTTATTTGCTCTTTTAGAGCTTTTTGTTTCTTCTTTTCTTCATCAAGTTCTCGCTCTTGTAGTTCCTTTGTTTTTGACCATGCTGTCTTCTCTTCTTGCAGACGATCTTGAAGATTTCTTAATTCCTCTAATTGATCATTGTGACGATACATCGTCTTGGGGTTCTCACGATAATTATTAAGTTGACTTTGCAAGCTCTGAATTGTTGTCATTTGTTGGGATATGATACACAATAGTGTATGTAAATTATGGGAAACTTGGAGTGCTGCATAGTTATTATCCTTCAACATTTCTGTTGTCACATGCTCATTATCTGTCATATTGGACATTGAATCTAAATCAGATGTTGTTGATTCGCGTTTCTCATGATCACGATTTGAGAAATAGCCAGGAGATAATGTTGGGAGGACAGCATCTCTTGCTATTTGTATGTATGACTGCTTATTACTTCTACGCTCATCAAAGCCTCCAAATGTTTCTGCACGCTTTGGTAGTGTTGGGGAAATGTAAACATCACTTTGTCGTTCACCGACTGAACTAAATGATCGAGATAAAGGCAAACCCGTAGCTGCTGTATAGAGTGACGATGCTAATTGACTAATATCCTGAACAGCAATTAAAGTACGTTTCCATATTTCAATTGGATCACAATCATCAACAACTAAATCACGATAGCTTCCAAAGCTTGAAATGAATGTATTGACACCTGGACTTAATTGTTCTGCTGCATTTGCTGCAAACGTTCCTTGACGATTCAACAATAGCTCTAAATGTAATGCAATTTTTTCTTCTAAAGCCATTGCCTGCTCAAAGTCCTTCTGACGCATTTTACCTGTTATGGAATTGATGGAAAAAATATTAATTGACTATTCATCATTGGTGCTTTAAATAAAGCTTTCATGAAAATCTAAACTACACATCTACAATCTCTATTAATCTATGGATTACAACAATAAAGGATAGAATGTCCGCGTGGACATGGCATGAAAGCGCATTTTCCTTTTTTTAATAAATCATTAATTACTATCAAATAAGGAAAGAAAAATGCGCCTAGCAAGTAAACTAGGAGTTTCTAGAGTCACAAACTTTACTGCATCACTATGGGGCAAAATGAAAAAAAAAGGGACTTTCACTTTGAAAAATGGACTTTTCCGATTTACACTTTTTGGGTGATTTTTTCTTGTAGAGGACATAAAAGTAGATAGAAATGCCAAATTTCAGGTCATTTGGTGCTGATTTCGCGATTCTAGAGCTGTTTGAAGTTGAAAACTAGTGAAAATTCTGGTTTTTTCATACCATGTTTGAACCGGGAAATATCTTAACTGGTTTAAGATATTGCAAAACGGTTTTCAGTTCCTATTAGTAGTATATAAGAGCTTTATTTTGACATATAACAAAGTTTAGGTTCTGAATGTTTTCGTGCCATTATGGTAGAACATATGTGAAAATTTCAGGAAAATTATCTTCAAACAAGCCGCAACTATCATAAATGAAGAGTTTCCAGGCAAGTAAAAACGCAGTTTTGTAGCCCCATATATCTAGTTTTCAAAACTGTATAAACTTTGAAAAAGTAAGCTAACGTAATTGAGTTATGTTGATTTTAGTAGGTCGTTGAGTATTTGGCCAAAAACTAATAATTCTTTTAAAAATACGAAAACATAGTTTTAAAAATAGTTTTTTGGTGTTTTCTTATGAAAAATAACAATTTAAATGATTTTGTGAAGAAAATTTTTCAAAAACTTCAAAATCTTTCGAGATATAGGGGGTATGTGCTCTCCATCGATTTGGCCATTTGTCACCCTACTTAAACCACTATAACTTTTTTTTGAAAAAATATTTTTTAATTCTGTTTTCGGATTATTGTAGCCTAATGTAATACCTATCCAACGATATATAATACTTGCTAGTTAACTTAGTCCTGGTTATTTATAGGGCTGTTGATTGTGACATACGCAGTTTTTGAAAAATTCCCAAAAATTGCATTTTCAAAAATACCACTTTTAAGCAATCTCGAGTATTTTTTGGACTTTTTTAAGAAATGTTAAGTCTGAAAAAAGCTATTATCATTAGAGTAATAAAAAAAATACTCTGATACGCAACTATAATAGGTAAAATTAATAAAGTTTAATTTTTAGTTTAATGAAATTTTGTTTATTTGTCAAGAAATTTAATTTACATTTTTTTATCATATTTAATGAAATTTATTTATTCATTCGTTGTTTGCTTCTTCAGAATATTCATGGTCTTGTCCTTCGGAATAATCATAGTTTTCTGCTTGGGAAAAGTCATAACCTTCTCCTTCTGGCTCAATCAATTCAATTTCTTCCTCATCTTTTTCCTCATTTTCTGTTTGTTGCTCAGGTGTTTCACCTTCTTCTTGGACATTTTTTCTCATTAACCTTTTATTTATTACATCCATATATTTTTTTATTATTACTGGATCAGAACTGTAGAGTCTTCTATGTATAACATCCGTAAAACTGTGTATTCTTGAAGTTTTTCTGGCACGTAGTTCTCTATCTTGTCTGAGATATTTGTTTTGTGACTCCCCGGCTTCTTCACTCATTCTTCCTAGAGGTAATGGTAAGGCTTCCATGTAGTGTTTTGCATGAGCAAGTGCTCTGTGAAGTGTTACTGGTATTTTGAACCAACTATATGTTGTCAAAAACATTCTGTATGTTTCTTTACAGTACCTATCAAATTCATCTAGATCATCAACTGGTTCTAAACTTCGAATTTGGTTTAGCACATAGCATATACGTTTAATTATTTCTTCATTAAGATATAGAGTTTTAGCTAGAAGCTCTGGATTTTCAAGAACTTTTCTTGCAACGTTTCCTGTATCTGATGATCCAGCTCCCCCTTGTCTTGGTTCGAGTACACGAACATTAAATGCATCCCACATTGCTTGCTTTATTCTAGCCTTTTCAACATCTAAAACAATCTGTTCCTCTTCAGTTATCTCCAGCCAGTGTTTTTGAACATATTGTTTATATGACAAATCATATAGAGTCGTGAGTACGTTCATTGATGTATGAAGTGGCTGAGTGTTGAAATACAAGTGTTCTTTAACAAATTTTCTGTGTGTTTTTTCGAATCTTCCATTATCAAGATTATTTATGTCACTCATCTCGTTTGGTCCAGATCTACAAAGCTGACATCTGCAATATCCTGATGTTTCTGTAAGGTCTGTGTAAACTTTTCCATCTAACATTGTGGGGTAGAATTTGTACGTAATTTCCAAAAGCATGTCTTCACATATGAATCTCTGTGGTTCAAGTTTTGATATTTGATTTTTTATATCTTCATATATCCTTCTAACATTTACTCTGGTTTCTTTGGCATGTTCAAGTTGTATTGGTCGTACTGAGTATACAGATTGACTGTTTTCGTTGTCCCATAAGCAGATATAATTTCCGTTTTCGTCTTCATGTCGTAGTTGCTGAACACTCATACTAACTGTCAATAGTGATTTGTCTTCTATAATTTCATTATTAGTCGTTTGATTCGGTTGTGTTCTATCTCGTTCTTGATTTCTTGAATTTGTTTTTCCTTGGTTATACTGTGACTGTCCTGTTGTTCCGTCCATCCCCCATGTGACGATCATTTCTGCATGAATAACTTTTGGAGTTGATTCTGAAGGTAATATTTTGATTTTGTCGTATATTTCTGAATTGTGTGCTTCAATAACTCTTTTTGTGGTGAGTTGTGTCAAATTTTTTAGTGGAATAACGGCTCTTGTATCGGTGACCGTTATGTCATCAGGATAGCATTGTTTCTCTAACCTCAACAATTTTTTAGCTGTCGGTAAAACGTTTTCGCATTCCAGTTTCAGGACTTGTCGAATATTGTTGTACTGATTTCGAGATAAATTGTTAAAGGCTTTTACACCTAGAGCTACATGTATATCTAGTTGTTTAGGTTTTGATGTAGTTTTTTCTGGAAGATCCTCTCCTTTTTGGCACGCCTTAATAAATTCTTTTAACATTTTAGCTCCTTCTACTTTTCCTTCTTCTTTAGAAAGGCGAAGTGCCAAGTGAAGAACTGATAACAATGATCCTTTTGCTTCTTTTAAACTGATATCTAATTCGTCCACTCTTCTACGTCGATGCTTATCGCTTGTTAGTTGTTCAAATGATTTCCTCTTGATGCCCTTGCTGGATGAAGGCTCTATGTCATGGACGATGTATTCAATCTCATCCATATCTTCATCTGTGTCAGTAACATTTTCTGCTTCATATATAGATTCTTCCTCAAAAAGAATCCCTCCACTAGATTCGCTGAAGTATCGTGAGTCAACTTCAAATTCCTCTTCATAGAAATCTGCATGATCTCTTAATGCATTATTCCAATTTGACTGATTACAAAACATTTTTGACTTTGACTTCAGCTTGTTTAATTTATTAATTAAACTTGGTTTCTGTGATTCCGCTAATTCTCTCCCATGAATTTCTTCTATTACTGCCAAACAGTACGTGTGCTGTGTTGCAAGATTTAACGTTTTGTCGCGAAGAATTTCACAGAGTGTTTTCTTCGTAAGTGTTGAATTTTGGTTCATTTTTGAAAGTGACTTGTTCAATGAAGTTCAAAACTGATATGATGTGTAGAGAGAATTTCACGAGTATATATATAAAATAGTTTCAAAACTGAGATTTTCACACCTGATAGTGACTACCAAGGGTACTTTACAAAGTTGTTAACTAGGGAAGTAAAAAGTTTCTAAATTTAATTTTTTGGCTTTATAATCTCATAAATGTCATAAATAAACATAAAAAAGTTCTAAAAAAATACTCGAGATTGCTTAAAAGTGGTATTTTTGAAAATGCAATTTTTGGGAATATTTCAAAAACTGCGTATGTCACAATCAACAGCCCTATAAATAACCAGGACTAAGTTAACTAGCAAGTATTATATATCGTTGGATAGGTATTACATTAGGCTACAATAATCCGAAAACAGAATTAAAAAATATTTTTTCAAAAAAAAGTTATAGTGGTTTAAGTAGGGTGACAAATGGCCAAATCGATGGAGAGCACATACCCCCTATATCTCGAAAGATTTTGAAGTTTTTGAAAAATTTTCTTCACAAAATCATTTAAATTGTTATTTTTCATAAGAAAACACCAAAAAACTATTTTTAAAACTATGTTTTCGTATTTTTAAAAGAATTATTAGTTTTTGGCCAAATACTCAACGACCTACTAAAATCAACATAACTCAATTACGTTAGCTTACTTTTTCAAAGTTTATACAGTTTTGAAAACTAGATATATGGGGCTACAAAACTGCGTTTTTACTTGCCTGGAAACTCTTCATTTATGATAGTTGCGGCTTGTTTGAAGATAATTTTCCTGAAATTTTCACATATGTTCTACCATAATGGCACGAAAACATTCAGAACCTAAACTTTGTTATATGTCAAAATAAAGCTCTTATATACTACTAATAGGAACTGAAAACCGTTTTGCAATATCTTAAACCAGTTAAGATATTTCCCGGTTCAAACATGGTATGAAAAAACCAGAATTTTCACTAGTTTTCAACTTCAAACAGCTCTAGAATCGCGAAATCAGCACCAAATGACCTGAAATTTGGCATTTCTATCTACTTTTATGTCCTCTACAAGAAAAAATCACCCAAAAAGTGTAAATCGGAAAAGTCCATTTTTCAAAGTGAAAGTCCCTTTTTTTTTCATTTTGCCCCATAGTGCTGCAACAAAAAAGGAAAATTTCTTTTACCTTCAAGCCCACTTCCCACTTTTTTTTATCACAATGCATATTTATCATAGCATTAACAATTTTTATAGTCAATGGCAGATAAGGGAATAAATGAAAATGGATGTTCTTGTTAGTTATTTACAAATTTATGTGAGAAAAATGAATTAAAGCAATAAATGACATTTTTTACATAATTCTATAGCATCAGTTAATTGACTTACATATGAGTTCTCGGATATAAGCTTGCTTCTCATCAATATGTCGCTGCTTTTGATCAGCTGTCAATGTATCCTCATTTCTTGTATCGTCAGCCGGACAATCGAGTACAGCAGCACGTATTGATTGAATCCATACATTCTTATCTTTAGGATTTTGTACTTTCAACTCATACATTTCGGGATTTGCGGGGTTTGATGATATTATGTAAATGCCACGTGAATCTGATGCTTTTTCTCTTATCAAGAGCTTTTGTAGGGTTACAACACCAGCCTGCAATTGAATAAGGGTTGAGTATTAGGTTTCGGTAATCTTGATAGATTTATTTTAAATCCAGTTGATTTAATATTAATGTAACCAGAATTAAAGCTTAACATACCTTATTTTCTGGATTAAAGAAAGTGTATTTGTGAGAATTCTCTTGCAAAAAGAACAGGCAGTCGGATAGAACGACAACTAATACTGTGAGCATTTTTGAGCGACCCTGCATTAAAGTTGCTAAGCCTTCAAATCTATAAATAAAATAAAAAAAATTGATTAGTACACAAAATAAATTCATTCATAAACAGCATAGTACTTACTTCAATTTACGACTTGACGACATGATGTCTGACTTCTTAAATTTCATTTCTTTGATTTTTATTTCTTTGTAATCAGATCTTTCGTCAATCAATTTTAGAATTGCATGCGACTTGGCATCAATTCTTTTAAAAATTTCCAACTGCCGATCTTCCTTATCCTTATCAGCAACACGTGAATCGACATCAATCAAAATCTCCCTCACTAATCTCATTGCCTTCATGAGCTTCTCTTGTTCGATTTTATCTTCACCAGAACTCTTTAGTAAGGGCTGAATTAAGAGAGGATATTTCGTTAGGCGTTGAGTAACAAATAAAATGCACTCGGGAATTCCTTTCTTCTTTAGCAATGGGTTGTGTAGACAGTGCTTGTACCATTCAGCGAATGTCTGATCTTCAGTCATGTAATACTTAAATGTATCGAGTGCTGAGCGATGATTCGAACAAAATTCACCTGTTAAAAGTTCGGTATTAAGTTCAAGATTAGTAATCAATTCAAGTTTTGATTTTATTTTTAACTTTTGAAACTTAACGCTGGATTAGGATTTGAAAATTCTTGGTTTATAAAAAAGATTTAAATTGCAAAAGTTCGTTATTTTAAACCAATTTGAAGAAAATTCAAATCTTGAAAGTTCGTTATTTTAAAATGATTAATATTGAATAAAGGTTTTAAAACATAAAATTTACACAAAAATGAATTCATTATTAGCAGTCAACTTATGTGTCTTATCGAACGGAAATCCACAACAAAACTAATGAATATCAATTAATTTGAGGTGTATGTCCGATTTTAAAAATAATAAAATATATCAGAACTTACCGTAAGCACTTTTCAATTTTTGCGCTGATAAGGCAGAAAAGAAGTCGAGCAGAATATCAGCGATACTGTCAACAATGTAATGTTCACGTTGTTTTAAACGTAATTTTTTAAGAAACCTGTAAAGTTATGTATAAATTAAAATTAAGCACCTTCGTGACATTAATTAATGACTACATACAATATGTGAAGTTCAGTTAAATCTTGAATGCGTGGGAACATTCTCTCTAAATTAAGATGACTGAAATGACGCTGTAAACTGTCTACAAATACTTTCTGCATCACTAAAAGCGTCTGGCAGTGATGTTTCTCTGTCATTATAAATTCATAAATATGCTCTTGTCGCTTCACTTGCTTATCTTTTAATGACTTGACAACTTCTTTTGGTACACTTGGCGACCATGAGTCAGGCTCGTCAATCGCAACTCCCAAAATTGACTCTGCTCCTAAATCGTGAGGTCCAATTTGAGCCTCGTTTAGAAATTCATCGCGTATCAGTGGTGTGTCGTCCGAATAGCTTAACAAATGAGAAAAAGAATGAATAAATATTGAGTTAAGACATGAATTGAGTGAGAATTGTTAACAAATGTGCATGATAAATCAAAAAGTTAATGAATTTAAAAAAAAGCAACAAATTCAAAAATTTATGAATTATTGAAAATGTTATTTTAATATTACTGTTAATAATATCAATTTCAATTGACTTTTGTATCAAATCTTTATTAAGTTTATACTCACTTGGCATGATCATTGGAATGTCCATCGTAATAATCTCGACTATCATGATGTGAATTGTGGCTAATTATTATTTTTGTATGTTTTTTTTTTTTTATTTTTGCAAGCAGAAGTTAAAATTTTTTATTTGAAACAAAAAAAAAGAAATGAAAAAACAAATCAAAAACTGAACACGAACAAAATATGTCTAGGTAAGTTTTAAAAGAGGAAATTTTATGTTTTATGAGATAGATAATAGAGTAATTTTATTTGCAGATGCTACAAAGTAAACTCATGAGTTTTATTGCATAAATGAGAATGCTAATAGTGTGAGAAAATATTCTTTAGCGATATATGAAATGAATCAGTTACTAATCAGTGGTATTTGGAGTGGAAGTGCTTTCTATTTTGTCATTTGTGCTTGATAGGTTTTTGATTTTATTTTTTAAACTTGAACGGTCGATTTTATTTTGAAAATTCTTCGTCAAAATTCAATTTTTTAAGCCGATTTGAACTTAAAAAGACCAGCAATTTGAACCGATTTAACCAAGAAGTTTGTCAATTTGACAAAATTTAAATTTAAAAATTTAACGAAAAACATTCAAATTCAAAATGTTCGTTAAACTTAACGAAAGATTTAATTACATCAAATTGATTTTTTTACACAAAATATCAATAAATAGAATGGATTACCAATCCAAATACCCTCATAATAATTAAAGAATATATTACAATATTCATCAAGCTTCAATACAATAGTCAAAGTACTTAAGAAGATAACGTAATGGTAAAATAGTTTGTATAATTTCACAGATAAAATAGTAATAGTAATAACAATCAACAGCATTTTACTTAATGAGAATAATGCAGAGAGTCGATGAGAATGATAGTATTTGTCCAAATAACTTCGAATATAATGAATTATAGAAATGTATAGAGATATATATAATATAAGAAAGCTTAAGAGAAACACAATAGATCTATGATGAATATTTATATCTTTTTTTTTGTTTCATGAAAATAGACGTTTCTCAAAATAGAACCTACAGACTACATTTATAATAACAATAATAATTATGGCAAAATGTGAAATTTTTAAGTAACGAAAGCGAGATAAAAGTTTTTTATAAGGAAATATAAAACTTTTAAATTCTTTTCTATTCAGATTTTGTTTTTTCATTCAGAGGAAATGAACCTTTCTTACTGCTACTCAAGATTTGGAAAAGTAGTTTGGAAAATCAATAAAAACAAATTAGAATAAATTAAAATTTAAAAACAAACGGTTCAACACGAAAGTCCAAAAAGTCAGATTAACAGAAAACTAAGGAAATAAAGTAAGGGAAGTATTCAAGGGAATGTAACTGATTCTATATTTATTAGGATTGTAACCTTTAATTTTAGGGTCGTTCAATTATGACATTTATTTATATTTCCTCCTACCCCTACCCCCCCCCCTCTTTATTTTTCTAGTTTAAATCATTTTTTGAGGTTATATTTTAAACTTAAATTCCAACTAAGGTTCTGCATCTATTTAAAAAAAATTAGCAACCCCCAAACCTAATGTTAAGTGTACTACACCCACAGTTCCTTCTTCAAGACAAAATGTGACAAGATTTTCTTAATATTTCAGCTCCTAAAGCCAAGATTAAAATCCCAAAAATAAATCAAAAAGTTTTCATTCCCGTAAGAAAAATGCGATAGAACAAAATTTGTGAAATATAGAAGAAGAACAAAAACGTTTTTCACTCCGAACAATTAACATTTGGTGAAGAAACAAAAACATCTCAAAACAGATAATGATTTATAGACATAAATGAACTCAAAAGTCTCAAAAATAACTTATAAAGAACGCATCTACTTGATTCATTTGTTCAGATCAAAATCAAAAGTCAATTAAGAGGAAAGGTAATTAAATTTTGAAAAAATAACAAAAATAACACAAGAAATTTGTTCATTTTAAGAAGAAATGAAACGACAAAAAGTTCTGTGTGATGGTCGGTATAAAATTGTTTTTGTTACCTAGCGTGATGCGTCACCACGCCTAATTTATTTGCAACTATCTTCCAAGGTGAGTAGCATCCGATTTGTAACGATTGTTTTTTGCCGCTTTTATAATTAACATAGGAAAAACATAATACATATATTGTCATATCAATAATTTCTTTCCTGATTATTCTTTATTTTTTTACTAATTTATCAAATTTTTTGTAAATGTTAAAATTAAACGATAAATTTTGTATATTTCGTTCGTTTCAATAAAGTAATTCGAAAACGAAAATTAAGAGGAAAAGTTTGAGATTTTAAAGTGAAAATTTCGAGCATGTCAATCAGATTAATGATGCAAAAGCTTCTGCGTATTTTGAATTTTGTCAAATTTTGATGCAAAAGTTTTCGCATCTTTTTAAAATTTGATGCAAAAACTCTCGCATCTTAAAATTTTGATGGAGAAATTTTCGCTTCTTCAAAAATTTGATGCAAAAACTCTTGCATCTTTGAATATCTGATGAAGAAACTTTCGCATCTTTAAAATTTTGATGCAAGAGTTATCGCGTCTTTTAAAATTTGATGCAAAAATTCTCGCATCTTTGAAAATTTGATGCAGAACCATCGCGTCTTTAAAAATTTGATGTAAAAGCGTTTGCATCGTTCTCAAAAACGACCTTAATTGACACGCTCACAGTTAAAAATCAGACAGAATAGGAAAGAATTAGATAAAAGATATATGCAACTGATGGAAAGTAAATGAAATATCGGAAAATATATTCAACTTCTTAAGATAAGTTTCATATCGTTTGATAGACAAAATTTAAGTAACTTATAAGTCATGATTCTATAATTTTTGTGTTTTATGAAAAAAGTAAAAAAAAAATTGTTATCGATTCCCCATCAGCATGATTTCATTCAATTTAAACTAATTTTGATGTATTTTATGTTTAATTAAATAAGTGGCATTCGCAGACATATCACAGATAAGCATTAATTTTTTAAAAATCTATATTTTAAATTTTTTTATTATGGAATTATCATAGCTCTTGTTTAAAGGGGTTCCAAAATTAGTTCATAATCATTACATTGTTTAATCAGTAAGTTTTATTTTGATCAATTACAAATGGAATGGATTTTGAAGGTTTTAGTGGTCTAACACTGCTGGCTAGTATCTATAATAGCAAGTGATTCGGATCCCACAATAAACTGTTGGTCTAAAGGGTGTGGTACAATAGATTCTGTTCTAATTTGAATCGCAGTGCCTCCTGGAAAGGCTGGGCCCTTCACACATTATTATTATCTACACTCATAGAAAAAAAGTAACAAAATGTTTGTAACTTGTATGGAAAATGTTAACAAACAATTCGTTAAAATAGTGTTTACGAACTTATTTGTTAAATTTAACCAAATTATTTGTAAGGTTGAATTGTTAACTATAAAAATTGTTAATTTAACAAACTTTTTGTTAAAATTTTTTTTTACAGAAAAAAATAACAAATTTTCGGTTAATATTAACCAGAAAATTGTTAATTTGGTCACCCATCTTATTTTAAAATGTTTCCGTGGTTGCTTAACTTCTGAATTCCTGTTGATGATCCGCTAGTCCGCTGCTTGTAAACTTTTACTTATAAAATTTGATTCAGAACCAATATAAATAATTCTTTAAAAAATATATCCAAATTTTAAAATTAATTTATGAATAATAAAATAGAAATGTAGGACTTAAAAAAATGAACAAATTTAATTTTTAAATTACGATTTGGTTTGTAAATCATTATTTTCCAAAACAAATTACAAATAAAAACATTGTAACAAATGTTTTGTTAAAATTAACAAATTAATTTGTTAAACAAAATCAACAAAATTCAATTTAAAGCAGTTTTCTCATTAAAAATAACGCAATAAATTAATGGGAATCGTTTGAAATTAATCAAACAAGAGTTTTGAATACAAAAATTAAAATTTAATTAAATCAATTATTAACAAATAAATTTGTTGATTTAACAAACTCAATTGTAAAATTTTTAACAAATAGTTTGGTTGAAATTTTTTTTACCCATGTAAACTTAACCAATAATTTGTTAAACTAGTTTAACAAACATATAACAAATATTATGGTTACTTTTTTTCTATGAGTGTATACTAGAGAATATTGACAAGCCAGGTCAGGAACTGATAAAAATTGAAAATTAATTAATCATCCTCCGGATTCGGGTTACGTTTTTAAAGGATCTTAATCATTGAAGAGTTATTGTCAATTTTTGCATGCATAATTCAATTTTTAAAATATTTAATGCTTTTTTAGTGCAACAAGCAATCATAAAAGCAATTCATGGATATTTCTAGACAGCTTTTTATTGTGCATTTTATGATTTTGCAATAAAATATTTTAAGGAAGAAAATAGTCATTCAATAATTAAAGTTGTTAAAAATTTCCAATAATAGCTATTGTCTAATGACTTTTGTAAGTTCCTGGTCAACCTGAGGCTTAATCATTTGAATTTCAAACTATGAACTAAACTTCAGAGCCTTCTTTATGAATGTGTTTGCCTACTTTAACGTTGCTAGTGTCAAAATCGTTCACAATAAACGTATTGAATCTAGTAGTTTAAGTATAGTGACCCCCAGCTGTAACTGAACTAATATTGAGTCAAGAGCGTAGCCAGAAATTTTTCACGGGAGGGAAGGTTTATTTTTTTGAATGGAAGAGGAAAAAAAAGGATTTTTTTAACCTTAGCAAATTTAAGAAACTTTCCTAAAAACGGGGGGGAGGGACCTTACCCCCCCCTCTTATGTATTGATTTTTCAGGTATCTCGAATTTTTTAATTTGGAACCCCATTGACATAAGCAACTCAATTTTAAAAATTTGCATTAGATTGCTTTAGATACAGAAAAATGCATGGTGAGCTATTATCTATCGAGTAAGTATAACTATAGTGAGATTCCTCTATGATTATACATTGCAAAAGCTCATGATAACTCAATTCAATAATTGAAAATAAAAAATAAAATAATAAATACGTATCATAACAAGTAGTGCTCAATATATATCGAGTAGTAAAAAAAAGTATTAAAAAGAAAGCATTCCTTTGAATTACCTTGATTCATTATTCTTATTAATTCGTTATGTGAGGATATATATCATAATCATCTTAAATCTACAACCATTATTTAAAAAAAATCTTTTGTTTCTCTTTACTCATGATAGGGAACTTGATTCTTATGATCTTGATTTTTATATTTTATTATTTTTTTTAATGTTATTAAAGCATAAATGACTGACTTAAAATAAATTAAAAGATTATTTTTATTTTTGAGAAAAAAAAGTGAGATTCTTTTGTTAAATGTAGCATAATGAAAAAAATAAGGTGAAAAATTATTGAAACAAAGCTTATGTCGTAATATTCATAAGAAGATGTTGAGGAAAAATAATGTAATAAGTAAATTAATGAAAATTACCTGCTTGTTGAGTTCTTCTTTCCACTTGATGATTTTAAATTCTGCGACTGTATCGATGATAATGTTGAGGATTTGGAGGTAGATAGGCAGTTGAAAGAGAAGGAAGAAAGAAGATAATGAATTCGATTAGATCGTGTTAAGCTTCATAATCATTTTTAATATAATTCACGAAGTTTGCTTCGAGAGTCGATTACGCTCCACAACCAAACGTGTTTAACCCCAACCCCCTCTTTTCGTACCCAAAATGCGACAGAAAATGAAAATATCATTCAAATTTTAAAAAGTCGTTAAATATTCAAATTTCAAAAACCGATAAATATTCAAATTTTAAAAAGTTGTTAAATATTCAAATTTTAAAAAGCCGTTAAATATTCAAATTTTAAAAAGCCGTTAAATATTCAAATTTTATATTTTAAAAAGCTTTTAACTTTAAATGCTATAAAATGTATTAATTTAAAATCTAATATCAAGAAACATTGATATGAAGCTTTATTTGTCGAATTATGACTGCACACCACTAAGGTCGTAGCCGTGCCTAAACAACAGAGTATAAACTGTCATTATTGTCTTATAACCTTCCTAGTCCCATCCCAAAAATCTGAGCATTCTTGTAATCTATCTCAGAGACATCTAATTATAGCACAAAAAAAAATAAATCCATAATAATCACAAGAAAGATATTCATAATTTACCTTAGCTAATTTCACTTTACACTCTACTGCATGTTCTTTATACAAAGCGAGACTTATCGCTGCTCCACAAGCTAAAACGATAAAATCATAAAAATATTTCACATTTTAATTATGAGCTCATTTGGAAATGCGGAAAACATAGAGGAAAAGTTTATAGCTCGATTAAAATTTCTCACTTCTGTCAACCTTCAAAAATTCATGACAAACACGACCACAGCCTTTAATTTGTTCAATTGTTATTGGTATAGGTCATGAAAGGAAATGAAAAATTTCATTCGAGTACGCTTTAACACCATCAAATTATCCATGAACTTCCTCTGAGTTTTCTGAATTGGAAATAAAAATGCGGCAATTACCATCACAGTTTGTCGATTGTCCTTTTGTTTTCATTTTATCCTTTTTCTTCCGTGAGAATAGTGAACCTCTCTTGCGTCGCTTCTCGGGTCCAACAAACACTTCGCTGTAGATTCAGGTATGAATGAAAGATATTAATTAATGACTTATAAGGACAATATGATTAATGTAGAAGGGTTTGAGGGGGTCTCCGTTTTGAATAATTTAAGAATCGAGGACCCCCTGAAATTTATTAAAAATTAATATTATAATGATCATAAAAAGCATGCAAACTAAGTTAAACTAAAGCTATATTCAAATGTTAATGTTGACCATGATTGCATCACAAATGTTATTAAATGAACTATAAATTCAAATAAAAAAATTAATAAAAAGTTAAAGTCTTAATGATTATGTCTCTAATTATTAACAATTTCAAGCTAGGTCTCTTAATTTATACTTAGCAACTTACATTTTGTCTCTGTCTCTAACACATAATAAGGATCTATCATCTTGATTTTCATCCTCACTATCTGATAATAGATGTCGTGATCTAATTTTTTCACAACATTTTTCAGATAATTTTTTCATATCATTTTTATCAATCATAGATTTTTTTTCATTTATTTTGTTGAAATTATAAAAATGAAACAGAGGCATAAAAACAAAGAAAAAAAAAATTATTTACAAATTAGCTTTACAATCAAAAAAATTTTGCGATAGGAGAAAAGATGAATTTTTGTTGTTTTTATTTTTATTGACAGACATTGAGGCTATTTTCGATTTTGAACGGAATTTCTTGATTTGAATTTTTAACGAAATTTTACTTTTTGAATTTTGAGTCTTATTTTTAACGATTGAACTTATTTTGTGATTTGAACCTTATAATTACAAGAAAAACTCATTAAATTTTTGAAAACCTTACAAATTTTTAATCAAAACCTAGCAAATGCTTCTTGAACATTACCAAAACCATACAAATGTTCTCTAATTTGAAAGCTTTAAGTGTTTCAATTTCAAAAAAATTCATATGGTTCTTAAAAAATTACAAATTATCTTTACAAAACCATTCAAATTCCCAAAAAAATTCAAATTAACCGTTAAACATAATTGCATGATTTTCATTTTTAAAATCGAGTCCAATGATTCGAAATAAGCTTCAATGTCTGTCCGCATTATGTTGAGAGAGAAAAAAAAATTAAGTAAAATAGTCAGATTGAATTATTTTCATTATGGAAGTAAAAGTGGTGGAAAAGAAATTGTCATTGCTTAACATTTAGAAAAGAAGACATTATAAAAAGTGAAAATTCACATCAAAAAGTATGACAAAAAAAATTGTGAGTAAGGAGATAATAATCTCTTTTCTTGTTGTTCGTGTCCGTTAGTCATTACAGAAGAAAAACATTATTACTTAATTCATATTTCATTGCTAATGCCTTATTCGTGCGGAAAGGTGTGATAATTAAATTAATTAAAATATGACGACATCATGCAAGATTATTTTTGTTCTTTTTTTTTTCGGCGACTTGAGTGACTTGATAAGAAGAAAAGTCTCAAGTCTCTGCCACTTATGATGTCTTTTCATCTTTTCTTTATCCCGAGCGACATGTCATGAGAGGAGGCAGTCATTTAACTGCTATTCTCATGATGTGTAGCCAGAGGTCGGTTTCTTGGGCTAGACAAAGGCATCTCCCCTTGTAATGATAGGAGGTACCAAAAAAAGCTTTAAAAACCAGCCCTAGCAGTGTAGCTAGAAGAGGTAAAAAGTACTTCAACCTTTACACAATTCAAGCTACACCGCTATGCTGCTCAGGCACAATATCAAAGACTTTTAAAAAATAATTATGATATAAACAATAAAGATTAATATTTTGTGTGTGTAGCTTAATGTTTATAATCATGTGTGCTGTCATTCTTATTTCTTAAAGTAAGCAAAAAGTGATTCACAATATAAATAAAATTAGAAAAGTTTATAGTAAAAAATTGAATTAAGGAACAGACTTAGTGTATACACAACATAAATCAAAGGAAAAAGTAATGATAGATGGAAAGATTTAAAAGAAAAATATGAGAAAACAGACAGACGGTGAAGAAAAGAATTTTTTTTGCGTTAATTAAACTTACGGTACGGCATTCTCCTCTTTAACATTTTGAACGGGTGCTATTGATGGTGTAGAGACAGACTTTTGAAGCGGTATTCGACACACGGCTGGTGCCAAATTTCTTTTGGCATTCAACTTCTCGAAATCTCTCTACAAATAGATTTTTTTTTTTTTTGGATATAAAGAAGAAAAAAAAAAGAAGTAAGCAAGTTTGTCGAGTTTACTTTTCAAGATTAAATCAAAGATTGATTTTTGACTGTAAACTATATTAATAAATATTTACCGCCAGTTCTGCTTCATTTAGAGAATGTGTGGATATGCCACCAGTGCTATTACGATTCGTTCGATTATGTAATCGCTCATTGGTACGCAATGATTCCTGCTCTTCGCTATCTAAGCTTGTCAAACTGACACTACTCTTGTGAGAGTTCTTCGTGCAGTCAGTTAAATCTTCAATTGCAGTCCACGATTTTCGGCGATTGTCATTTAACGTATATGTCAAGGCGTTTTGCGCTGCCAACCATATTGCATTATATGTTGCATTTGTCGCACTGAGATTTGGTAATGACGGACATGAATAGAAAACTTTTGATGATGCGAGCTATTGTTTTATTTGGAATGGATGAGAAAAAGAGAAAAGAGTTGTAAATTAATTATTATTCAATAGGCCACAGTAATTATATAGCAGTAATGATTAATATTTCCTCTGCTTTCAATTATTGTATATCGACATTTACCGTTGGATTAATAATTCCAATATTTCCGAAATTGGTGTTTTGAGCTGATGAATTTTTCATCTGAACAACGCTCTCGCGTATGCTCTGGAGATGATTTAGTGAGTCCTCTAAAATGCTGTTATATTTCGTTCCCGGACTGTGGGGTGTCACGGATATTATTGGAACCATATTGCAGTTATGATGATTATTTATGATGATATTATTATTATTATTATTGTAATTATTTGTCTGAGCAGATGGCGTAGTTATGGTGATTGTATTATTTCCAGCAATATTGAAATTATTGGAACTACTTCCATTCGTGTACCCTAAATCGCTGCTCGACATTAAGCTTCCTTTATCTTTGATGTCAATTGTTGATACAAAATAGTTTTTTATATTTGTTGGTGTATGCGTAGGTGTATAAAGTTTTGATGCAGCTTTTGCTGTTGTTGTATTATTATTACTTATATTATTATTATTTAGTGTTGGTGCATCTAAATAGTCGGTTACCAGATCAGCATCACTGTCGTCGTCTAACACAATGGAAAATAACGTTAATGCAAATTAAATTAACAACGTACAGCTAATGATATTAATGGAATGGATGTTCATACACATAAAGTTTGAGTTTTGGGATTTGAGTGCATTTTTCACAAGAATATGCTCTGATATTTGATTCTTTTTTGGCTGGGTGGAATGTATGACTTGCCCTGGGCCATGCAACTGTCACAGAGTTGTCGTGTTGTAGATAAAGAAGAATTACGGTCAAGGCAACGTGAATTTATGGATCATTATGAAATGTAAAAGTTTGTGGTGTGAAGCTTGAAATGAGATCTCGACTACAGACTAAAATAAAGAAGAAAGCACGTAGTATTCGCTTAATAGTTGGAACTAGAGCCAAGAAATATTGTAAACATACTAAACGATACCAAATGAACATTGATTTATTAAAGTCTGTCTGCACAGTTCAATGAAATCCGGAAAAATACTCTTTGATGCCAAAAAAGCACATCTGAGAAGTTGCTTTAAATTTAGGTCAAGAGCTTTTAACCCGAGAAAAATTGTATTGTAAATTTTCCGTTAAAACCGGAGCAACAGAAATTCGGGTTAACTTCACAGGTGGCTCTAATCAAGCTTTTCACTTAACTTTGTCAATTTTGAAACTATAAAACTACGGACCACAAATTTGGTTGCTAAGGCAACTCATTTAATTTCACGACCAACTAGCAGCCATTAGAACATTCAAAAATCAATTTTATAGAACATTAATCTTGATAGAAGTTCAATAAAATGGACGGTTTTAAGCTTTCCAAAAAAAAGCTCTCGTTCCACTCAAACAAAGATGCACAAAAGAGATGAACGAAATGAAGAGGATTTACATATATCAACCACACAAAAAGCAACATTATAATCAAATAAAAAATATACACATAAGGGTTGTTCTTAAGTGATGTCTGTCAAAAAATGAGGATTCTTTCCAAATTATAAGAACTGATCAGAAAACAATCAGCCCCCAGACTCTATTCTAGTCCACTTTAAATTAGACGTCACTTACGAAAAAACCTCTTTAAGAATCCTTCTTAAATGATGTCTTACTTAAATTTCTATTATTATTTTCTTGTTGACCCCCCCCCCCCCCCTCTTGACGTCATAAGTGAACAAAGTCATTTTTTGATCAGTTTTGCACTCTTCACTCTACCTTCTCTATAACAAAATTATCTATCCTTTAGAAGTGTCGTGACATGTCATACAGCATGTATCAGACTTTCTTACCTTAAAATCTGTACATCATTTATGAATGACTTTAAAATAGATTCTTAATAAGTGAAGTCTAACTTACAGAAGACTGTTTAAGAGTCTAGAACTGTATGTATGTTCAATAATCGAGCCTTAAACGCCTCAACCCTCTAAATCATCATATAGACATCATTTACACACAACCCCATATCAAAAAAATAAAATATTTCGTCATAACATCATGCACAAAAAATATATGTAGCATAAAATAAAATAATATTGAATGAGAGAAAAAAAACAAGCAACATAATAACATGAGCATGAAAACTTATAAAAAAAACACTATTATTATTATTTTTTTCGACTTTTGTACGTACGGTGGAAAATGCACAATAAAATATTATTTTTGTTTTTGAATCATCGATAAAGAGAAGAGAAGAGAGAGCCAACATCAATGACTATTTTATTATAGCAACGTATAACGACAACACAAAATAGCATAAAAGAATGAAAACAATCATATTCTACATTTATTTTCGTGTGTCTCTCTATCAAAATCCAATGAGTTCATAGCGCGCGCCACATGTATATTTGTATGTATTTACGGTGTTGTATGCTTCTCTCGCTATTGTTGTTATTCTTATTTTCGAAAAAAAAAAATATAAAGGTTTGAACACTACGGCTTATTTTCATTAAAACAGCAACTTCATGACAACAATATTCATTCTCAATAAAATGACATGACGCAACCGAATGACTTCTTTTTTAGTTTTCCAATGTGATTTCTTTGTCGACTTGCTTTCTTAGTGCTGAAGATGACGCTAAAATTAATCCATTTTCTTCTCAATTTACTTCTCTTTCTTTGCTCTATGTAAATACGTGTGTTCGTATGAAAATATACAGTATGCAATTGTGACCTTTTCAAAATTGTGAACAGCAACAAAATACAAAAAAAAACGAAATAATTTGTATAAATATAAATAAATTCATTTCGTATTACGTAGGATGGAGTGTATGAAAAAAGGCATAAACAAAATGTGGCATTTTATGAAGGTATATAAATATGCTATAGATAACAAATTATCAATGCATAGTAAGTTGTTCCCTCACATTCTGTCATTTAAACTTTTAGCAGGTTTATTTTCAGTGAAGCAAGTGCTACTGCTATCATTTTGGGTGGGCTTTAATTTGATTAATCGTTTAAAGTTTAAATTTTGGACATGAATGGATATTTTTTTGGCACTTGATGATTTTTCTTTTATTTGTTGTGGTGCTGAATTGGCTAGGATTGAGCTACGCTTAAATTGAAACATGTTGCATGTTCTGTTATATTGCTAGAATTATTTTAGAAAATGTCTTTTTAAGACTTTCATTTCACCATCTGTTTTCTATTATATGACGGCAATAGCCTTCTTTTTGGAAGAGAAGCTGTTAAAATAACTTCAATTGAGCTTTAAAAATCAAGGCGGAAGAGTTTTAACATTGTTATCAGGTTTTTCAAAAGGAGCAAATATAGTTGGAGTCACAGCTTATGACTCTTAGTTTAAAGTATCTCTGAGCTGGAAAAGCGAAGCCAGCGGGAGTCTGTGACAAAACCCCTACTTCAACGTAGATCACGTTAGGCCAAAAATCATGTTTGGAACCGAAATACATTTTTTGGATCACCTAAGGTCTGGTGTGTGATGCTTAAATACTCAGTTTGAATATGATCTCGTTAGAAACCAAAGAACTAGGCTAATCTAGGCATCTCCAAATCAAAAATTTTTTTATTTTAGCCGCTCATTTATTGGAGATCCCTGATTTGAATAGTTTATATTTGACTTAGATTTTTGAGGAACAAAAAACATATTTAAATCGAATATTTCTTTGGTTAAACTTTTATCAAAGTCAAGAACCCCCTAAAATCAAACTTAATAAATGAAACCCCCCAAAAATAACTTTTTAAAGACTGTGGCTTGAAAACAATTTAAATTTCGTATGGAAAATTCGAGTCGAGCTTATACAAAATATCGTCTCGACTCTCAAAAACCATAGCATGAGATATATTTAGACACTAAGAGCTTTTAAAAACAATTTCGCCCAATTTCTCAGTCCACCTAAGGAAATACAGACTTCCAAAAATAAATATAAAACACTACCATAAATAATACAACATAGAAAAGATGAAGCAATTAGTAAGGAAAATGGATCACAAATTCGTGTTGAAATAGCTTAAAGCAGTTCACTTTCAAGTGCTGTTAAAATTGGCTGAAATAATTCTTCAAAAATTTTACTCCAATTTTCTCCTCACTTAGATCTCAAATTGTTGCGTTTCCCAAAATTGGGTCAGTAAGAAGCTCAGTTCTTTAACCTTTCAAGTGCGCTATTGTCATGAGCCCTCAGATACGCCCAACTTGCACGATATCTTTTATTATAGTTTCAATAGAGGCGAAATAAAATAAGTAAGCGAGTTAAACAAAACAATAGCACTTAAAATATCAAGCAAGTACAAGTAAAAGTGCTACTTTCTGCTATTATTTTATTTTCCATGAGCACAACAAACATATTTCGTCTCTATTAATTCTCACTGACTTGACTCTTTACTCTATTTTTTTTTCAAAAGGTACTCAAGTTTTAAAGTCATTCAGCTCTTCTTTCCTGTCGTAATGGCTGAGAATGATGGAAAAATCTTCAAAAAAATAAAAATAAGCATAACACAATGAACAAGTATATCCCATTGTTTCAATTTGATTTGTATCTTAATAAATTTATTACGCTCATCTATGAAGTTTCTAGCTCTTATACCTCTTGAATTATTCAAAAGTTCATCATTGTTATGAAGAATGGCTATGCCACATTATGATTTTAATAATCATAAATCATACGATTGAATCATAAGCAGTAAGAATGAGAATTTAGATTAATTAATTATGAGAACTTTGCCATACTACTTTTTTTGCACTCAATTTACCGCATGCCATTTCAATTAAGTCACACAATTTATGACTGGAAATATGATTAAGTAATTAATTTTACCAAGCTTGGCCTTTTTTATCACAAGCATAAAACTTTATTGATAAGAGTCAAAAACTGTCAAAAAAAGTGGTGGATGAGTGATTTGTAGTCGAAGGACAAAAAAAAACGAGACGTATGTGCTCATTTCCTTAAGCCATAGAAGATGAAAGTTTGTCCTTGTCATATCCGCATCTCACATGTACGCGACTAGTAGACTTAATGAATCATTTTATTATCTCAAGAATCCTCTCAAAATTGCTCTTGAATTCTCATCAAATTTTCATGGCTATAAGTAAGATGGACGTAGTAAGAAAGTGTATCAGGGGCGTATCCAGGGACAAGGTCGATTATCAATTAGAAATAATCCTTGGACAAGGTGGAGTTTGAAACAATTTTGAAGAGTTTAAACCAGTGGTTCTTAAACTGTATGCCGTGACACACTAGTCTTCCACAACAGCTGATAATCTAATACTTTGATGGACATCACAATTAAACAACTTTTGGTATCACTAAAGACCTAGCCATGTGACAGCCTTACTTCAGTTTAGTAATGTCACTGATATGCATCTATAAACTGCTACCTTCCATCCCAGTTAAATTGACAGATACGGCCCTGTGCGAACAGAAATAACAAGAGATATTGCAGAGAATTGCCTTAATGGAAGCATTTATGCAATAATAAAATGGATAAAGAGGAAGTAAGGAGGCTGCAGAAAGTACATTAATTGAAGTTGACGAAAGAGCACTTTTCTTTATAAAATTAGCACAATGTCAAGTGAAAAATGATTTTGTGCCTTCCTCCTTTCTTTCTTCGTCTCCGTATGTGGAAGGAAATAAGAAAATTCAATAATAAAGTATAAAAGCATCCCATATTGGCAGCCAATTGTTGCTTATTTTTTCTTCCCTTTTTTCTCTCCTCTCATTCGGTGCAATGTATTTTTAAGTATCAAGGTCGCAAGGTATGTGCTTTCTCATGTATACATATTTTTGTAAGTGCCCTTAATATTTTCACAATCATAACTTCCTATCATCTATTATTATCAGATTAGTGTAAGGCACGAGTTGTGGTAAAATACTTTTAGTTGTCTTTTCACCTCCTCTTACAAAAGTACTTAATTTCTAATGGTTATGTGTCTATAGCAAGCATTACCTGACGACTGTAAGAGACCTTCTGATGAAATGTCATTATCCATTTTTTTTTCGTCGAGTAGTTCTTTTATGTCTGTTTATTTATTATGTTTATTGACAATTCGGGTTCCTTCAAATCACAATAAAAGGATGGAATTAACACTTTTTGATGAGCATGTCATTAGATTAGAAACAAAAAATAAGTCGACTCGACACACTTGAAACCTTTTCTGGTTCTTCTTTTAATTTTTAATGCTCCAAAATCGTCTTTCTCTGCTGTTTGTCTTTCTTATTATTATTTTATGTGTACTGTGCACTGTCTTGTCGTTTCTCTTTTATCATCAAACATAAAACATAGAGCACTTGTTATTATGGAATTATATTCAACACACACATAGACACACATGCAAAACAAGGATTTCTAAATATAGCATAGGACATGATATAAAATTTAATTAATTAAAATAAGCACAAGACACAATAAAACAAAAAACAAAACTTGACTTTTTATAAATTCAACAAATTATGCATGAAGTTATGAAAAATAGAAGAAAAAAAATTTCATATTCGTTGTCTCTTCTTTTCTGTACTTCCATTTCTGCAACGAAGAACATTACAATTTTTTTCTCACCAAACTATATAATTGTAGGCTAAAATTTATTATGCTACAACATGCCTCAATAGTGAATAATAAAAAAAAAATTAAAATAAAGGTGAAATTTTATATTAAATCCGGGTTTTGAAAGAAAAGAAAGAAAGAAAAATTCATTTTAATTGTAGAATTTGTAGCAACAACAAAAAAGTACAGTTAATTAATGTTTTCTTTTTTTGGATGGAACTACAGTAATAATGTTTAGGAAATATTCAACATTCCATCGATAAATTGGTCATTACATAGAATGATAATATCAAGTTAATGACATAAAATTGCATAAAAAATTCAACTTGAATTCAAGTCTTGAAAAAAAGAGACATCGAAGGATTAAAAAAATTTTTTTCTCTTCAGATTGATTTTTTCTTTCAACCTGTAGATGTTTTTGTGAATTTCACTTGTTTTATTTTATCAGCATCACTTTTTAACACTTGAAAACTGTGTATGCTTAATTATATTGCAATAATTGATTGCACAATGACTGAATGGACCGATATTAATTCACATCTTTTAGAAAAATATCTTTACGACTTTACAGAAAAAAAAATTTTTTTCCATTTCTTCTGACTAATAATATCCGAAAGATGTAAGTAAACTGAGGTGACTGGTTTTGGAATCAATTTTGTGCTACCTCAGAGGATAGAAGCGCTTTTGGAGTTTGAAATTTTAAAAACCGTTTTTCAAATTTGGTTTTTAATTTGATTTTTTTTCAAATCTTATGAATTGAAAGTTTATTTTTTTCATTTTTATTTAATATCTAAAGTTGAAAAATGTTGTTACTGATGATGACTCTTAAATGTTCTTATTCCTTTATGTTTATCTTCAATATTGTTTTTCTTTTAATTTCTCGATGGACTGCTTTGAACTTTTTATATTGTTTATTGTATACATTCACGCCCTTAAAGCTCATTTTCAGCAAAAGCGGTAAAATTTAAACTTTATTCCTCAAATTTTGTTATCTAAAATGAAGACTGCATCTCCAGATCTTTAACGATGAAGATTTTAGATATATTAAATATTAACATAATGATTGGTTTTCAGCACAATGTTAATAATTCAAAATTATATCGAATTAATTTCAATTTTTTGATATTTGCTGTTCTTATCAGTTATTGTTGATTATTTATTTGATAACATTTAATTAAGTGATTCCCTTATATTTTGATTTGATTTCTGTTGGATTATATCTCAAGTATTGTTGTTATCTTGGAACGCTTAGTTTGCACTTGATTTAACTTGAAATAAAGTCTATTGAACTTTCTTCTTTATGTTTTTGAATTTCTTTTTGGTACCTTTTCCTTTAATTGATAATTTTGGCGCCAAAATCTTTCAAAAAACATTTTTTTTTGAGTTCTTATCTTGTATGAATCATCTTTTAAATAACATTAAGTTATACCGAAATAATCTCGATTAAAGCTATCAGCTTGTTTCGCCATATGATAAGGAAAACTAGCTCATGTTATAGTCACGAATTTCAATTGTTTACGAAATCTGCTTTTTATCAAATTCACTTTTGTATTGTATTTACTCATTAGAGTCCGTTCTCAAATAAATTTGCAAACATTTCGAGTCATCAAGTTCAATGTCATTAACTTGCCTTGTGAAAAGCTTTTGTTCTCTCTTTGTTGTCTGAGCTTTCGTTGTGTTGAAAAATTTATTGCTTGAGAATTATTTGGAGCAAGGAAATGTCCTAGATATTTTTTTATCGATAAAATCCTGGAAACTAAATGTAAAGGTCAGGGACGGAATAAAAACTAGCTGATTTTTAAATTTTTTTTAGATTTTTTATTGATTTTCAAAGAAAAAATCATACAAAAGTGATCGTATTATTTTTTGTATTACACTTACTTCTTTTTTTTTGTTGTATATAAAAAAGTGGTGTCATTTCCAAAAATTTCCACGCATTCAGCATTTCTCATTAAAAAATGAAATTAAATCTTTTTGGTATATTTTTTTTGTTTTTCGATCAAAATTAAATTTCTATTGTTGGAAACTAACGAAACTTATGAAAAATTTTCAAAATGTAATGTGAAAAAAATTCTAAATGCAATGAAAAACATGATGGAACTAGAAGAATGTGAGGAAATTTTTGAAGAATGAATTTATTTTTTTATTTACATTTTTAATTCCTTTTTTACTTGTAATTAAGTGTCCTGTAATTGATTTTGTTTTAGTTTCTGATGAATGATCTCTTTTCCATAAAAGCATTTCAAATTTTGGTTTTTGTTTTTAGTTAAAAAGGATTTTTTTTTATTGTTTCGTGATGTTACCAGACACTTATTATTATGATTTTCCATTAATTACTTTCCAGGCTGATTATTGTATGATTTTTTTCAAACATTCGCTACATGTTTTACTGCCTTTTTCAAACTTCTGTTTATTGTGAAAATGTTCTATATTTTAGCACATTCAAACATCATTTCTTTTGCTTGTGAATGGCTGTTATTTTATGTTATTTTTTCAATCAAATCTTTGCTGTTTCACTCAAATACAATTATTAAATGAATTCAATTGTTTTTTTTTCTTTAAAGATATAAGATTATTGTTATATTAGAAACCATTCAAAAAGAAATGACAACGAGAAACATTATCGAATTGTTAATTATGCAACTTCTGGTGGAAAGGATGGATATCAAATATAATGAACCTTTTCTTCTCGCCTTTTATTAATCTCAATCTTTTTTTTTTTTTTATTTAATTGGCGAATTCGAAGAAAACTTTTACTAAAGCGACACAAGAAAAAAGATTTCAACCTAAAAAGGAGATTTTGTGACATTAAAATGTGGCATGTGACAGTTGCACTACATTTGTTAAATGAATCATGTCACATGTAGTAAGACATTATCTTAAGGATCGATGTGATACGCAACAGTTGCGTTGCAAAAAAATGAAGATCTCACAAAATTCATGTCACACGATCCTTGTCACATTTAAATTCTGTGCCGCAGCAAGTGAACATTTATGAGTCACATCATTTCCACTCATTTTTCGTCATCGTATTTTTTTATTTCAAAAATTTTTAATTCATCACTCATTATATTTTTACGCGCGACTTTATGTTTTGAGTTCCGTACTCGATTTAATTTCGTCATTTTTTAAACGTTTTTATGTCATTTCTTACTTTAAACGCGAGCTTAATTGGTTTATTGGAAAAACTCGTGTCATTTCCTTTTTGGTTCTGCTTTTTCAAAAATGTTTTTCTCTTATGCTTGATTCTTTACTTTTTTTTCCTTACATTTAATTGTTTTCTTATTTCAATGCAACTTTTTTATTCATCTTTGTGAATTAAATTAATGTGTAAAATTTAATAAAAAAATGAGCAAAAAATTAATTAAAACAGATGCCGGAGACAAGATTTAAAGCAACAGAAATGAAATAAAAAGTTATGTTGGGAGTATCTGCATCGAAAAAGTAAAGAACTCCAAAATCATATTCGAAATTTTGCCTAATATAGCCCGAGCAGTACATTATAGTAATAGTCATTGCCATGATAAGCTGCTCGGATAGAAATTGGAGAGAAAATAATCAAAAACAAGTCAAAAGCCAAACGTGTTGTGTAGAAAAACATTTATTTGTAAAAAAATCTAATATCCATCGCCAGCATATTCTCTACAGTAGTCAAATTAAAACAAATTTGAACATAAAATCTACTTTATCCGTTATCATTATTTTTACCATCATTTACGGACTTTAATATTCTTTTTCTTTCAACTTTAATTAGTCGTTATAAGAGACACATTGTTATTTTTTTCGCGTATTTTGCATGCAGTTTTCAGAATAAAATAGATTTAAATGCTCGCATGGCGACGAAAAAGAAAAAAATTATTTCAGGATATTAATTATTATTATCTGATGTTGATTCATCATCCGAAATTAACTCAATTCAAATTAAATGAAAATTATTACAAAGAAAACTGATTTTTTTTAAGTTATTATGATTTTTAAAGGTATAAATGATGTTACTGTTACACATTTCTTTCTTAATATTTTCTTTCTTATTATTCATTTCGTGTTTGATTTTCTGATTTTTTTTTTTTATTTATTTCTTTTATGTTATTTTTAATACATATTATTCCATTTTTTGATGTTAATTTTTCATCTCATAATTTTTTTTTTGCTTGATATTAAACTTGTTGACATTCTATGAAATTTGAGGGAGGATCTTTCTGATCTCTTTTTTAAAAATTGGGGGAGGTTTGGATATATTCTTTCTTTCTGGTTTTTAATTTGTCTATATTGTGTTTTCTGATATTATTCTTTTTTTTTCATTATTAAAATCTGAATTCACCCAAAAAACTGGCGTAATTTATGCAGTGCTTTCAGTTGTTGTATTTTGGACTGGTTGACCATCATTCTATATAGGAGAAAATCGAAGAAATTTTATGTTAAGATTCTTCAATACTTTTTTTTGCGGTAGTGTAGAATCAGCAGTTCTCAAAATTTGTAGGGCTAGTAGAGGTTAATAGAGCCTTAGCGGTAAACTTGGATTTTGTTCAGTGTTGCTACAATAGTGTTTGCTAGACAGACAAGTGACCAAACTTGACAAATTCTAAGGTTTCATACTTAAGAAAATCAAGTTAAAGTCAACACTTATTTAATCTCAAAAATAGCCGGTAATGAAAAATTTAACATCTGGGCAAGTTCTGTTTGGATATACCCTTATTTAATAGTACGATTATTTTCCAGAGGTACATTCTTTTGGGTCAAATTTAGAATATATCCAAGAAACCAAACCCAGAATCGACACATTTGAAATAAAACACGACTAGCATGTACCGCATGACAAATTTTGAGAACTACTGTTGTAGATGAAAGAAAATATTGTTAAATGGAGTGCACACATACTTATATAAAAATTTTTTTTTTGGTATTATAGAAAAGAAGCCATAATGAGAGACGATAAACTAATGCTTGACAATTTCCATATGCTTGTTGCTTACTTTTTTTGTCATTTTAAGATAAAAAAAAATTACACAAGACAACCCAACATAAATCAAAAAATATAATTAATTATGATGCATTATTAATTATAAAAAAAAAGTTTCTAGTGCAATAAGAATTTTTTAAAGTTAGTCAATGATGATACAAACAAAAAAAAACACAAAGTTCCCTCTAGTTGAGTTAGTATTATAATGGTGCATGTGATTTTGGTAATTATTTTACACATCATAGAATAGAAAACTGTATATTTCATCAGTATCAGTATGTATTATTGATTCACATCTTATTTTTTCTTATGTCAACTCAGCTGTATCTTTCATCAAACTATTGTAAAGAGAGTTCATATCTGTTTAAAAAACACACAGTTCTATTTCATGTCTCAATGCCAAAATTAATCTTGTTTGATACATTGTTTTTTATGCTCTTAAAATTTAATGCAATTATTACGTTTCTACAGTCTTAACTTAAGCAAATTCATCATTTCTTCCTTACAAGCATTTTTTTCATATTCTTCAATTATAGTTTTTAAATTCAAGTGCATCCTCATGAATACTGGAGCACGTCTCTTTGTTAAAACATTATTTTAGATTTTTTTCTTCATTGGAAATTCTCGATAGAATTAAAACACACAGATTTTCATATCCTGCCTGAATTTGTATAGATTCTTTACATTTTTGCATTCTTATTAAATTCATTTTTTTCGGCTTGGTTTTTTTCAAACTTTTTTCTTTTTTTGATGATGTTAGTTATTTTTAATATTTATAATCTTAAGAGAAAAATTATTGTTAAAAGAAGGGGGGTTTTGGTGGTTTGGTGATGGTGTGTGGTATGTGATAGAGGATATTTATGATATTAAAAGCTGTTGTTGGCATTCAAATTACTGATGAAAAAATGGCAAATTTTAAGAAAAAGCAATGTTGATATACACAAATTAGCTTCTGTTTTATACACAAATGAGTTAATTGTTGGATTTTTTAATAATAATTTACCTTTTCTCCTCTATCTTGCTTATCGCTTGTACTGTTTCCTGGACGACGTGCAGCACGTCTGAAACGTCTTCGGCCACGATCTTGTTGTGAGCCTGCATCGCCTCCTTCATGCATTTCACCATTTTGCATATTGCCTAGATTTTAAGAAAGTTTGTCGATATAAGTGACTTAAAAATTAATTCTCATCTTCACATATAGTATAAATATACGTATACATAAAGTATGAAGTCAGTCAGGGTGGATAAGAAACAAAACAATAGAAATAAAAATGATACCAAAACCGAAAATTTAAACATGAACAAAAAAAAATATCAAAAATGATAAATGAATACCCATGTAACTTAAATGGAAGATCTATGCATGTCTTCAGCTCGATTCTTTCTTTACTTTTGAACATCAAAAATTAGTTCCAAATTTGACATTTGCTATATTCTTATGACAGCATGGTTTTTCCTAATAGTTTTTCTTATGCAGTGTTAAGATCTTCGATTAGATTACATGGGCAGTAAGTTGAGCCGAATTAAAAGAAAAATGAACTTTTTTACACAAAAATTTTTCGTTTAATGATTTCGAAAAAAGAGTATATTAGAAATTATTCATTTAATCTTGTATTAAATTAATATTTTTTGAAGATGATTTTTATATTTTATGATGAAGAAGTAAAGTAATAAAAAATATGTCAATGAAATTTTGAATTTTTTTCTTATTTTTTTGTTTGATAAAAAATTAATTAAATTTAATTTTTTGTTTTTTTTTCTAAGATAATGAAGGTTGAGTGTATAAATGTGTGTAGTTTGTGTTGTTTATTTATTTCAATGAGAATTATTTCCAAATATGTTTCATTTAAGACTCATTGTTGGAATAATTACCACCACGTGGACCTCCTGGTGGACCTCCTGATCGACGACCACCTCTGAATCCTCCTCTACGTCTAAATGCTCCACCTCCTCTACGTGGATTACGAGGACGTCCATCTCCACTTCCATTACGAACATGTCCTCCTGTACGTTCTCCTTCAGATTCTCCGGCTGTTCCGTCTCCTTCGGATGCACCGTCACGCTTTGGTAAACGACGTCTATATCCATCGTTAAATCCACTCCCTCCACTTCCTCTATATCCACCACTACCTCCACGTCGACCAAATCCACGTCTGAAACGTCTTTGTCTTGGCTTATTATCATCCTTTCCATTTTCTCCATCGCTTTGCTCTCCATTTTCACCATTTTCCTTGCCATCTTTCTTAATACGAGTATCTCCCTTATTCGATGATGTACGACGACGATTTCTTGACCAGTAACGTCCACGTCTCTTATCAGCTGCATATGGACTGCCTTTAACAGGCTCACCTTCTGGACCAGTTACATTGGCTGCTTCACTTCCTTTTTCTCCAGCAACGACATCAAATTCAACAACTTCTCCATCGCCAACTGATCTTACGGCTTTTTTCGGATTATTCTTGATGATAGCACTTTGATGTACAAAAATATCTTGCTTGTTGTCATTACGATTGATAAAACCATAACCGCTCTTAACGTTGAACCATTTAACAGTTCCAGTCACCTTTGTTGCTATTGTTTTGGCATTTAGTGATGCACAAAGAAGATAAGAAGAAAAACAATAAAATAAAAATGAGAAAGAGAAGAAAAATAACAAAATAACGAAACGAGTGAGACAGAACGCAAACAAATCAAATGAGTAAATAACAAGAGTCCAACGTATTTTCAGCTTGTATTATTACTATATATGTGTATAGTTTGCATGTTGTGTCTTTGTGTTAATCACTTTATCATATGACATTTCTTCTTCCGCACATACATACATCCATATACAATTGTCTATGCAAGCTGATTCTTTTGAGAATATTGAATTTAAATAAATTTATACGGAAGCAGCTTATAACGTACAGAAAGAAAAAAAATTAACAAGATTATTGTCCTCTTAATAATGCACGATGAAAACGAAGAAATCGGAGAAAGAAGAAAATACAATTTTAGAGTAGTATTGTATAGTAAGTTGTAGCATAAATCTAATAATAAACGCTGAGCAAAATGTAAATGTATAAAATGCTCTATATTATATTTCCACACTACGTTCATTCAAAAAAAAAAAAATAAAAAAACGATGAGCGTGTGCCCCGCGCGTACACAAAGAAACTCTCATTTTCATTCCTTGGCGATGAAAAAAACAAAAAAAAATTTCTGGTTAAGTAAATAAAATTAAAAGCCTTCAAACTATTGGGCAGTAAATTAGAATTATATCATAAATATTTTGATATTCATGTGCGAATTGAGGCTTTAAAGCCGGAATGGAAAGAAAAAAAATTTTGTTTTCAAAGACTTAGCTTGTATGAGAGAATAAAGCAAGAAAGGAATGAAAAAAAAATTGTAAATATGGCGGATCGAAACACAAAGATGAATGCCGGAAAAAAAAATTTTGTTTTCGTGAAAAATCACTTAGAATCGAGTAAATTTAAATCTTATCTAATGTATTTCTGTCTCATTTGTCCAGATTGACTCATTCAAAGTGCCTCGATTGATTAAATTTGAATATTTTCAGGATAAATTAAATTTTTTATATGCGAGCACATTTTTTCGTTCTCGGAAGCATTTCATTTTTCAGGTTGGGTGGAAAAAATTTTCCGAGAAACTTTCGAGCACTTTCTACAACCTTTTAAGTATTTTTTATGACACTATGCTTATGGCCGGTAGACAATAGTTTTAGAATAAATCTGACTTACCAATGATTTCCTTTTGCACTGGTACGACAGCTGTTTTTTGTGGTTGGGCTTCTACGGCTGGTGCTAGAAATAGGAAAATTTTCGTTATTGTCGTGTATTTGGCACAAATGAAGCGATTGTATGGATTGATGATAAGGAAAAAATCTTTCTTTGTGCTGATAGGAAGCATAAGAAGAATAATAAACATATAAAAAAGTTTGGCGTACCTTCGGTGTCTGTCATTTTTTCCCCCGTTTTTCAAACACGAAATACAAATTACTGATGGTAAATTTGTCTCTTGATCTTCTTCAAGGTCTTATTTGTTTGTTATATTTGCTGTTATGATGGTCTTTATGAGTGACGAATTAGATGGTAAAGCACTCTAGATCTTTAACCTTTTTGTCTAAGATGTTACGTCTTGCTGATGTTAAACCTTTCTTACGACTGACTGATTTGAAACCTTACAGCCTCCTCTTATGCGTCGTTTGCCTGCAATTAGACAGTTGAAGTGTTCTCGGTTAAGTTCAATGGACATAAAAGTTTTTCATTTTATTTTTGAAATTTAAAAAATCGTTATGAAAATTTCAACTCTACATGACTCAGTGACCAGATGCACGAAAATAAAGACAAAATGTGATTGACAGCTATGAACTTACAATTGGAAATATCAAATTATTAAGAATTTTTGGTCATTTTTACACACTTTTATTTATATCAATTAATAATATGAATGTTGAAAATAGATATGAGAAGTCGGAATGCCTGACGTAGACTTCATTTATTTCATGATGCTTCCACACACACAAAAAATGTATAAAAGTGCCATAATAAAAATTTATTATCTTTAAATGAATAAATTCTATAACTAAAGCAGATTTACACATTTCTTTTATGGAGTTCGTTCGCAAATGATAGACCTCATATTGTGGGGGAGGGGGGGGGGGGGGGGTTCAGCGAGAAAAGAACAATAGAAATTCCTGGAAATCCATTGTTTTTTTTTTGAAAAATGACCGTTAATTTCGGACGTCATAAGTGAACGTCCCCTTAGCTAGATTGAAGTCAAAAATAGTCATTCCTAGGGTTACATCACACTCAATCGACCCTAATACAAAATATTCCTAAAGAATTAATTTAGGGGTCCATTTTTATTAATCTCGCCTAATACCATCATAATATTTTTCATATCAACAACACGATTAACCTTTTAGCATAATTTTTATCTTGTGTTAAGTCTCATTTTCCTCTTTCTTCCTTCTTTTACACACAGAGAGTAAAATAACATGAATAAACTCATGTTTATTTAAATTTATATGGAAGGGGAAGAAATGAAAAAAAAAACTTTAAGCAAAAGCATTTAAATTACCTTAAAAAGGACATTTGCATTACAACGCGATATTCTTTAAAAATTTCAAATTCAACGTCGTTGTCTGGTAAAGAGAAAATACCAGGCATTATAAGATTTGACATGTAAAGTTTATATACATAAGCATATTTTCATTAATTGTTGGAGGTATGTAGTCATAATTAGGAAAATATTTCGCTGTTCCATTCATACACAAATTAATTTTGAATATTAGATTTAGAGACATATTAAGAGGTGAAATAGATTCTTTGAAAGTTAATTAAATCATCAGTTAAAGAGTGAAGAACTGAAAATTCTCAAATAAATGTGTACCTGTTATTTTTAAATACACCCCTGACATGCCTCTTAAATCACAGATTCTTCAATTTAACTACAAAACTCATTAAATTTGCTTTTAAACCCACAAATCAATCTAAAATTCCCTTATATGACGTCGACATTTACTAATTTGACATAGCAACGAGGAGGAAAATTCTTACAGCCCTAAAATAATGTTTCTTATCAGTAACCAAGCATTAATTAATGCATGTTTAGGACATTTAATTAAATCACGTATTTTGATTGATTATCAATAAGTGACACATTTTGATTTGTACGACAGAAAATAAAACATTCGTGTTGAAGTTGATAACAGAAATAGGTGTATATAGTAAAAATTTATTAGCTTATTTTAGCAAACGGATGAAGCACATTCAACGTCTTATGAAAAAAATTTATGATTTCAAATAAATCATATCTTATTTGTTTTGCTAATTATTGTTTGAATTTTTATTTTCATTTTTTTTCTTATTCTCTATGTGGTGTTGGTATATCTAGAGCGAATACTTTTATGGGTATGCGGATGTACTTACGAGTTTTCTTTGCTGATTTGTATTCCAAAGCTTACAAATTTCCGAATTTAATTGTTTCTTAGATCATAGAGATATCAAACCCAAATAGTAGATTAGAATTAATTAATTCTTATAATGCAAAAATATTCCTAATATCAATAATTCCAAAAAAAACATCACTTTAAACTTTCTGGAAAATAAATAGAGTAAATTTGTATCCTTATAGGGTAAACCATGTTGAAATTTGTGCGATTAAATGAAATGTAAATCATCTAAACTAAACCATTTATAGAAAAAATTTGTATGCAGTTCTTTGTAAAGCATTTATTAAAACTTTTCTACTTCATTTTGGGTTGTGTTGAAGGTTCTTATAGCTTTAAATTTCATTTATTCAAAATCCTATACAAAATGAAAGTTTTCATCTTTTTAATTATTTGGATTCAACTAATGATTCTTCTTACCCCATCAGAGTTGAAAAACAAATTTTATTTATTGCTTTTTCGATTAAAAAAGTTTCTGCGTTCGAAAAGTCATTGGAAGTCCTTTAAAAATTGATTTTAAAATGAGTTGTTTTCAAATGTTGAAATTTGTGCGAAGTTTTGAAATTTGTGTTTTTTGTCGTAGAAAGCAATGGCACATTTTGTCAACAAAAATAATTATTTACAATCAAAATCGGGTTTTTAGAGGATGAATCAAGATTAAGACAAAAATAACACGAAGAAGACATGAACTGAGAGTAATGAAAAATGCGTTCGACTCAAATATTCATACAGAATCAAGAAATTTCAAAAATGCAGCCAACTTCAAAAAATATTACAAGAACAAAAAAGCATTCAAGAACTACGTTCTGTTTTCAGTCCCAAATAGATGATACACAATAAACTTCGTTAAAATACTCTTCTTTCTTTTATTTCTCAAAACAATTTTGCAAAATTCTGTAAACTTTATCGTGAATAAAATATTGAAATATTAAATTGAAATGTGTCAATGCTTGCCAAGGGTCAGACACTCCAAAGTATTGTAGTATTGTACAATACCTACAATACTTACAATACTTGCCATATAAGTATTGTAAGTATTGTACAATACTTACAATACTTTTGATATAAATTTACAATACTTTACAATACTTACAATACTGAAATTTAATTATTTAAGAACCAAATTTTAAAAGAAATTACATATTTTTTTGTTTTCAACATTTTGTAAAACCAAATTTAGTACTTTTTTTTTGACAAATATTGATAAATAACAATTTTTTTTTGATAAATTAACATTATTATTGAAAATTATTTAAAAATGATAAAAAGTTCAAAATTCTTTTGTAAAGCTAGACTGGTGCAAATCAAGAATAGATTTCATACAATTCTCATGCATAAAACCGTACAGATACGAAGTTTATTATGTAAACTAATGTCAATAAGGAATCAAAATTAAATAGATTGGTTTCATTTTCACAAGATTTATCACTTTTTATAGCAAACTTTATTACGTTTTATACAAATTTTTTGATCAAAGTATAAGGTTTTAAGTGTATTCAAACATTACTTTGAAGATTTGAATTTTTTTACCTTTGACAAGAAGGCGATTAAGAAAGAATCAAATTTAACAAACTTATCAAATGGTTTTAATAGCATTTTTTTTTTTGAAAATACATATTGTCAACAACTGCATCTCTAAGACAATATTAAACTATATATTTTCTTCTTTCTTTGCCAAAACTATTCTTATTTTTTTATTTCTTATAGTTGATACTATACTTTCACGATTTCCTGTTCCCGAAATTTTTGGGACAGAAACTCGATGAATAAAAATAGTTATCCAAAAAATTTTAATGTCAAATTATCTCAATTGAAAAGTTTCATCATTTAAACACAAAAAAATTTTCCAAATTTTCAGGAGCATGTTTGATATTTGAGTTTAAATTTTTGTCCAGTTCCCGACAATTTTTTGGGTCCGGGAAATCGTGAATGCCTAGTTAATACAAAAAGATATATCATTTTAGGAAAATTCACTGAAAATTTCTGATGAAAAATTTCCTTACTAAAAACAAAGTAAACTTTAAAGAAACAAACTTAAATCGAGGCATAGCAATGTTATGATATGACTTAAAGCGCTATAAAAAAACTAAACCTCGGTGTTACCTCTATAAATTTGAAGCAAACGTTAAAGTTCCTCTAATATGAGGAGACTAATGTCTTTTCTATGTTTTCGTTTATAATGTTTGATATTTTTGGCTGCATCTGGCGTTATATCGCCTTTGTTTCGAGCCAGAATACTTTTATGCTATTGACAATTTTGATAAATGACTTTATTACCAAAAATTTTGTATACAAATATTTTTACAATATTTGTATATGTTTTAGACTGAATATTTTTGGAGAACTATAAAATTTCAATTAAAACTTAAAAATATCTAGTTCAAAATTGCTAATTATGAATTTTTATCAAATTTTGGTTCAAAGAATGTAAAGAAACACGAGAAACTACACAAAAACCGTAAATTATAATCAAATTCATATGACAAAAGTTTCTCAAACTGTCTTGTAAAAACTACAATACTTACAATACTTTCCATACAAGTATTGTAAGAATTGTAAGTATTGAACAATTCTACAATACTTGTCATACAAGTATTGTAAGAATTGTAAGTATTGTACAATCCTACAATACTTGTCATACAAGTATTGTAAGTATTGTAGGTATTGTACAGTACTTACAATACTTTCATATGTATTGTAAAGTATTGTACAATACATTACAATACTTTTGGAGTGTCTGACCCTTGATGCTTGCTGTCAAAAAAACGCACAAATTTCAACATTTTTTTGCAAAAATATTTAAAATTTTCCGCACAAATTTCAACATTTGACCAAAAATGTCAAATTTCTCTTCCTATAAGCAGCATAATCATCACTAAGTATAAAAAAATGAAAATTCCAACAATTTTTGATAATTTAAGACCAACAGTAAATTTTTACAGTAAGGCATTAAAAAGTTATTAGCAAATTAAAACTTCAAGTGCAAAAACACACAAATTTCAACATGGTTTACCCTATAGTTTAACGAGTGTTAAATCCTACTGTCTATTTAAATAATTCGGCAGCAAGCTTAATAATTTAGAAAATGTTTTGTTTTACTCTAATTTTCAATTGACAAATTATTTTAAGTTCGACGAGGAGATTTTGATAAAACAATTTCAAAATTCTTTATCAATCTGGTTGAGAACATGAATGAACGATATTAGGAAGCATAAAATTAAAAACACTTCAAAAAGTGTAAACAGACAAAAACCGAAAGCGGAATTAATTAATTTGAGTTCCTTAATGGCTTTTACATAACTGATTATTGAATAATTTAAAATTTTTGCTCAAAATCAAGTTCTTCCCAAAGCAATCAACTCTATTTGCTTAAAAATTAAATATTCTTTAAAATGATTGAATCGAAATTGAGCTGATTAATCTTAATTATTGCAGAATTTACGTCATAATCTCAATACTAGTACCAAAATGAAATAAAAATGGCAAAAAATTGCTCTTTTAACATACTTTTCTCAAAAAAATACTTCCCGATTCCTTTGAGGCTGCATAATCTCCCTTCATATGCTCATAAAATGATTCATGTTAATTTATTTTTCATTAAGAAAAAATTTTCATTGATACTTCAATAATCTCTTGATTTATCAATTACATTCATTTACACTTATTGAAGATTATCAAAAGAACTTATGATAAAATGTGTGGATTTTTCTCCATAAACAAGCAAACAACATAAATCGTCGTTGTCGTCGTCATTTCTCGTTGCTGTTTTGTTGTTGATTCGGTAGATTGGAAAATAGAAGGAAAAAAAAATGTTCGTTCTGTGTGTGTGGAGGCAGAAATGTCCGAGTTCTCAAGCTGTATAAAAGCACAAGTGAAATGGTAAAATGTGATCAGTAGCAGTGAAGAATTGAAGAAGTGAAAATATAGGAAAGAAAGTTTAAATACATTTTTAATTTGAATTTCCGTAAAATAAGTCTCTATTTTTGGTGATAAAAAAAATAATCAACAAGTGAGTGAATTTTTAAAATTTGTCACATAAACATTCAGGATATATGCACACAGTGAGAAGGAACTACTCTCTTGTCTACTATAAATAAATATTCATAAATGAGACTTCAAATTGAATTTCCGTTTTAAAAAACTTTATCCTGACATCAGTGATTCTAGTCCATTCCATCTATCCCATCTCTCAGTTTGTGTGAATATTTATCGAAATGAACATTAAGAACTTTTAAGGACGAACCAAAAAACTTTTCATCACTAACATGACATTTTTATTCTAACATGTTAAGCTTTCATAAGAAAATTTGTGACAGCATAAAAGTTGTTTAATTGCCAATATGTGCTTTGAATCACCCGCGTTGAATAATAACTTCAAAAAATAATAATGTGTGTTTGTGAGTAGGCAATGTAATGGACTAAGTGATAATTGAAAAAAGAACATTCTAATTAGAATATTTTATGTAACCCATAAAACAGGATAGACATAATGTGATTAGCTTGCGATACTGCATATCTTTCAGTACTGAATAAGTAAACTCAATGAAATGCTTGACGACTCAACGAAATTAGAACATAAAATAACAGTTAAAAAATATTTGATAAATAACGGTTACATAAAATTTGAAATTAATGTTTCATTGTTTTCATTTATAAAATTTTTGCAATGAAGCTTCTGCGACTAAAGAATCCTTAGCGGGAGTTACTAGCAATTTTCTAGTCTTTCTATTCTACTACTTGCAATTTACTAGTTATTATTAAAACGACTTGCTGTTAGTAAATTACACTTGCGATTTAGTAGCAACTTACAAGTAAATTACCATGTGAAATGTTTGATCAAATCTGCTTAAGTTCGAAATCTACGAAAAATCATCAAAAAAAGAATTTTTGGCGTCATAAAAAATTTTGTTCTAAATTTGGCATTTGCCATATACTTCACAAGAGCGCGCAGAAATCACCTTTATAACGTCGATCCAAATTTGTATGTGACTTTGAATAAATTATTTATCTTCCTCAGATTTGCGTGCGAGTCATGGGCGTTCATCAGTTTTCGACTTAATTAAATTAAGTCTTTATTTATTTTTCATAGTGTTATTGTACTTTAATTATCTTTACTAAGTGCACATTAATACTTTTACAATAATTTACACAAATAAGAAAAATCAAAAGAACACATGGAAATCAACGGTTATATTCATTTAATTTTTTTACAAATTTGCTAGTAAATTACTTGTTAAATTGTAAGCGAATTGACTAGTCAAATAGCAAGTGAAAATGCGGGTCTTTGGCGATGATTTGAACTTGGATTTTTACTAGTAAATAGCAAATAGCAAATGGAAAGTTATCCAGTAAATTACTAGTAAATTTCTGCTAGGGAATGTAATATATTTCAAACATTGCTTAATCGGATTTTAAAAATACCTTTAATTTGACCAACCTTAAAGATAAACCTTCCAAAAATACCCTTAAAAGTATTTATGCGCGAATTAATCAAATTCAAGTTTCTTTATGATTCAAATTCTACACCCTTCATCAAAATTGTTAATGAATTAAAATTAGAATAAATTAATAAAACAGTTTTAATGTTCAGAAATAAAAGTAAACTAAATATTGCTTCATTGACTCTCGAGATAAACTCCTTTGTTGCCACAAACGGTTTAATTATAACAGACACATTAAGTAAATTTCATAAGAATAAGTAATACCGTCGAGAGTCGTTAAGACAGTCCCAAACACCAAACGAGGTGACTTTTCATTACATTCAGTCTCAATTCTAGCAAACTAAACAGATTGACTTACTTATTGGCGTTTGGCTCGCAAAAAAATAATCGTAATTAAATCTCAGGATATTTTTCTTCTTGTGGATGTTTGACATATATACGAAATAACGGAAGCGGAAAATGTCCCTATTTTTCCTGCATCTGAAATTTACTGATGGAAAAAAGTCATGAGAAATGGGAATTGATACCACAAAAGTGTAAATATAGCTGTTACAGCATAATTGAAATTATTTTCAACTTTAATTAGCTCATAATTGTCTTTATTAATATGCAGTAACAAATGCAGGAATTCCACGACAATTTTGCAATACGATGTTTTCCGATAAATTAGTATCGTAATAGAAATATGATTAAATAAATAGATTGTAACATTTCGAATTGAAACACAATATATGTATTGATATGCAGCACCTTTATTTGCTGATAATGAAAACATATGTGTGTATAATAACTTTATACCTCAAGAGGAATATCATCGATACATAATAAAAATGTAAAGCTTTTAGTGTTAATTAATTATTTAAATGCGAGAAATTTCCCGTGGCTTAAGTGGCTCGAGAACTTTAGACTTTATGTATAAATTATTTACGTAGGATATCAATCCTTTAAGAATTGAGAAATTATGAAAATATGTAAATATCTAATACCGGATGTACCCAAAAGAATCAATTGTTGATTTGTATAAATATTTTAACAGACTTTTTCAAACCACTTTCCTTAAAACAATGTGCTTAATTGCCTAATTTGACGGGGTGGTTTCTCACGTATACGCCACTTTTGTTCATGATCTTAACAGGATCCACAAGCTTCAAAAGTTCTAATCTTTAAAATCAGAACTCTACAAATGTTTTAAGTGTTTGAGAACCGTTTAAATTTTGGATAATTAAGTTTAGAACAGTACAAAAGCAGTCGAAATGTTTGGAAACCTTACAAATGCTTCTTCTTCTTCTTAATTAACTTTATTATGGTCCATCAGCTTATTGCTATTTAAATACCGTTCACAATTCCAGGTAGTTTAATTTACAAATATACACAAAGAACAATCAATAAAATCCAGTCAACTCCAAATGGTTGACAGAAAACATGCCCGCGATAAGTCAAAACAACAAAAAATACCATCTTCAGTTGTCGATGATCCAGATCCCTTGACAGTCCTTGTAATTTAACTTGTGATATTCCAAATAGATTCAATTTTTTCTTATGGCTCGATTGTGATCTGTCAATTTAATTAATATGATCTGCTGTATTCCAAGATGATCGATTCCTGTTTGTCAATGTTGATTTGTTGAAATCCAGTCAGCACCAATTGATTGATAGAATTGCCCGCGATATATGGGGAAACACACAAAACCCATCGCGAGACAAATTCTCCTCACAATTGACGAAAATCCGTTGTATTCCAATAATATTCAATATGTCTAGGTTATGGTTATGATAGAACCTTCTTGTCCACGATTGCTGGTAAAACACAAAAAACCCACGTGAAACAATTGATTCTCTTCACAATTGCCGCCGATCGTGATTTGTCAATGTAATTAAATGGTCGTTGGTATTCAGATGATGATCAATTCCGTTTTATCTAGGTTATGTGCAAAATTTGTACATTTTTTTTTCCAATTTCAATTTATATCCAAAATTTAATTAAATCGCGACTTTGCTGAGTTTTCTCCTTGGTATCTTTGTTCTTTGTTACTTTGAAGACAGTTCCCGTAGGTTTGTGACTTATTCCTACGCGTAATTAATTAATTTTGAAGTATTGCACAATTCCACAACCTCCTCATTCGGAGGTTGGGAGAAAACTCACCTTACAAATGCTTTGACATATTTAAAGAATTTGCAAGCTTTTCAATTTCAAGATGAATTTTAAAAACTCAAAAACCGGTGAATTTGTAAGTTTCAATAACTTTTAAGAAGAGTCTAGAAAATGCGCTTAACGATACAATTTAAATCGATAGCATGAACTTATAATAGAGCAGTCAGTTCATTGAAGAAAAATATTTGCAAAAAAGATTAAGTAAGATTATAAGGCATTTATAAAGGGTTTCATATTCATTAATTACCATAATATTCATGATACACAGCAATCTATCATCGAATTATTAGCATTAAACATACAAGAAAGGCGTAAAGCCGTGAAAATTTTATGCCCGAGGAAGTTCCCGTCGCAGGAAATTTGACCAATAAAAATATTTTAAGTCTTTTTATCTTTTCTTGTGTTTCTGTAACAGAATTATTTAATCAAACATCGATTCTATTTGATATTGCTCAAAGGCGGAAACGAGAGACAAAAGAAGATTTATTATTTTCAATTCCATCATAAATAATATTCAATTCATCATGACAACGATATCATCTCATCTATTGTTACTCGCTGTTACGATTTTAGTTATTGGAGTGCTAACAGTGTCAGCAGAAAATGAAATATTTGAGAGTCGCGGTATCAAGAGTGTAAATGGAGGTAAACAATTAACGAATAAAGGAGGTATCAACTTTTTATTGAATAATGCCTTCTTGATTCATGTGATGACAATACAATCTATTAGATTCTAAAATTATTATTGACATTTTATTCAATCCAATGTAAACAGATAAAAGGCCATTCTTTGTGGGTAGTCGATATGGAAGGTCGCAGTCCGATATATCAAATATGGACTCAAAAACATCAATTGGACGAATGGTTCCAAGAAATGACAGATTCTTTTTTGGATCACGATATGGGAAGCGATCAGTTCCAATTCAAGGAGTCGATGAAGATAATAATCAACCCATAACGTGCTTTTATACAGGAATCACTAATCTCTTTCGATGCGTAGAGTATGAAGATATTTTATTTTAACTTATGGGTACTAGAGTGAAATTTGTAGCAAGTTTCTGCCTCCCACGACTCACACCCCCGTTAATTATGGTAAAATTTTAATTCATTTTTTTCTCCCATCCAATGTAGAAGCGTCGAGGATCAACAGAAATAAGAATGAAATCAATTTGATGTCAAAATGATGATTAAATAATAGAAAAATCCTCCATCTTTTATGCAACAACTATAAACATCAAACAAAATCCAACACAATTGCTTATTCACTCATTTAAAGTTCCATGAAATGGCTGGAAAATTATTGTGGAGCTTTTTGACTGAACAGCATGTGACGACAGCAACAACAATGTTTTATAAAATGAATGAAAAAAATTTCTTTTACAATTTTCTTTCCTGTTCATTGAATTTAAGATATTTCGTTTTATAATCTTCGATTTATGTGATATTTTTAATTATACTATTATATATAACAATGATAAAAGTCATGTATTTTTAAAGAAAATGCTTGATTTGTGCGAAAAATGAGAGAAAACAGAAGAATCAATTTATCTACGGAACTGACGACGACACTAAACATAAAATTTTATTGGGAGAAATATTCTATTTACTTAATAATATTGGCTAGATAAAGATTTAATTATATTTGAATTATGAAAAAAATAAGATGCATTAAAAATAAAAATATGAAAACAAAAAAGGAAGCAAAAACACTGTCTATTCATTGACTGTAATCTTTATCCATGTGTTCAACGAATTGAATAGAGGAATTAAGTTATGAAAATAGATTTTTCAGAAGTGCCGTACCCGATAAAGTTGTGTGAAAAACTACAGGAATGAATTTATGCTGTAAACACGTTTAATGGAGTTTGTTTAATCTTTTGATGCTTAATTGCACTAATCTATTGATTCTAATAAGTCAGGTATAGTGCAAAAGATTGAAATGAATACAATTCCAGGAAAAATCAAGTCTTTTCTTTTCAAATCGATTTAAAGCTCTAATTACGCTTAGACATCATAATCATTGACTGTGAGACATAAGACGTGTTACAATAGTCAATACTAGTGCTATATCTGATATCCCCAAGCGTTTTTCATCTATTATTCATAACCTTTTTGTCTGCTAGATATTATGTACAAGTTTTCACCTTAATTTATGTATAAATCTTAAAATAGCTCACCAGTTATCTATCTCCTTTAATTTCACACTTTTTTAGCATCAAGTCTTCTCTCAGTCTGTTAATACTTCAGATCCAGTTATTTTGAATGTTTCTTATTATTTCAATCCTTTTTCGTTCAAACTACGTTATTTTCTCGAAGAAATAGGTCACTTCTTCTCAAAATGTTGATATTTACAATCCTAATAGTTATAAAATAAACTAAATTACAGTTTTTGCAATAATCAAAGAAACGCGTGGTTTTTTTATCCTGAAAAATAGTTTTTTTTCTAGGCTCAGTCGGTCTGTCAACGAATTTGAACCTACGAACCTACTTTTTCTGTTTTTCATTTAAACACTCAGAATATAAATTTATCAACAGCTTAATCATGACCATGAAATCGTATAATTATTCATTAAAATGTATCTTGAAATGCCAACTTAGTGAAATTGATCAAAAATCGTCATAAAAGTTTACATAAAATTAACAGTCATTTTGTGATTCAAATTTTTCAAACATTGGAAGTCACTGGAATACTGGAAGTAGATTGGAAATCATAACAAAAATTTGTCAAATCATTGAAATTTCACAAAAAAATATTAAAAATCAAGTTTGCAGCATAAATACATAAGTTACTGTTCAAAATAATGTCTAATAATGGAATCAACTTTACGCCATTATGGAATAATGGTCCAGTACCAGGAAATTTCTACAATTTTCCTCAAAATCAAGTGAAATCTAATTCTATTGATGATTTCGGTGTTCAAAGAAATAGGTAAGATTAAGCCTAAAATACTGATTTAATGCATTGTTTAATAAACAGCATCATAACATATCAAAGTCAGTTAAAATTTATTAATGAAAATGGATGGAAAGAAGATATATTTAATAGTTTTATTAACCTTAAATTTGTCGAGTCATTTAACAAGCTAATCAGATCATATCCTCAATTCTAGTGGACCAATAACAACCGGAACTTCGATTGTTGCTGTAAGGTACGATAAAGGTGTAATAATTGCCGGAGATAAGCTTGTTTCGTATGGAAATCTAGCCCGATATCATAATGTCGATCGTGTATTTAAAATTAATGAGTATATAACTCTAGGAATGAGTGGAGATTATGCTGATTTTCAATTTATCAAACAATACATCGATGAGAATATTCTCGCTGACTTCTCAATGGATGATAAAATTACATTAAAGCCAAAAGATCTTTTTACATGGCTCACAAGAATCCTTTACAATCGACGATCTCGTTTTAATCCATTGTGGCTTGATATGGTCGTTGGTGGCATGCAGACTGAATCGGAACCATTCTTAGGACATATTAATGTTAGAGGACGTGCTTATACAAATGATGTCATTTCAACAGGATATGGAACGCATTTGGCACTTCCATTATTGAGAGAATATTCTGAAAAAGGTCCATTAGATGAAGCTAAAGCACTGGAACTTGTCAAGACATGTATGGAAGTCTTGTATTATCGTGATTGTCGTGGATATCCAAAATATTCTCAAGCAAACATCAATGATAAAGGATGTACTGTTACTGATCAACTTGTGAAAGAAAATTGGGATTTGGCATTGAGTATTAAGGGATATTAAGGAAATAAAAACAAGCAACTTGTGTATTTTTTGTGAAAAATCCATCAATTTGAAGCTTTTCTGATTTAATAAAAATCCATAAATTTTTTTTATTAAGATTTTAACATTTTTTAAGTATCTTTTTTTTAAAAGGAAGTACCTTAATAGCTACGGACAGTATAAGAGTAAATTGTATAAGAGACAAATTTTGATTCCCTTGAAAAGTTTTAAGGATAGAGGTATCACATGTAGGAAATTGAAAAGGTTTTTAAGTCACAATTTGTGTACTCAATTAGGTCACTTTAAGATTGGACATGATAGTAGAGATAGATGTAACATGGAAATTGAGCATTCATAATTCTTTTTGAGATTTTCTTTAAATTTTAATTCATTTCGATATGTCTAAAAATGTATTCGAAGACTTTGTTTTGCATTTTATGCCTTAAAAACTACTTCATGAACTGTCTATGTGCCAAAATTGTATTTGCGACACCTTTAAATGTTCGTTGAGGACTAATATTTTCCATAGATGCCATCCGTTGTATCTCATTTTGTGAGAATCGATTCATTATAGCACGCACGATATCTGAAGGCGGTAAATGAGGATTACCTAAATTGAATGAGGAAATGATAATGAAGTTAATTAAATATATTCTGATGAAAAATTGTTTAAACATTCAAAACAATAAAAATAAAACAGCAAGAGTGAGTATATTAAGAAATTCACAAAAAAAATAGAGGAAAGAAGCGTCAATCGGCAAAATAAATTGAAAAATAAAACCAGAGAATCGTAAAAAATCAATTCAATGCAAGCAATAGAATTAAACATCAATTATTATTATTATGGGGTAGACATTCAATTCTTACGGATTCGAAACTTTCTTTTGAACTACATTATGATTACATATTTCGTTCACAGATCGTGATGTAGAGACGTGTGGATGGAATCTCCTTAAAATTTCCAATTTATCGTAATCTTTCGGATAGCAATTTGTACAAGTTTATTCCTTATTAATTAAATATTTTTTTATAATTTTCATCATGTTCACATTCTTACCTAATAAGCCACGATATCCCAGAACTGAATTCTCGTGTATATTCATTGATAGTTGCTGATTCTTCAAAAATGATTCTGTGTCAACTCCACGAACTTGAGAAGGCTTTAAAAACCTTTTTGGAATTTTTGATAAAACATCATCGGAACCTTGAACGGGTCCAAAACCTAAATTAACTAATATCGCTTCGGCATCAGGCTTTCTAGCTTCCAAAAGACTTTCAACTGACGAGCAGTGACTTGAGTCAGACTAAAAAGTATGAACATTCATGGATTAAGATTTAAATTAATCTAAAGCACTCAAAAACTCACCTGAAAAGAGCCGTCTCTGAGTAATGGATTTTTGGGTACCACGTGAGGACTGCTATGTCCTTCCGAAACTGTATGCTCTCTTAATGGTCTCATATGGCCCAACGATGGTCTCAACAAGGATGCCAAATTTTTATCTAATTGATTATTGCTATTTGTTTTATTGCTCAAAACACTCGGACTAGTATTAAACGATGGATTAGCGATGGATATATCCTCATCATCATAAATTAAATTGTCTGTTGAGTCATTTGGCAATTCACCGTCATTAGCAACACTAAAACTTCGACCAATATCTCTAAGTCTTCTAGTTCTTGGATTAGGATTTTCACTGGAACTTCTACCTAAAACGCTGATATGACATCGTTGAGGTGTGAGTTTATTTGGTTCCGATTTGATTTTTTCCTCGTTTGTAACTTCTTCTGACTCTTCATTCGCCAGACAATCTTTATTATCACCTCTGTCATTATTATTAGATTCACTATTTACTGTTTTATTAACGTCAGCTTTTGTTTGCTCTATTTCATTGTCACATTGTTTATTTCTCGATTCAGCATCATCCATTTGTTGATTTTGATCCATATTGTGATGAGTTTTGTCTTCTTTTGATGATTCTCTCTTGATTTTCTGTGTTGTCTTTGTTATGAGATTCTTAAGTTCAATCTTTTTACTCTTTAACTTTTCATTCACGTTAAATTTATTGCATATCTCTGATATCTTTCCTTTAACACTTGCTCCACTTCCACCACTTGTCGATGGTTCACTAATATTAAGCTCGTTGCTATCACAATTATTTTTTTCATCTTCTGTTACAGAAATCCATTTTTGCACTGTCACATGTGACTTCTTTCGCATCTCATTTGTAATTCCGCTCATCCAGCTTCGAACACGAAATTTAACTATTTTTTTTATAGAGAATAAGTAAAAGAGAGAATTAGTTCCTATTTCATGACGAGAACTCACAATTAGATAGCACTAATAAGAGTGTTGAAATATGAAATTTACATTTCTAATGAAAAATGCGTGAAACAATTAGTTATCGTAGTATTACAAGGTATGAATGGGAAAAATCTAGTTACGATTGATTGTACGTATTAGTTCCATCAGCGCATTTTCTACAGGGTTCTTTCATATCACGTGTTGTGATTTTTGGTTTATGTCTTAATTCTGGTCATAATTGAAATTAACCGTTATTTTTTAATTCAAAAGTTCTGGAGCCTGGAATAATTCCAATAAATTTCCAGTGACAATGTTTTTCAAATGTCAGAAAACTGTAAAAATTTTCAAAAACCGAATTTCATGTTTCCAAAATCTGGAAAATTTCCAATAGAATTCCAGAAAATTTGAACTTTTAAAATCCGTTACAATTTTCAAAAAACTTCAAGTCACTCAAAACAGAAATTTGGAACTCACATAGCTTTATTAATAATTTGAATTTACATTCTCATGCTATGTCCTTCAACGTATAGATACATTCATACAAGGTATGAATGGGAAAAATCTAGTTACGATTGATTGTACGTATTAGTTCCATCAGCGCATTTTCTACAGGGTTCTTTCATATCACGTGTTGTGATTTATGGTTTATGTCTTAATTCTGGTCATGATTGAAATTAACCGTTATTTTTTAATTCAAAAGTTCTGGAACCTGGAATAATTCCAATAAATTTCCAGTGACAATGATTTTCAAATATCAAAAAACCGTTAAAATTTTCAAAAACTGAATTTTATGTTTCCAAAATCTGGAAAAGTTCCAATACAATTCCAGAAAATTCGAACTTTTAAAATCCGTTACAATTTTCAAAAAGTCTTCAAGTAACACAAAACAGAAATTTGGAACTCTCATAGCTTTATTATTAATTTGAATTCACATTCTCATGCGTAAATCCCACAAGCGTTTTCAACAAGTTTTTAAAAAAACTCACATTAAACCATGATTTATCATCAAATATGACTAAAATTCAAAATATGAAAGAGCGAACAGACACGTCCAGTCATAATGTAAACAAATTCCTTCCTTTTTCAGAAAATGCACTGCGAATTAATATGTAAATGTGTAAAATTGCTCGAATAGATTTTCGTCACTAGACTAAATATAGTATCTAATGGATAAATAATCAAACAACCAGATGTGTGTTATAAGATGTACAGTCGCTGTCGTAAAACGATTTTTCACTCCTTTTAGTATTGATTTATTATTGCGGAGCGTTACAAACAATAATTTGACTTAATTTAATTAGATGTATTAAGTTTGATTTGGAATTCTATTAGACGCGACTTTAATATCAATTATGGCGATTGTGATTTAATTGCACAATTAAATGGGGACTTACAGACATGTTGAAAAGGATAGCATGACAATAGCTCGAATTTGTTGTCAATATATCTATAAACTAATAATGACATGCATGATGAGTGACATTCACATGCTCAAACAAAAATAATCAGATAATAATAATAATCACGATAATGACAACATGGAAAAATGTTATTTACACTTATTTTTCGAGTCCATAAATAAATTGTAATAAATGGAAATAGCCAGAGGGGTTCAAGGGGTTCCAAAACCTCTCGCTTAATTTATTTTTTTTATTTTCTCTGATTTGTAGCTTAATCATTCATGTAATATTTGAATCATTAGTTCCCCATTTTCTACGCACACCCCTGATTGAGAAATATTATCACTTATTAAGAATCAACAGCGAGAGTATCAAATAAAATTGTCATTGCGCAATAAATTTTCTGTATGTACTTTGAGATCTTCTTTTTGGGCTTGTTATTGGAACAAACTTATTTTTGCACTTATTATGAGCATGATAAGAATTTGCTTGTAAATTGATGTTTACAGGAATCAATCGATGAGACACTTACTTATTTATTACTACGGAATGGAAAAATAAAATAAATAAATAACAAATAAAATATTTTTTACGAGTAGTGTGGAAGGTGGACCGCACAACTGAGCACACAAACTTGAATGAAAAATTTCCAATGAAAAAAAAAATATTATATTTCGCTCAAATAACAGCACAAGTTTTTGTTTGATTATTATATTACTAGCTTGTCTTACCCGCTTAATTGTGCAACTATGTGTCTATGTTGAGGATGAATGATTTATGTGGGTCAGGGATGTACCTAGTGAGATTTTTTGGCTTGTCACAATAATTGGTTCCTCGAAACTTTAGAAAAATAATTCAGCATTAAGGCTGTGATCGAAGCTGACGAAGCTCGGTTCGTGTGTTGGGTGTAGTTTTAAGGTCTTTGGCAAAGAATCTGCCTCCTTTGCTAGGTATACAAGAACATACTGGCATCTGAATGACTTCTTTACGGCATCTTGCGCACACGAATTATGACTAGGTACATTGCAGGGTACATCAGGTCTTATGACGTAATCGTGTCTTTGCAATGTGCAGAGCTTGCAAGTGGTTCTGATCCCACTATAAACTGTAGGTCTAAAGGGTGTGGTACAATAGATTCTGTTCTAATTTGAATCGCAGTGCCTCCAGCTGAAAGGCTGGGCCCTTCACACATTATAATTATTATTATTAAGGCTGTGATCCCCAATTCCTTAATAAATGACCTGATCCATTCAGTAATAAGCTAAAGTGATCTCAAAACGGCACTAAGATGAACAATATGTCATACCATCCCCAAGTCGATCATGATAGATTTCCTATGTCCTTAATGGAACTACTAATATCCAAAAAATGCTTGCTTAATAAATCGAAACCAAAAATGACAGCAACTCCTTCCACTACATCCCTGACAATGATTTAACTAAGATTTTATATTCATGAAACCTTTTGTTATTAGAAAAGTTATAATTCATATAAAATAAATATCTAGCTGAGAAATATGAAATGACAACGAGATTTATTATATATACAAATATTTAATTATATTGGAGGAACTGATCTACACTTTTATGGGGAGCGAAAAAAAGTTAATTGTGAGAGAACTTTTTTCCCCAGCGTGTTTATTTTAACAGCAGAGAAAGAATGCATTTTTTTTATTACGGACCGACTCATCTTTTCGAGAATTTATGTCTATTTCCTTAGATCTCAATCAAAACCGGATTTATCAATATTATAATTAACACAATGCAAATTTTTTCGCTCTCAATTTAGTTTTTAAAGGAACAATTATACAATGTTGTGCAAGTAGTAGGAACAGATATAGAGTTTATTAAAATTCAATGCCGATGTACAAGGTAGAAATGGAAGTGAATGTTTTATGTGCATACAAATGATTTTTTTATGGATTTTATGTAATATATTGAATCTTTTTGTTAACATACCACCGTCACCAACATTATTTTCATCTTTACTGTTCTTATTTGATTCCTCACTCATTTGAGAATCTTAATATCTGCCAATTTCCAGTTTTAATAGAAAAGAAGACTTGTAATCAGAGTTGCGATACAGGTTGCCTGTCACAGGTACAGGTGATAGATCTGTAACAGGCAATATTTTTTTTAACTGTCACAGGCACAGATCTGTTATATCTGTTGGCAGATTTGACAGATCTGTGCCTATGACAGATCGCAACTCTGCTTGAAATAATAATTTTTTTGGGCTATAAAATTCACGGCTTTACAGTCAAGAACAACAAGTAAGTAATGTTATAGGGCACATTTGTACAAAAACTTGATTCCTCAATGCTCAGGAATTGATTTAAATTTATTAATACACAGGCTTTTGCACGACGATAATTAAGTATGAATATTAATAGCTCACTTTATAGCCATTAAACGTTAATAACAGTACATGAGCAATGAATATGGTCGATTGCTGTTTATACAGCATAAAACAGTTATTGAAGATGATAAATTAAGGCTCAATAGTTATTATGTACAACAAAAAAGTTAAAAATGTCACAACATCAACTTGAGAATTAAATTAATAAACAGCTACACTGTTAATTGGCTCAATTGATATTCTTTCCGCATATGATTTAATTGAAGTAGATCATAATTTTTCTATTCTCGTCATTTTCTTCTTGCTTAACTTGTTACTTTGACCTTAAAAACTGATTTTTATGGATACATTACCTTGGATCTCTGGTTTTATTGATTTTTTTGTCTTTTATAGTCAACAGAAGAATGGAATGTCTAATAAGTATTAAGATTAACTGAGTTATAACTTATAGATTAAGAAATTAACAAATTTAAGTAACAAAACAACAGAAAAACATTTTATAAGGGTTAGTTCAATAGTGATGGCTAGCAACAGATGGGTTGACATGAACCCTCCCTCAAAAAAATTCTCATACTGAAAGCTATCATCACTTAAATTGTTGAATGGCTACAGACCAACTTAATACTTCCTAAAAGCCTCAAAATTCTCTTAAAATTGGACGTCATTTGCTAACGTTTCCTTTATATTTGAATGTATATATCTATGTCAGTGATGAATTTACTCAATATATGTTTTTCAAGCCATAAATCTTTTATTTAATAATGATTAAATCATGTGATATATTGCAAAATTGCAGGACCACAAGGAGTTGAGATTACAAGATAAAGGTACTAGTTTAACCGTTTTATTAATGATTAAAATCAAGATTTCAAAAATTTCTCAGTTTGGTAGGTTTCACGTAGACAAACCATTCCAGTCTTCCAGTGCGGTTAATGCGGGAAGATTTAAAAGTCAAAAATCAGTTTAAAACTTGCAAATTCTCTCAAAATACTTAATAAATCTTGAATATTTTAATCAAAAGTTGTCATTTATCTATAGTACGGTCCATACACAATCATGTAGGCATATAATATGCCTGTAAATAATCATATCATTTTTGTCAGCTGTTTTGTCGAAACTTTCTAGTCTTAGAAAGCTCTGTAGCAAATAACTTATCGCAATTTTACAAATAAAACTCATTAATTATAAACTTACCATCCACATGAGCATAATCAAAAGATAAAAGAGCTTTAAAATATCCAATAAGAACTGAGAGAAGTTGAGAAACTTTGAGTAGATACCACTGAATTGTAACAGAGAAAAGTAAACAAAGAAGTGAGCTTCAAAGCTACCTGAATTGGAAAGTTTTGAAAAAAAGAAGAAAAAATATTCATTGCTAGAACGCAAATTTATTAAATAAATTAATTTGATGTCGAAAACGGACGAGAACGATACATAAATTAGTGTTAACATATAGCTATACAAAAATGCTGTGGTTTAATCTAGGATTTAGTGATTTTATTAAGAAGAGAGTGTGTAAATTTTTATTAAATCGTTACTTGGGACAATTTTTTCAAGAAAAATTAACAGTCGATCAGATATGTCTCGATTTATACAACGGAAAAGGCTCTGTTTGTGATGTGAAGTTATGTTGTGAGGTAATAAATTATGTTATAATTATCAATAAGTTTTATGCTCGAATCAAAACAAAAAAATATCAGCTGAAAATTGGAAGTTTTTACACACAAAGCAAAAACAGATGATGGAGGAAGTAGATATAAATTTAAGTTCGTGTGATATACTTTTATGAAAAAGTAAATATATGATTTAAATGAAGATAAGCATAAGATACAAGATTGTGACTCATACATACAGAAATATAATGTGAATATGAAAGACTATAAAGACCTTAGAACTGTTCCTATAGTACGAATTAAATCTAGTTTTTTTCCTCATCACTCATTCTGCCATTTCTACGCTGCTCAAGTCAACACATAAAAAAACTTGTTTTCTTTCGCGATTTCATATGTTTTTCATACCAATAATCAAGTGTCTAAAAATATGTGTGTATATGTGCTATATATTTTTCCGTATAGCTTGAGCGAAACAAAGAAACAGAGTGAGAGAGAGATGTGTATTCGATGGATGGAAATGACACAACTATAAGCGAATATATGCAGTCGAAGATAAAATTAGAACAAAGAAAAAAAAAATTAATTTTGCAATATTTGCATACTCACACCTTTAAATTTTATTATTATTATTTTCTTGTTGGCTCATTCATGTCTACTGGTTGCGAAAAAAAAAAGAAAATAACAACATTAAAAGAGATACCAGCTTGTTCATACATATATATTGTTTTCCTTGCGATCAAGTTCATTGCTATTTAATGGCCTCGTCGTCGTGTATGCAATATCAGCATATACTCACATCTATGAATGCAAAAAAAGCTGTTTTGATTCTGCACAAGCATGTACAGTCATGATTTCTTTCTTCATTACCAGCTGATTCAATCAACTGATCATACATTGATTTCTTTTAATCTCTTTCTTTTCGCACAAATTTTACATTGTGTGCTATATACATGTGACAGACACTGATAACTCAGCTATTTATTTATATTTTTTCGTTTCTTGTGAAATCAGCTCAATGTTGTTGTATCAGGAATCAGGAAATCAAAACGTGCTTGAGATTTTTTTTTGAAAAATGTTCTACGAATTTTTAACGAAAATGGAAATGCGACCTTGCACAACATTTTATAACTTGATATAGTAGAGAGCTGCAATAATTTTATATCTGAAAAATTAAATTACACACATAGTCAATGATAAAAGTCGAAATGGCACAAAAAGAATTGATGCCTTATTAAGCTCAAAAATAGCACAATTTAAAACGTAATTTATTCCCATTTTCTTATTATTACTTTCATTGATGTGATGATTTCTTGAACTTTGAGCGACATACATAAAAACTTTATTGACGTGGCCAGTTGTGACATGATCAAAGCGCATATTCCACGACTTCTTAGTTAATGGAAGTAAATTTGACAATTTAAAGGCTTTAAAAATTCAAATTGAAACTTTCGTTGAAAAATAACGTTCATAAAATATTTGAAAAATATGAAACAGTTCAAAAATCGTTCAAAATTCAAAATTAACACAGCACAAACAGCCAGACAAAACATGAGCAAACCTTATGAATTATGTCAATAAAATCAATGTTACATGCATTAATCAAATGTGTAGAAATTTATTTTATTAAGTTAGTCTTATTAACGAAATTTACATATTTCCACACATAGCCGGTTCTATATTTAAAGCGCGTGAAGAATATATTCTACACATTACACGCGTCCTTGAGAATTAACTACTACGGAACAGCATTTTTCAGCCAGCTTGTGACTACACATAATCTACATTTGGAAATGAAAGATTAATTCCGTAGTATCACAAAAATTTTGTTTATTGTTGTTTTTAAATTCTTGGAAGATTGCAGCTACGCAATAATCGATAAAGTCTCAACAACAATTACCTTCTTTATAACAATTACGCATTTCGTCACTTCCAAGTAGTTATGATAATAAACAATTGAGCTTAGTAAAAAAAATGTGCCACAGATGACAATGGAACTGAAATTCTTTATTTTATTTTATTTTTTTATAGACAATTAACAGCTTATTTGAAGCACAAGGATGGGACTTTGAAATAAAGAATGGAGAAATAGGATCGCTTGCTGTCGACGTGCCATGGAATTGTCTTATGTCGGAAGATTCAGTTGTTGAAGTAAACGATTTGTATTTGTGTCTCCGACCACATTCACGGACTAAAGATGATGGTATGTATTTATAGACATTGATGATGCTTAATTCTGTTTACAAAAAGGTTTTTCACAATTTTTATTTTTGCTATTTTTTCTAATAAAAAAAAAGAGCTTCGCTGAGATAGGCTCACATTTTTGTGAAATAACGTCGTCAAAAAGAGGAAATGAGTAATCTGAATGGAAAATAATAAGCTTTTAGAATTTTTTTATTTCTATTTCGTTAAAATTGCTAATTAATTTACTTGTCATGCTATTCATCGCCTCACGTAATATTTGTTTGCAATTTTTTTTTTTGCGTATAAAGACGAACATTCCGTCAATGACAGACAAATTACGTGGAAGCATGTGGCTAAACTCTTCTTCTAAATACTTCACTTACTTTTTTCTTCCTCGTGAAAAACGATACACGATAATTAGATGTAAACAGAAAAAAAAAATACTTTCAATATATGTCTGGGTTCTTTGTTGTGATTCAATAATTTTTGCCCCAAAAAAGTTTTTGTAGACGAAATATTCTCAATGTGTCAAGGACTTTGGCATAATAGATTCGCGAATGTGTTGGAATAATCTTGTATATTAGTTTTAAATGGCGATGCTGGACATCTGGTTTGATTCTTAGAAGAATGTCGTCTATTTAAGTGTCTAAAGTTGGATGAAACCATAATTGATTATCTGTGAATTCTAGGCAGGGGCGTAGCCAGGGGGGGGCCATAGGGGGCCCGGGCCCCCCCTACGAAAATCTGATAATTGTTTTATTAAGTATTTATAGAGAAGAACCAGTTAATGTAGAGGAAGAGATGAAAGAAATGTCAAAATCAGCACGAAAAATTAAATTTAATGTATGAATAATGAATTAAATATTTAAACTTATGAAGAATGAATATAGATTTAAGGATACAAAATAACGGTTTTTTAATTTTCGAAAATGGGCCCCCCCCTTAAAAATTTTCTGGCTACGCCCCTGATTCTAGGGCTTTAATATAGCTGCTCTAGTAATCAACATTGGTCAAGAATGAAAAACGTAGCTTATAAGGTTCAATTTAAAACAAAGAAAGAAGAGAATGTTAATATTTTGACAGATTTAACTAGTTATTATTATATATAGAACCTTCACAAGCACATAAATGAGATACACTACGTAAACTGAAAAGAAAATGTGCTGTATTAGAGATCAACGATCTCTATTTCGTATGTCGTAAATGTTTTATGACGACTTTTTATTTTATCAGTAATTACTTTTCTGACAGCAATTATTCTTGTTTGATATGACAAATTTACAGGCACAACAATGCTCGAGTCGATGTGGAGCTCGATGAGTAGTTCTATGCAATTAGCCCAAGAATGTTTAGAGAAAAATGAGGATGTAGAATTTGAGATTCCACCAAATTCAAACTTGGAAGGATTGGAGAAATTTGCACAAACTATCGATAACAGTAAGTTCACGCTAATGACGACACAATTGTGTAGCTATAAATAAATTACACGTGCTAATTTTTTTTAATTCAATTCTGTAGTTTTGATTCGCGTTAAAGTGAAACTTGTGGATACAACGATAAGATTAGAATATCTTCCGACTGATTCGACTTCAGGAGTTGCAATAATTATTAAAATTAAAAGGTTTGTCGACTCATCTTACTACCACAATGACAATTATTAATAAGTGTGTATTTGAATCAACAGTTTAGGCTATCAAAATGAAGCGAGAAATGACGCACCAGATAAAGAAGACAGCGACAAAAGTGACCAAAAAACAATTGTCTTTTCAACACACGCATCACATTATCTTACATTAGATGACATTTCATTTTATTCGGAAGAGTTTAGAATAGGAAATAAAAAGGATGCGACGAAAACAAAAAGTCGACATAATTCCACAGCAAAATCGTCAGAAAATAATGATGAAAGTGGCAATGAAGAGAATGAATCGAGCTCATTAGATCCATTTGCAAGTGCTATATCGAGTTTTTCACCCGACAATGAAATGTTTTATAGTCAAAGTGCATTAAGTGATGGTGAATCGAATAATAAACAAAATAGGGAACTAGATGATAGCGATGATGAGGAAGGCGAGGAAATTTATCGGTCAGAAATGATATTAATGGGAGTCATGAATAATCGTCAGGAAATTAGAATAAATATGAAATTAGCAGAGAATATTGATGGACCTAAAGTATCGTTGGAAGTAATGTTTGGAACACTTATACTATATTTTACACCGCGCCAATTTCATATGTTGCTTTTACTCTGTGATATTTTGCTCAATGGTGAGGCATTAGCAAATAATGATGATGATAATAAGAAGTTTTTGAAAGAAAAATTACGAATGCGGGAAGAAGAGATGAAAAAGCATATACCTTCGTACGGTGGAAATTTATTGAATCATCCGACATGGTCGGGGCTTCAACCAGGCGAGGATTATGACTGTGACTTGAAAGGAATCCAATATAATAATTTACGTCCAGTCAGCAGTGATTCATTTTTATCTTCTAGCAGTTCTATGTCTAGTTCTATGCAATCGTCAGCTAGTCAAACGACAAACCAATCAAATCGACACAGAAGGGCTATCGAAAGGGACCAGAATGCTGACATTTCTCATTATAATATACGAATAGCTGGAATTTATGTTCTTTTACTTCATGATGACATTTTAATTCCTGATTCTGATCCTAATAATCTCTTTCCACTCAATGAGCCTACGGTCGATAAATTAAGATGTAAATCTGAACACTTTTTCAACTACACATCCAATTTCATCAGCACGTGTAGTACCAGTGATTTAAACAAGATCGGAGCAATTTTCAACAAAGCCTGTGATAGTAACCATTTGAGGTATGCCCATAAAGACTTAGATAAACCTTAAAATCCGGAGATTTATCTTACCACGTTCTTAAATCTCTCGATTAATCTAAATCCATCATAAATCTTCTAGATTAATTTTAATCCACCTTTTAATCTAATAATTATTTTAAATCCCAAAAAAATCTATTGAATGCATTAATTGGAATGCTGATAGACTAAGCAATAAGTAGAAAGTAATTAAAATATTTCATTGGATTCCATTTTATTTATAGAATCATGTTAGCGCCTATAATTTTAAGTGGTGAAGACAGACGAACTGAAAAAGGCAATCGTACAAAACTTAATTTATCTATATCAAGAACTGAATTAAAGGAAATTCTCGATGGATTGACGTTGCCAATATTGGACTTTAGTCGTAAAGATTCAACGTCAGAAATATCTAAGCAGCCTGAAATGTCAATAGCAATTGAGAAAACATTCTACATAATGAAAAGTTCGTCAGGAAGGCAGTACATTGCTCCTAGATTTAATATGGAGTAAGTTGGATGCGTTTTTAAATGAAAATTAAATTCTATAAATGGCAAATATTCTTTTTTTGTGCTTAATCCTCAGAATTTCACTCGGAATTGAAACAGAAACGCAATTTGCTTTCGACATTTCTATTTTTGATCGCATACATGCGTTGTTTTCGTCGCCATTTATTTACTCAGCCAACTCATCCAATAATGATCAGGATGTATTTAGTGAACTTTCACCTAATTCTCAGCGAATTGTGCAATCGAAGTCTGAAATAAAAGTGCTGGCTGAGAACCTTAAACTTATTTTAGTAAGTCTATTCAGCAAGTTTTTAAATTATTATGACTTAAAATAAATTTATTTCCTTTATAGTTCTTTCCAATCGTTGATTTGAGGCCTCATCATGATAAAGATCGATGTCCATACTGGAAAAGAAATGTTCGATCAGACTTTCTTCAAATTAAATTCAAGGAATTCAAACTGAATTCAATATCCAGCATTTATGATATAATTGCAACAGAAATAAAATTCTATTACAGTGAGTCAGAGAAACACAATCCAATTTATTTTGGTAAAGCTAGCAATTTCGAAAATACAACAAACAAACATTATCCGACGAAAGAATATCCACGCATAATCATTCAAATCCCATCTGACTCACAAATACAGGACATGAATGAAGAATTTATTCGAGAACATCAGGACAAGAAAGATGACTCGGATAATAGCGATCCTACTTCCTATGAAAGTATCAAAATCAAAATGAATCTCGAAAGAGATTCAACTCCGTTTAGTAAAAAGAGAGTTTGTAGAGAAAGCGACACGCCTCACAATAAAGGCGATGAAGGTGAAATTTTCCTATTTAATTTTATGCCTTGATATTTATTTGAGTTTCTATTTTTATAGACGAATCGGAAATATTACTTATGCCTGGAGATAAAGAAGAAATGAAACATTTCTGTGATAATGCATTCAAATTCTCAAAAATTCAAGTTAAATTGGATCTTCCAATCGTTGTGGTGCAGCTAAAGTAAGTTTTCAAATTTAACGGCATTTCTGTTTTTAAATTCATTTTTTTTTCGTTAAGTAAATCTTGAGTTCAATTCATTTCAGTTCATTCAAATTTTCAAAAACCGTTAAAATTCAAATTTTCATTTGTCGCTATTGTTTCAGGTCTAAACATTTTTACGAAGTCTTTTACAATCGTATAATATCGGATATCCTAATGTGGGAATCTAGTGTCCCAAAAAATAAACCACCGGAAGTAATAGTGCCACAGAAGAAGCAACCAGAATCTTTAATGACTGCTGGAATGATGGATTCGATTTATGCACCATTTACAATGTGTAAAAGTCATATAAATTTTGAGTCCAGCTCTTCTGCCACTAATTCCGAGAGTGAAAGTGAAAATGATCCAGTTTTTTATTCGGTTTATGAGAGAAGTAGTAAACAAAAGAGCATGTTGAAGGATATTTATCAAACAGATTATAGCAATGCAATAGCTTTAGAATTAAAAATTGGACAAGGAATGGTCACGATGTATGCACCTGTTAGAGATACTCAAAATCACGTTATTCCTGGTCAGCTTGGGGAGTTTGTTTTAAAGACAAAATCCACATCAATATTTAGCGTCAACAATTATCATGGAAATTCAAATTTAGGATATTTTTGCATACAGTCAGGAAATTTGGAAGTTTATCATTGTGGATTACTTCCAGTGCCAATACAAAATTCCCCATTAAGAGATTTAACTTGTTCGCTTCCCGCTTGGCTTAATGCAACAATTTATCCAACACCTAGAAATCTTATACCTAATGATAATAAAGTTACATTTGATCGTGATATGCTCTCGTTAGCGGTACAAATAAAATCAAATCCTGAACAAGGATTAAAGAGAGTAAAAGTATCAGTAGGAATTCAAAATGCCACTTTAAGATATTTCTCATCACTAACCGAACATTTATGGTTGACACAAATAATGGATTTCTTTGATGTTAAAGAAGACATCGTTCAAGGATATACGCCTTATACAAATCTTACGGAACTTCATTTGCATTTATGGAATTCATGTATTGATTATAGACCAAAAAGATATCCATTTAGGGCAATTGCTAATATTGGAACATTAATGATTAGTTCAAATATTGCAACAGGAAGTGTCGGTTGTACTCTACGATTTGTGGCTGAAGATGGAACTCTTTCATTAGCCCCACAAGTTCTAGAAGAGAAGCAACAAGATTGTAATAAAATAACTTCTTTACCGCACACAGAACTTGTTTGTGTAATGGAATTGGGATTATTTGAAATATCACTTAAACTTAGTGATAAAGTCACGCCTCTATCACCAAAATATGACCTTCGTGCTGCCATTAAAGATGTTCATTTACGCACATGTTCAGATTCTGGTAAAGCATTATTAGAATTCATAAGTTATTTAGCGTCGGAAGGAGATTTATATGAAGAAATTCATTACGATGATGACCAAAGTGAAACTTCGAGTATAATGCAGACGAATGATGATGAATTGTTACTTAAAGGTTCAGAAAATGAAATTCCTGAAGTGACTGAAACACAACAAAAGCATGTAAATACATTAATGGCTGATGCTATGGAAGAAAGTATTTATATACCAAGTCAATCAAATATTGAATCAGACGAGCCTGTCGATCTTGGTGCTGAAGTTTTCTTCTTTCCCGATGAGGACAGTAAGAAAGATGCAAAGAATAGTAATCAAGCTGGTCCGAGTTATTATCGTAAAGCAGACAGTTATAAACGTCGTTGTGCTAGTGAAGATTCAATAAGCATCGACTCGTCAAGTTACCGTGAAGATGAAGAAGTGTTTGTCAAGCGATATCAACCGAAAGATGAAGATTCAGGCAGTGTAAATACAGAAATGAGAGAATTATTGGATTTCGAGAGGTCTGTAATGATTGGAATGAAAGAACCAGAAGAAGATTTTGATCCTTTGCCACAAGTTGAGATGGATTTAGGGGACATAACTAAATATGATTTACCAAAGCAGGCACCAGAAACTGAGAATAAGAAGAAATATTCAGACTCTGATGATGATTTTTGCTTTGTTGCGGACGAAGAAAGGCCACAATATAATGAAATTCCAGTTCTACAGACCGACGATCCAATTAGAATAGTCGATAATCACTTTAGTGCTCCAAATGGCAAACCTGATTTGTTAAAAGCTCCTTCAGACTTTCCAATGGCAGTTCAACGTTATACTTTATGCGAAATGTCATTGGTATGGCATATTTATGGAGGACGTGACTTTGATGAAAACGATCGGAAAAAGGAACGCGAAGAAAGAGAAGAATTGTAAGCATGGCAAAAATCCTAGGATTTATATTTTTATCTCAGGATTTAAAATTTCAATCATACGATTTAATGTGTCAAAAATTAATTATTATTGTATTATTTTCTAATTTATTCAGGAACCGAAGAGCTTTCACAAACTACCCAATGTCAGAAGTGTATAAAATGGGAGTCTCTTACACAAAAGGCTCACCGAGCCTAACCCTTGGTGGAAGTAGTCACTCAAATAAATTAACTTGGAAGACGCGTGGTGGATATTGCAGGAAACATGATGTTTTAATGGAAATTAATCTAAATAAAGTAAGATTCTCGCATGAATTATATCCAACAACGACAGAACAAGCGTCGAGACAAGTTTTATTAATAACAGAAATAGAAATACGTGATAAATTGGCAATATCCAATATCAATAAATTTCTATATCATCCAACTGTCGGTTTTCGAACGCGACAAGGCAATAATCATATGGTTGTTATCAAAGCATTACATTTAAGACCAGACAGAGCATTAAAGACACAAGAATGCTGTTTGAGGATTTCTTTGCTACCAATTAGACTTAACATTGATCAAGATTCATTGCTGTTCATGATAAATTTCTTTAATGAATTAAGTGGAGGAAGTGATTTAAATGAGACAAAATCACAAGCTGTTGCAAAAGTTCATCAACCTCCCGTTATGATGGTGGAAATACCCGATGCTGCACAAGAATTGCAGGCACGAAAAATGGTTTCGGAAAATTTAAGTTTGCTATTAAATGATGAGAACAAAGGTCCAAAAGAGACATCTGATACAACAAGTGAACAAGCACAAGCTGATTCATCACCAATATTCTTTAGACAAGTCATATTCAGTCCTGATGTGCCGATTAGACTTGATTATCAAGGAAAAAGAGTTGAATTATCTCATGGTCCATTAGCTGGTCTACTTATGGGTTTGGGACAATTACAATGCTCCGAAATTCGTTTAAAGAAAATCTACAATCGACAAGGAATTTTAGGTGTTGATCGCTTAATTAACTTTTTGATACAAGAATGGCTTCAAGACATCAAAAAACGTCAGCTGCCTAAAATTCTTGGTGGAGTCGGTCCAATGTATTCACTTGTGCAACTATGTAAGTAATGTTAATTCAATACAATGTATGAAATTCCGTGAATGCACAATAATTAATTTTAATGGATATCATATGTTTTTTCTACTTCTAGTTCAAGGTATATTCGATTTATTTTATTTACCATTTGAACAATACCAGAAAGATGGTAGAATTGTGAGGGGCATTCAGCGTGGTGCTCAAAGTTTTACCGCAAGAACAGCACTAGCGGCTTTAGAGATTACTTCACGAATCATTTATTTGCTACAAGTATGTTAAACTACAATGTTGCATATCTTTTGGCTTTAATCATGATTTATTTTTATTTCTTAGATAACCGCAGAAACTGCTTACGATATGGTTTCACCTGGACCTTCTGTTCGTCGACGTATTATGAGGAAAGGGAAACGAAAAAGAATCAATCCACCGCAGGTAAGCTTTCTATCAATTTTATCACATTCAAATTGACATAAAAGAGTATGAAAATCTTTACAGGACATACGAGAAGGAATGGCGAACGCATACTATATAGTCAAAGACGGAATCGGAGATACAGCACAAACAATAATGCAAATGGCTGCATTAGAGCACGATCAGAAAGGATATACAGGAGCTGTAGGTGCTGTAATGAGACAAATTCCACCGACAGTCGTTCGTCCTCTAGTTCTAGCGACACAAGCCTCACATCAAGTACTTGGTGGACTTACAAGTCAATTGATTCCAGACGCTCGCATCGAGGCGAAAGAAAAATGGAAAGATGACAATGACAATTAATTACTTCATCTTTTTAACTATCTCAAATCACTTTTATGTTTAGCATTTTAAGTTATCAAGTTTAATGTTTTGAATGAAAAGAAATTCTCAAAATGAATGAGAATAGTGGAAGTAAGAAGGGCACCGAGAAGATTTTTAAGGAAAAACAAATGTAAAGATTTTGTCAGGAATTATTCAAGAATGGTATGTAAATTGGAAATTTAATAGAAGGGAAGGGATCATGAAAAAGAAAAAGAACTTCAAATCATGGTGACGGAAACTTAACTTTTTTTTATTTATTTCAATTTCTTTTCTGTTTTGTGATTCACGAGTTTGATATAAAAGTGCATTGTGTCTTTTTAATTTTTTTTTTTTTTGAAACAAAAAAGAACGTAGAGAATTATATTTTAGCGCATTTTCCAGTACTAGCGAATATGTTTTGTCTGTCTGTCTGTCTTCAACCTTAAATGGTTCATTAAAAAATTAACGGTTATGTAAAATTTGAATTTTAATACATTTATTTTCAAATATTTATTACCCGTTAATTATTCAAATAAATGTTGACAGTTAATTTTTTAAAATATTTTTCAACAAATAATTTTAAAAAATGTATTAAATATTCACTGAACTTGAGGTGGAAAATGCGCTCAACTTGGTCACAATCGACCACTTTTATGCTAGTTTTATATGAATGTAATGAATGGTCTATAAATTGACAGAAGAAAGAGCTGAGTGAATGTATTGTATCTTAAGTTTTTATGAGTTTCTTATTCTTATGCATAGGCAATAAATTTTATGCTTGCAATACAATATAAAATAACAGAAAAAAAACGATTCTAATCAAATTAAATTGGATAAATACAAAGTTTTTTGCCACTTAAAACCTATTTTTTTAAGTACCTAAATCAAAATTTTTTTAAAATGAGAAAATGATAATAAATTAGTAATTGATTTTAAACACTTTTTTTACTTCAACTAATAAAAATTTATTCTATCAAATTCATGAAAAAAAAAGTATTTAAATTAATTTAAATTTCTGTACGGATTGTAGCAGCAACAATTTGTTATCAATTGATGTTCTTTACATGTATTTGCATAAAGGTACGAACAGTCAGAATATCTACATTGTGGCTGATTTAGTCCACAACAGCATGCATCATGGAATATCTTTTGATCACAATACGAGTAAACACTACTATCACATGCAGGACATCCACTATCATATCCGGAATCCTTCTGTAATTTCTGATCATTATTTCGTAGTGATGATTTTAATGAATCAATTGCTTGAAATATAAGTAAGAAGAAGAACAGCTATAATAGTTTCAAATCAGAGTTCAAGCGCTTACAGGTTGTTATTTCTTATTAAACTTAGCGGAACTTGTCAATTATTGAAACACTTTTTACGATTTTTTTAATAACCTGTAGAATTTTGCACTGCAGCAACAACCGTTAACTCTATATTATCTTATTTTTTTCGATTGCTAATTTTAGTATTAATAAAAAATTTCTTTACCATCAATCTTTGGATTAAATTTCTCATTAGCAGCACATTGATATAATGATATAAGTATAATTACAATAATTGCGGCAATCGTTCTCATTTTTAATTATTATTTAAAATTCTACAAAGAATATTTTCTTTTTCACGTTTAATTGGCAAGAGAGGAGAACAGAGACTAAAGCGTGAATCGGAAAACAGAAACAAAACTGCGAAAAAATAAAGTTCTTGACCATTCAGCAGAGTTTATGGTCGTGTACAACAATAATTCGTGTTTTTAACTAGCATTCGGCTTTTTTTTTTCTTTATTAGTTTCAAGTTCAAAGCTTATGTTCTTATTCGTAAATTCAAGAATTTTCTTCTTCTCCATCTCAACAGGTTTTTTGAGCATATACAGCAATGCGGTGAGATTCTCTTTGAAAAGTGAGGCACGAATTATGGCTTTTTCTGCATTATTTTTGCAAATGCATCAGCGAGAAATTTCAATTGCGGTGAAGCCGGTCGTTTTGGTAGTGGCGGAACTGATTCTTTCTTCTCTTCTTCCTCATCGTCTACTTGTGGTTCTATGACATGCTCAACATTTTCTTCAACAATCTGTATTTCATCAACATTACGAGGAGCTGGCGCCGTAAAATGTTCATTCGGTAGAATTTCTCGTAATGCCTTTAATTGAAGATCCCAGATTTCTGTGTCTCCATAGATTTTAAACAGTTTCTGACTTAGAGCTTCGTCTAGAGAAATTTCTTTGAGGGCAATTTGAAGTAAAATTTCATCTCTGATTTTTATATAGACGTCTGCATAGATTGCGGTGATAAACTCTGTTGGCTCGATGAATAGGAGACGCTCGAAGAGTAAAACTGTAAAGGAAAATAAATTCAATGTATTGCTGTTATCTAAAAGGTAAGACCCCGTTTGTTCACTTATTACGTATCGCAACAAAATGATCAGTTTTAGACTCCATTAAAAATTTAATTAAGAAGCCATAAAATCGCCCGTACCCTAGCTTATAGACAATATTCAACAACCTAAGCACCTAAGACCTTTCTAGTCCTTGCTCAAACCCCTTCTTTGAAAAACTTAATTTCATACCAAATTAAAGATCAACTGATCAATTCTGTTAATCACCATCTTTCAAAACTCACCATACTGCTTGATACTCTTATCCTCACAAATGATATCCAACTGTGTAATTCCATACCGTCTGTAATCAACATGCTTAATTAAAGGAATTTTCTCCTTAAAACGTTCAACAACTTCCTTCGATTTTGGTTCCATTTCTCAAATAAAAAACTTTGTGTCTAATGCAATCTGATGCAGTCACTTAAATGATGAGGAATGCTGACGATAAGCAAGTTAAAATAGTAATCTAATGCGTAATTGTTTCCGGAACTTTTAAGCTCATCTTGGCTCATCTATTGACTGGACTAATATTGACATGGAATCATTTTTGAATGAACAAGTGAATCACAGCTCATGAGCACATATTGTACTAATCCCCTTATCAGACATGAGAAAGTATATTTTTTTGGAAACATTTGACAATGACTAAGTCGCAAAGTTCGAAGAAGTTTCGAAGTAAACCATTGGACAGTCTCGTGTCACGTGATTCTCACATGTTGGACACTTAAGAGATTTGAAACTTGTCTGATCTGGTCTGATCGACCTAGCAATGTGATATTCAATTTTTAACTACTTCCTTTGAATTGAATTCAATCTTTGGGTACTAAAAATCTAGAGGGGCTATCGGGGGAACATCTAAGGGGTTTCTATATTATGTTCCACATTATGTTTTAGACCTCAAGACTTCCCTGTTGTGTAATAAGTCAACAGTTCCCAAACACTTTCAAATCAATTATTTTAAAGAATTAGAAAGTATTTCCAAAAATTATTTATTCGAGTCAGAAATGTCACATTTTATAATTGATCGTTAAGAATGATGAGTAATTCAAGATTTCCCTCAGCTGTGATAAGTTCTTCCTTTAATGCCTCAACTGCACTGGTTTTCTTTGCTACAATATTGGCTAATAAGTCATCTTCAAGTGTGATTGTGCATTCAGCTTCCTCATCTCCTTCATAAAATTTAATGTTGACTGCATCAAGCATCATAATTTTGACTACTTCGCCGCCATTTGTGATTCTAATCTTGAAAATGTGAGCAAGATCTTTGTTGCTTGTGTCAATTGCTTGCAATTTTTCACGAATGGTTTCAAAAGATTCTGCTTCTGATCTCAAAGACATTTTTTTTGCTGTAATTAAGGCACTAATTAAGGATTTAAATCAATTTAAAGTTTAAATACACAAACCTTTTCTTTAGCGAAAATCACGAAAGGAACTGAAACTTTTCTGCACTTTTCATATCAATTTATCCATTTCGTAATCGAATCGCGTGGTTGAAAGTCTAAAATCTCACGTATTTTAATCTTATCAGTTCCAATACATTTTTTTTTATCATTGGCTTTGACTTTAATTTCTTCTTAGGAAAATAATCAATCATAAAATGCAGTAGTCAATTCGGAATACATGACATACTGGATATGAGGCATGATTGACTATGTTTTTTATCGATTTTATTGCAAATTAACCATGACAACGATGTTTAAATTTGGCAATAAAAGTGAACCACAATTTTAGAATCAGTAGACAAATCTGACGCTAAACCTTTGCATGACTCTCAAACTAAAGTCCAAATTTCAATCACGAAACAAAATTTTACAGTTCACTGCTCATTCATTTTATTTAATTTAGTCACGAACTTACGCTTTGATATGAAACCTTTGGAATCATCGTGCGTCTAGTCACAATAAAACATGAACACGACACCTACGGTCTCTATTTTATCAACATTACACACCCATCAATATAAATTAGCTATAGGCATAAAAGAGATTAGAGAATTACTGTGGTAAACAGATTGGCACATATCATGTGTATGCCTTTTTAATCCTGACATTATGATAAGGCATGAGGAACTTGGCGAGTGGCACGATTAAGTTGAATTTATTTACTAAGGAAGGATTAAGTTCATGACTTCCTACTTCCTCTTTTTCTTAAAAAAAATACGTGTCATAGAAAAATTCACAAGTTCTAAGTCAAGTGCACTTGACTGAAAGCTCGCAATTATGTAAAAGCTCATGTTTGAAACTTAAAAGCTCATTAATTTTTAAAAAAATTCTTAAACAGTTTTATTAATGAAAAATTAAATGAATACAAAAGTCTTATGAAGGTGGAGGTCCTGACAAGGCTTCCTTTAATTTCATCAACAATTCTACGTTTCCTTCTACGACGAGTCTTCCATCCTTCAATTCCTCCATTCCATCAGTTCGTTTGAAGACAATATCATTGAGTAAAGCATCATCGAGAACCAATGTGCATTCAGCCTCTTCATCTCCTTCGTAGAACTTAATCTTAACCAAGTCCAACATCATTGTCTTGACAATTGCTCCATTTTGTTGAATTTTAAGTTTAAAGACATGAACGACTTTTTGGTTGTTTGGGTCGACTTTGTCCAAGCGAGCTTGGATTTTTGGGAATGCTTCAGCTTCTGAGATTAAACCCATGATTATGTCCTGAAAAATCGATAAAAAAACATAGAAAACTTAAGCAAGTGAAGGAATAGAATGTTAAAACTAAGTTTACGTGCTTCTATATGGCAAATTAACAGAAAGAATAATATATCTCAATTAGGACTTGAATCTTTGTCTAAGAACAGATAATGCATGCTCCTGCCACTGAGCTATATGAGACTAGTCCACTTTATGACCAAATTTAATCTTAGTATTAGACTAATGTTTAAAAAAAAAGCAATTTTTAAGCAGATGGATGTAAATTTAGCATTGCTTTAAGCTTGTTTCAAACTAATTGTAATATTCTGGTTATTAAGACAAAATAAGGTTTTCTATTGAGCTTGCACTTCTTTGAATTATTTATCAATGCATATAGGTCTATAAAATAGAAATCTTAATCCAAACATCAATGTAAAAAGAACTTAGAACTATACAAAATAGATTCTTTGTTTACTGCCTAAATACTGAACCTCAGGGATTTTCTATTGCACTTTAAAATTTGTGACAACACTCAATAAAGCTAGAGGATATAATCAAATATCTCGCTTCAGAGCTAGTACTTCATTTAGATATACTTCATCTATATAAACAACTATACTATTAAACTGGACATGATTAAGTTGTTTAAACTGCAACTTCCCAAAATTAAAAGTCTTTAGACTTTAATCCTTTAAATATTTTTCACAACACATAATCTTAAGACTAAATTTGTTTCAAAAACTACAACAAAGCTTATTACTAACCTGACAATATAAATTTCACAAACGTAACTGACTCAATTGAATTGCTTCCTTGCTTTATTTATACCATTTCATTAGTAATTAAGGCAATCAATTAACTATCGAAATATTGCCAAACCCCTTCAAATAATCTTATCGCTCTTTTTGTTGACTCTTCAAAAAAAAAACAAAATAAAAATCGAAAAAAATTAAACTATATAGTTCAGCTCAGCATTTCGCATAATCTAAAGCTGTAAATTTGATAAGATTATATCTAATTATGAAGACTTGGTGATATCCATGCTCATTATTTTCATAATTGCCAAATAATCAAAACAATTATTCTGAATCACTTCACAAACTTCCTGGATGGATCAACAGTCAGGAATAATCGAAAGTCTGATCGCATGACTTCTGAAAAATTAATTAAGCCTTTGATAAGAAATTATTATTTAATAAACAATTGTGATAAAGTGATTCAGCAACATTATCTCATGCTGCATAAAACTCAAGAAGAAGAAAAATCGTCGAAAACTTTGATCAAGTGTCTGTTATCATACTTAATTTATGGCTATGGAAAGGCTCTCGTAAAATTGATAAAAAATTTACTTTTTTAAACTTTTTTATTTTTTAATTAATTTTAATTTTTAATAATTTATTGACTTAAAGTTGCTCCCAAAAGCTTGGCAAGCTCTACATCTCCATCTACTGTGACCTTTCCGGATGTAATGAGTCCTGTGGTTTCTGCTTTATTTAAAACAACATCAGCGAGGATTTCATCAGGAATTGTCATTGTACATTCAGCCTCATCATCTCCTTCGTAGAACTTAATCTTGACCAAGTCCAACATCATTGTCTTGACGACTTCGCCATTTTGTGTAATTTTGATTTTGAATACGTGGACGACTTTTCTGTCTGGTTTGTTTGGGTCAACTGTGTCCAATACAGCTTGAATCTTTGCAAAAACTTCGGCTTCTTGTGCAACCATTTTAATTTGTTAATTTTTAAGAATCTACGGAAATATAGGAACTGAATTAATTTCTAGATTTTTTTCAATTTTTTTCTATTCACACAAACCTTTTAAATCTTCACTCAAAATTGCAAGCTATACTGGCCGAGTAAATATATTTTTGGTTCTTTTATACTTCAGTCGATGTTTCTTCTTCTTCCTCAAAAAAATGAAGATAGATAATGAATTTAAATTTGGTCTGTAATCTTATCAATAAATTTTATATATCGTATCGTTTCCTATAAATCACATGAATGTTTGTACACAAACTTAGCTTTTAATTCTATTATTTCTGCGTTGAACTTTTTGGCTTATTTATCGACCGTCGAAAGATTCACTGTTCATTTACTCAAATTGCAAATTCTCAATTCTTCCTACTGCAAATTCTCAAACTTACATAACATAAACAATAGATCTACTTAGCACCACATGTGTCCATATTCGACTCCAGTAAGTCGTTACACACTTTTATTTTATTCAGGAAGGATTTACTTTATAGATAAGACATTTTCATTGAAAGTGAAACTTATGTGACGATAATGCACATGCCAGATTATCGCTCAATGATTTTTAGGTTTTAATAATCCATCCAAAGTCAACGTGCAGTTTCTAAAGTTTTACATTTGTTGTGTAATTGCTGGATGGTTGGTTTTTCAAAAAGAACTGTATGAATGTGAAAATATGGAAGGTTCTGATAGATGTTTAATGCATAATGTTTTAGATCCTAATGATAGAATGCAGACTGTGGGGCTGAGTGGTTAGATTACAGAATTTGAGGCTATATTTCTTTCGTTTTTATATTGACGTGGTATGAAATATCAATTTTAACTGTTGCTTGCATTTACAATCTTAAGTCAAGTCAATGCCTTCAATATCAATTCCAGTAGCTTATTCTAAGATATCTTAAAAATTTATCAGTACCTAGAAATTTGAGAAATTAAAGATAAAAGCTTTATTCTTACACGTGATTGATTCCTATAAATGGTAACGAGCCTTCTGCGTCTGTCTGCTTACGCATGAACTTTCTTATCAAATGAAATGAGTTTAAAGCTTTGGTATTTGTGCTTGCAGATTGGAAAACCCCAAAATTTGGACGAGCTAGAAAATTCGGTTGATTCACTTGGTCCAATTGTCAGAAATAAGAGTCTCTGGTTTCAACGGCTATCCGAACTATCTTACACTAGTCTCATTATTTATATCCCAGATTAAAATTCCCCTAGTAACCAAAATCGTCCATATATATGGTAACATTGAACATTTCCTTAGGAACATCAATGTTATACATATGGACAATTATAGTCACTAGGATCCTTAAAGCCCAAAGCCTTTATACCTGAAAATTTTCTAAACACAAAAAACAGCTGTTGTCTAAAAGTTTCTGGATATATTTTCTCTTTTATTCCGTATTTTTTCAATGCTTTGGTTCGCTATATCTACAATATATGTTTCTTTTGTAAATCTTAAAATGTATAAGCTTAAAATGTAAATAAAATAGTTTAAACTATATATACAGTACGTGAGATTTAATGTGGAATTGAAACAAGCTCTCATCCACATGACTTTTTTTTTTGTGAAAAAATGTAGTAAAAAAAATGTTCAAACGTTGACAGGCACAAGTGTTGTATCGAAAAAGTAGGCACATATTCTAGCTGCTGAATGTAGCAATTAGTACGACTAGTGGCAACATCCATAAGTATAACGTTAATTTAGTCATATTTGCATTTCCTAACACAGATCTCCCTAAAAAAAATATGTACAAACATTAAATACATGATAAATTCATGATCAGTGAGAAAGGTCTTATTAATTATTATGCTCAGCCGATTAAAAAATTTACACATTGAGGATAGTTTACATTTAGCGTTGAAGGTTGAGCTGCTTTGCTATGAAAATTTGTCGACACGATGAAATGAAAATATTTGGACAAGATCATACATACACGCTATTTTTCGGACGATCAAAAGAATTTCCACACTTTTCTTTCTGGTTGCCTACATTTTCCCAAAGAGACTATGTAAACATATCAAACAGATTCAAATTAAAATAATTGCAATTGAAGCTATAAAAGTTTTAATTTGGTTTATTAATTGCATTAGAATCCCCACTGTGATTTATTTTCTAATTGGAAACATCTTTAATTTACTTGATGTGCTGATAGAAAAGTCTCACATAAATCAGTCATGAAAAATATTTACACAGCAGCATAGATCGTTAAAAAGGTGCGAATTTTTCCACTCTACGCGCTTTTTGAAGATACATTTTTTATGAGATATGATTTATTGGTAGGGCTGGGGATTGTATGTTTTGAGAGTTTCAATGTCGAACAGGAAGCTTTGGTTTAGGTCGTTGGTTCATCAACATTCGAGACATGTGAATTTGAGATTTGAATCATATGAAAACGTTTAATTAAATTTTATGGTATTTAGGTCTGAGACAAGAACATAGCCTTGGGAAGGTTTAACCCTCTCGACAGGATATTTTCTTAAAATGTTTGATTTTTTTAAAAAAGAACTCCCACCCCCTCATTTCTCTAGATTTTTCAGTCCATTGAAAATCAATCCAACCTCAAAAATCTATAGCTACGATTCTCTTCTGAGAGTTTGTGACTTTATAAAACTGAAGAAAAATTAATGTCAAATTGGAGAGAAGTGATTAATAGGATTTCATAAAGTTAAACGGACGTTCTTTGTTATAAATCTTGTGAACCGAAATTTTTGTAATCATAAGCTAGTTTCTAGAGTAAACCTCTTTCAAATCAGGGTTTAAACTAGCATTTACCCGAAAAATCAGATCCAGAATAATTTTAAGCTAGTTTAAGAACACTCAAATGTCTCTAATATTTAAAAACTTACAGTAACTTTGCAGACCCTTGTAGACTGAAGAACATTTGAATGTAAATGCGTATAAATTTCTTACTTCCAAAAGTTTCCACCTCCTGCCTATTTCTCCACATGACATTTATTTGATTTAAAAGAAAATTGAAAGGAAACAGAATTGATCACAAATTATTTCACATGACTACCTCAATGAATCAACCTCAAATAGATTTTTATTACATTTTCACTGTATCGGTAAATATTAATAGATTGAAATGTTTAATCCCATGAGATTTGTTAATCTTTGCAGCAAATAAAGTTTTATCAACTCAATGTTAATTGATTTTAACAAGAAAAAAATTTGAAAAATATTAAGTTCAGTCTTTCTTCTGCTGAATATGGGCATGAAAATTGATTACTTCAATATTTTATTTATTTTTTATTAGGCTGAGCTGAAGTTAAAGGAAATTTAATGAGGTATGACAAATATGAAGTTCATATTATGTTTACAATATTATCACATGTTCTCATTTGTTAATACATAGCTATAAAAATACACAGACACATTCCTGAAAATATACTCACAATGTTTTTTAAGTTGAGCATCACAGCAGCATGATCTAATATTCATCACTTGCTGAATAATTGATACACAAAAAAATTATTTCAATTGTAATACTGCAGTAATAGCTTCACTTACCAGGCATGAGCCTAACGATGGATAACATCGATCATAATTTATGTAGCATTCATGTGGAATGAAATAGAGTTGTTCTGAAAGCAAATGAAGTCAAATTGAATTAAATCGGAAATTGATATTTGATCTTATTGCAATTTGACATTCTCAGATTTATCTCTGTTGTGGCTGCTTAACAGCCGTGAAGGTTAAGTAAACCACAAAAATCAATAAGTCGATAATAATTGCTGCATAAAAGAATAATTTTCCCTAATTAAAGTCGAATGATTTATATAAGTTTTGTGAGATTTTATGGAAAATGTACAGCCAGTGTCACGGTCAGCAGTGGAATTTATTACAGATATTTTCAAGGTAGCTTGAATGAATTTTGCAACAGTTACAGCTACAATAGTTTTAAAGACAAAAGAAGCATTTTATACAGCAACTATCATTCAGAATTGATAACGTGCATTTGCATTTGCATGCATTAAATTGATTTTAATTAGATTTATGCTCCTACCTTCATATTCCAGCCTGTCTAACAATCGCAAATGCATTTAGGCAATAATTCACTAAATTGAGTGAACAATTCTTTAATTCTTTTATATTGTTCTTTTAATTGACTTGATTTAATCTGCGAACAATTGAAAGAAAGAAAGTTTGTGGAATGAAAAGTCTGTTCCATTTTTTTTATTATTTTAGAAGAAGAAGGCAGAGTAGAATAAATAAGAGCTAAATCAATCAGATAATGCAAATGATTATGCATAAAATTTCAAGCTTCAGTGTTCTTTCTAATGGATGTACATTTGAGAGATCTTAGTAAAGTATGGGTGCGGCTTTTTATCGATTTGTACGTTATGCTTACCTTTCTGATGACTTTGATTACAGCAACAATGATCTTTGAGAAGTTCACTACTGTAACAATATCGATGATGTTCTTCTGTGCATGGCTTGCAGTGTGCAGGACTTTGAAAATCATCATTTGACATTCTGTTTAAACTCTCGCGTGCCTGTTTTTCCGTTATTTCATGATCTTTATAATATTCAACAACGGTCGACTGAGACTTATCACTTTGAGAATTTATTGCACTCGCACTAAGTGCACAAACTTGATCACATCTGAGTAACATAATAAATAAAACTAATATTCCGGTGACTATTTTCAGATAACACATTTTCTTCAGCATTAATGATTAGATTTGAAGTTTTTTCTTTGGTCATGAAGTTGGTGAAACTTGTTAGATTGGTAAACAGCTACTATCCACTTCTGAAGTGTTTAGAAACTGAAAAAAAAAATTGAAAATTTGTGTGAATATGATATAAGAGAAGAATACGAATTAGTGCACAATGAATGAGCAAGGTTTGCTTGAACTGTGTGTCTTTCAAAAATTTTAATTTAAAAACCAGTGTTGCATTCTGGCCATTTGTCTAGATCAGATAAATTCTGAGACAGAAATTTCTTCATAAAGATCGATTCTACATGAAGATAGAAAATCTAATCTACACAAAGATTATTTCTACATAAAGAATCTGTCTACATAAAGATTCGATGTAGATGTCTACAATTCTACATTATTCTCTGATGTAGACCTGGAAAAAATGTAGAATTGTAGACATCTACATCGAATCTTTATGTAGACAGATTCTTTATGTAGAAATAATCTTTGTGTAGATTAGATTTTCTATCTTCATATAGAATCGATCTTTATGAAGAAAGTTTCTTAGCTAGACAAAAACTATTGAAAAATCTACATTCTTCATCTAGTGTAGACATCTACATTTGCAACACTGTAAAAAACTTGAACCAAACTAACATGACTTTTCATCAAATTGTTTCTTTCTTACCAAAAAATAGCAAATTTATGAACAATTTAATTTGAAATAATAATTAAAAAGTTCACTACCGAACCAAAATGTTTATCAGACCCAGTTATAAAGGAAGGAAGATTTATGAGCATGCTTTTGGCATTGAGCACTCAAAATAATTCTCTAAACTATTATTTACAAGACTCAATCAGTAAGTGCATAAAAAGATCTTGAATTATTCTATTTTTAAAAACACTTTTTAGCACATATTCTTAATTTATTTGAAAGTAAATCAAAATGTTTCGATTAATGGATTGTTTATTTTCCAGTTTTCTCCATGGTTTTTAAATATTGCACCTTTTCCTACACACAGCACAAGCAGGCACTTTTAAAACGAAAAAAAAAAAACTTAAATAAACATTCATACGAAAAGCAATTAATGAGTCATTTCAGAAAGTATGTTTGGAATCTAATTGATTTTTGATTACATTTTTTTGCGAATAAGAACGATAAGAATCTTAAATTGTAAATTATATGCTGTTTTATAGCACGGTGTTAAAAAGGAACAAACGGTCAATCTTCTTTTTCACTTCCTCGTGTTAAACACTTACTTTTATATGCCATGCCATGCAAAAAAAAGGTATAACATCCCCTTTGAATATTAAAATTATGTTGAACTGGTTTATGACGCAGAAGTAATCGAGGGAAATTTTTGTGATTCAAACTGTTATGTTATATACGTCGCGTAGTCTTGGTGCATGTCCTTTCTTTCACGCTATTGCGTTTAATGTTGAAAACATACGAATTTTATTGATTTTTTATGTCTTCTCTTGTTTCCTCAAAACACAATCTTTCACAACTTTAACATTATTCCAACTGATTGAGGCTAACAACTGAATCAATATTCGGTGTATTGATAGCGAGCATGTTATCACTAATGTTACTTTTGCGAAACCTAATTATAGTATGTATTTTGATAAATGTGAGTCGATAGAGTCATCAGATAATGAGCTTTCTTTATTTAGTTGACTTTTTACACTCGTGCATTATGCTTGCTACGGAAATTTCTTAATGTTTGTTCCCCAAATTTGCATAAGAATAAGGCATACAATTTTGAGCTACGCTGATTATTATCTTACTCAACGATTATAGTTTAATAAATTCTTTATTCACATTTAGCGGTGCGCACATCATCAATGTAATATTATTAATTGCATTAGAGTACATCCAATAAATAAATTGCGATTGTGATAAGAATTCATTATTAGTCGTCTTACAAAACTCACACATCAATGCACAATCAATCGCGATTGATAGAGCGAACTTACTTCTTAAAACGATTTTTAGACAACGACACATGACAACTTATCACTCAATTTCACATATAGGTATCTAAATGTTAATTACACTTTTCACGAAACTATTTTTAAAGACATTCTGTTGGGAAAACAGAGTGCATGCAAATGTCTATGAGCGATGAAGGAGAAAACATGAATGAACGTAGAATCGTAAAAATTTTCTCTCTCATTTTGAGGGTTCGTTGTTGTTTGGCTGACTATTGCAAATCTTATGTTTGCTGGTATATCCATCATAGCTTAAAATATTTTTTGTGGCTGAATTTTGTGATATAATCAATGATTATCGACATTATTTAACTTGTTTATTCAAAAATAATAAGAATTGAGAAATTTTTTTGAGAAAATTCAGTCAGTTCCATAAAGAGTCAAATACTCATTTAAGAGGAACTGAATTTATAAAACCTTCGTACCCTCGATTTTTTGAAAAGAATTTGTGAATGAAATTTCCACTTTTAAAGTGTTAAGAATGGATAAATCAAGTTGAATATTAATTAAAGTTGTCCATAATGTCGATAAAAGTTGGATGTGCATCGTGTAATTGATTGTTTTTGTGAATTTATAAGCATAATTTTCAAATTATTACAAATTGCATAATTATTTTTTTTTACAAAACAATAAATCGAAGAAAAAGAAAAGGAGAGAGAAAATAGTGAGGAATAAAAAAAAAGATTCACTTTTATTTCTAAGAAAAGTTTTGTAATAATAAGAAAATCGCCGTCATTACACAGAATCGAGAGTGTAAAACAAATAAAGTTAATATATTGCTGAAAATACAGAAAATATTCAAAGGAAGAGTGAAAAAGGAAATGATTTGATGAAGAAAATGTCTCGAATTAAGGTAATTACAGCATTTTTACATTAGTCTAATTGAACTAGACCTCCAATTTTCATGTACACATTGTATGCATAGGCAAAATATAGAGAAAATTAAGTAAGTTCAAGGTCTGTAGATTTCCTACATGCGAAAAAACATAATAAAATAAAATATCAAATTGCATTCTGTAAGCTATAAACTCGGAAATATAGCGATAATGTTCTTATCAGCAATGTCAATACGAAAAATTCTTGTATATTTTTGTTATAAAAATAGCTTTATTGCAATTTGATCCCTTACGTTCATTTCATTTTTTGTTTACTACTAACTCAAGATTCTGGAGCAATGAGCTTCTGCCCCTTAATATTTTAGTATTGTATGCTAGAAACTCGTGAAAGGGGCGTATCGTGAGTATAAAGTGCTTAGGATAAAATGTTTAAAAAAATCAATTCAAAACAAAAAATTTAAGAATAGGGGGGAGATGGGATACGATCCCCACTCGAGTCGTTTAAAAATGACGTACAAAAGTAGCTGTCATCTTCCAAAAAAAAAGGCTATAGAATTCAAAGAGCCCCCATTATGACGTTATAAATAATTGATCTGATTTACTCCAACCCTAACTCCATCACTGTAAAAAAAATGCAATTTGTTGGATATGACTTGGCGCACGCGAAGAGATTTTCACCTCGCTTTATGATATTACATATTATTCATGGAAGTAAGAGTGCAATGTTTGCAATTTGTTCTAGAAAAAAAAAAGTTTTACTTATGAATCACATATTTTGTGCTGCTTCCTCTCCTTCATTCGTGCACAATCTAATGAAAATTGCATAAATGTTGTGCAATAAACCTGATTATATAAAAAGTGTAATTCAAGTAAATTTATTGTATGTATTACCATCATTATCAGCATCTAGTTTTTATTTTTTCTTTTATTAATAAAAATTGATTTATAATATGAATGCACACAATGCGATAAATTGTTAAATTGAAATATATTATCTGTGAGTGTATGTATATAAAGATCCAGGCTTTCCTCTCTCACCGAAGGAACTTTTTGAAGACATTTTAAAGCTTATTAAATATAAACATTTAAGCACCAACAACAACAATGATCAGATTATATTTTATTTAATAAGCACAAGAAACAATAAGAGAGATTAAGAGCTCGTTCAGGTGTGTTTAGGTTGTTCTATCTTCTTTACTATATACATAGAATACGTTGCCGGTGTATTTATGCATGCGAGTATTCTTATAAGTCTCACTCTCTTTCTCACCACCACCACAGAGAGATATAATGCCGTCAGTCAATATTGCTACACATTATACACTTTATTCACATGTTGTGGTGTGTAGAATCAATTGCTGGCTATACTACTGACTCAAATTAACGATCAGTTTGAGTATCAAAGCGCTGAAATCCTTTTTATTAGTTTTTCTCTGCTTAATTTTCTGCATTACTCGTTCGTCATTCCTGTTCAATGATAATGGATCAGTTGTGGACAATTGTGTGTGTGTGTGTGTGTGTGCACGATCAATTATTATATAGTGGCAGTAAAGTTTATGTACAAGAAATAAGAGAATTATTTTTGCGAGTACAGAACATAGTGTGTATAACATACAATCGAAATACACAGTCAGAGCCGGTCGAACGCGAATAAAAAAAGCTCTAGGAACGCTTTATAATTTTTTGTGTTTTCTCACTCGTTTTCATTTTCATTCTACAGTAATATTATTTCAAACCATCATCGTCGTCATATACAATATATATAATATTTGTGTAATACATAAATTTGTGTGTCAGTTGGATTTGGAGTCTCATGCACGAAACACAGCTCGCAAAATTCGCAACTCGCGAATAATAAAATAAATTTTTTTAATTTTATTTAATTTTTGTTCCTTTTTGTTTCTGTTTGATGATCTAAAAATAATAAGAAAGAAATAGAAGAGAATTAATGAACAAAAAGGAGAAATTTTTTAAATTTGTTTAATAAATAATAAAAATTTGTGTATATTTACAAATACCGCAAGACTGCTGCTGCTGATGTTTAGTGATTAAATTAGAATTTTAAACGTGTGTGTGATCCTCAAAAAGTGTTTCGTTCCTAGTGGATATTGATAAAAATCAACTTCGCACCTTAAAACTTGAGCAATAAATTAAAATTGAGAAATTAAATCAAGTCATAAAACATAAAAGATTAATTAGTTGAAGGTGTTGCAAGCTTCTGTAAAAAATTAAGGAGTTTTGTAGCTTAAAATCCTTTAATCGATCATTTTTAACTTTCTGGATGTCGACAAATGCATTCGTAAAAAGTGATGATGATGTTTTAATTTAAACTTAATGTGATTTTTTTTCCTTTGAGGCAAAACGAATCTCCGGGTTTTTGCCAAGAAATTAACAACAAAAAAGTAATAATAATTATAAAAAAGGAAAGAAGCACAGGAACAATCATAAAAAAAAAGATTTTAATCATTTAACAATTGTTATAATTAGTGGAGGCAATAAAAATTTAACTAAAGAATTGCATTATTGCTGAAATAAGCCCCCAAGAAATATGATGGACTGTTGGATGCACGAAGTGGTACGTTTTATTACTTTTATATTCATTTTATGGATCCTTTAGCCATTAAAATAATTACTGATCAATAAAATCGTGTTAATTGCAATTCTGTCGGCTTGAAATAAAAAAATAAAAATCATCCATCAAGTTTTAAGCAGTCATGCACTGCAAAAGGAGAAAAAAACAATGATGAGATCACATCGAGTGAAATATTTGAATATATCTGTATGAATAGCATTTGTGCATCATCTTTTGTTCAATTTCTATTCTGTTGTAAGCTTAATTGCGTTATGTAAGCGGAACTTGCGAAATAATCAAATGCAAAACTTCTTCGTAGTTTTATTCTAATTAATGTGAGGGTAATAACAATTTTTGGATAGGGGTTGTGCACTTGTGATGTCTTACATTGAGTAGAACATTAAAGATTGGGGGTCCTATTTAAGAGGATCATTTAAAAATTATGTTTTCAATTGACATTCAATTTTCATATTTAACAGACGTCATTTAAGAATAACTCAACTAGGGTCATTCGTTTGCTATTTCAGTACAAATTCTTCAGGGAGTTAATATGAATAAGTCATGAGAATTTTAGGAATGAATTTTTTGTTATCAAATTACATCATTATTCACGAATTTGTATTTAACAGCCTGAACGAATCAGGACTTTCTTTCGCAGCAAGAAAATATTTTCAAGTTCATGTTTTTCTATTGACTGCATTTCTCTGTGAAATTGCAATTTTTCATGCTGTGTTTGGAAATACTTTTTTTCATTTGAAGCTAATTTCCTTATCAACTGTATTGGATTTTTGAGTTCAGAGTTGGAATTTTCTAATCAGCTGTAAATTTTCCATAGCATGTGTAATTCTAGATTTTATTCTACAGCCATGATTCTAGTCTTTATTTTCGACATATACGGAAAATGTAACTTTATTATCAGTTCTTTTGTAAATTAATTGCATGCTTGTTAATCTATCATTTTACGCAGTTGATTTTCATCACACAATTGAGACAAAAAAAATATTCGCTTAGTTCTCAATCAAGTTAGACTGTGAAGCGTTCTAAGCATATTTTGTTGTTTTAGGTTTAATATTCTCATATTTTTTTTGACTAATTATTCGTTCTTCTACCTTGTATTTATCTTCTCAAAACATACCTTAGCTTTTACGAAAAGTAAATAAATTGCGTTAATCATTCATTTCCCCCGCAAAAATTCAATCGTTAGTCGCTCATTTAACTTACAAGAATGCCTTCCTCAAGATAAATTGAATTATTGGAAATTTGAATTTAAATTGTTTGGCATTTTTTATGATGTTTGTTAATAGATATGTATGAAGCTTACTATTTTATGGATTTTCGTCCTATTTGTCTGGATTTTAAGGCTCTTAAAGGAACTTTGGAAATTAATTTTGTCACTTTACCAAAACATTGATTCTTGTTTCTAGGCAAGCTCAGCTCTTTGCAAATAAATCAATAAATTAAAAATATTATTTTGCATGGACAGTCTATGATAAAGTGTATCGAAAATAATGTAGAATATTTTTCTAAAACCTTGATAAAAATAAAGCCAGAAAGTTTTTGAAATGGTGTATTCGTAGGTTTGATACTTTAAGGCTTTTATTTTTTTTTTCAAACTATTATTATTAGATTAAATCATGTATTAGAGTAAATCAATTTTTAAACATTGACACTACTTGAAATGCTTCTAGCTGACAAACTTTTAGAACAAATTAAGTTGAAGTCTATTCGAAGTTTCTTGAACCTACCACTGAGCTATCAGAGATTGACAATACGGTCAAATTCCTTATATAAAAGCAATCGAACAGGACACTTTCATGAAACAAAACACTTATTAAATTCCAGCCACTTTAAAAATTACACAAAATTATATTTTCAATGCATTGCCATTTTTAAATATTGACAGAACATCACAACAATTCTAATTCAATCCTGATCATTGTCCATATTTATCATTTTGTTCGAGTTCTTAAATTTGAATCAAAATTTTTTTTGAAAACATTCAACATTTCGTAAAAATGCGCTCACTGATCTTACCTGAGTTTGCTCTTTATACTAGTTCTTTCGCGAAAAAACAAATCATCAAGTGTACTTAAGAAAAGCAAAAAAAAAATAAAGAAATGAAATATTCATTTTTTAATTCTCTTGTTTCTAATCGTTTTTCTGTTAATGATCTTCTGAAGAGAAGTTTTTCGCTTTCTGCAGCTTTTATTAGCATGAAATATGTTTTTTTACTCATCTAATGGAGATGTATGCACTTTTTTGATGTTCATCAAGTGCTGAATCTGCAACTCATAAGCACATTCTTATATATGCCATTCAATTCAATTCATTTTGCTTATTACTTTTCAATGATTTCTGCTCTGTGTTCATGAAGGAACACAAAAAAAATTAAGAATCGACAGAAGAGATCTCTCTTGCTATTCAAAATATCAAAAAGGCAAGAATATATAAAAAGAAACGCGAAAGCAAAAGTCAATCGTGTAAAAAAATATTTCTTCTGTCTCTCTACTCTTTTCTTCTTGTAAAGAACGACTTTAACAATAAATATGAAAAGAGTATACATACGCTGGCACTGACTGATTTTTTTTTTGTTTTTGTTGCTTTCAAGAGAGAGGAAAAAGAATGAAATTTTCAATTTTTTTTTTGTACTTTTGCGATGAGCGACAGGCGAAATGACATGTCATTATTGTTATATGTATACATATATACATAACAAATAATTTTTTTATTCATTTATTAAAAAATTATAATTCTCTTTTTCCATCGTCATCATCATCATTAGTATACATATGTATAAATTTGTCTTGAGCCAGTGAGTATCATTCGTACATCAATATTTTAATTCCTTTCCATTTTACAACCAAATTTTCAATCAGCAACTCATAAACAAACATACAAATAGAAATTCTCAAGAGGTTTAGGGATTTATTCAGTTATGATGTTCAATATCTTTGGGGGCTGAGGAGTCTGAAAACTACATGAATTGAATGACATTATAAGTAAACGTTTCTTAAGGATCAAGACTTGAACAAAAAAAAATCATGTTCTAAACTTAGTTTCCATTTGAATTACAATCTTAAGAAGGGTTCTGATCCCCAAAAATTACATTCTTTTGACTACACTCATGTTTGGAATAATTCCTATTGAATTTAAAACTTAATGTATTATTTTAATTTTAAAGATGGAAGTGACTTTAATAACATAGTGTAAATCTAGCCAAAACCAATTGAACTGCTATCACACTTCCTAGAAAAGTAAAAAACTCATCATAGTCTTTCCATTTTTTATCACATTACTAATGAATACCACCTTTTAGGTAATTACGACTCAAATGAAAGTGGTCATAGACTTCTAATTTGAATCAATATTAGTACGATTCAGGCCTAAAGATAAATGAAATCGTAAATTGTTTTGAATTTTCAAGAACATGCCTAATTGCTGAATGTAAAAAGGTATGAGATCATACACAACTAATTGTCGAGAAATTCCTTCAACGAGAGTTATTAAAAGAAATTCTTTGACTTATTGACTTCAAGCTTAATATATTGTTGTATAATACCAGATTAAATTTCGGAATTACCAATAAACAGACAGTGTAGACGAAAATCACTAAAGTATTCATTTCCACGAACATATTTATTGTCTAATATCGCACACGATCGAAATTAGATAGCGAAATGTTTTGGTATATTTATAAGTATGTTAAACGTGAATTAGCTATCATAAAGCATGAGGTGTGAGACCCCAACAAGCCGTGATTATCATAATAATTTCTCTGTTTAATTGTATGTATTTTTTTAGTGTTCGACATTAATATTTTACATTAGCGTACCTATAAAATGAATGTATAATGCCAGAAATCGACATTAGAATATTTCTTAAAATGAGATTTTGTAGCTATGAAAAATCATTAATAATCGTTAAAATAATCGTTGTTTTGGTTAAAGGCAAATTAATTAGAATTTGGTCATATGCAATGAGCTATTCATGAATGTATTAAATCAAAAATTCTCATTTATAATATCCAGACGATTTTTTTTTGTAAAACGTATTTCAACACACCGTGAAACATCAGCCAAACAGCCAAAAAGTAATGAACAACAAAAAAATAAATAAGAACTAATATAATGTGTGAAAAAATCGATGTAATCCAGTCTACTCAATTGTAAGCAATTTGTTTTAAATGATAGGAAACGTTCTCGAATATTTTTTCACGCTTTAAGGCTCATGATAACTTGAAACTTTTATTTTTGTTCTTGCGAATTGAGACCTTGAAACCTTATGGATTTCATATATGTAATGTAGACTAACTGACTCAACTATTGTTTCTTATAACATGACGTCATCTCATTCATTCTATTAATGCATTTATTCATGAAATGTTAACACGGTTTGATGAGTACACAATATCTGCTATATATCATCCTATATTACTTTAACTTAATTCTTCTAAGATGATTCGCAGTGTCGTTTGCCATTTTGTCTGAGTGAGGTTAGGTTAGATTGAGTTTTTGTTGGTTGATCAATCTAAGTGTTGTATCTTTTTATTCTGTGTTCGGAACCTGATGTCTGGTTATATCTATAATTCTAGTATCTAGAACTTCGATGTATCATCGGATATCGCAATGGTTTGTCATGAGAATTGTGTGCAACACTTGTAAGAGATCGTCCTTGGTAGGAATTGAACTCATGAGTTCAACAAAGTCGGCATTAAATACTCAAACAGTTTATTAACCACTTATTCACAGATTATGCAGGTTCGCCTATATAATGATCAATACTTTAGATTCAACTCTGCTCCTAAACCAAACCAGACTTACGGAAACATTCGTTCAATCATTGTTTTATTAATATTTGATGTCAGATCCTAGAATCGCATGTCTAATTCCTTAATAAAAGTGAATAGTAAATCTAAACCCAGCAACAATGCACAACCAAACGACAAAAGTTCTGAACGAGTTTCGCTGAATCTCTTCTATAAAATTTCATTAATCAAACAGTCTCATGTTTAGGATATTCAAGCACAAAAAAAATATTCATTCTGTTTTATTCGCTAGACGAATTGTGAAACATGAAAACTAACAACGACAATGGCATTTTTTTCTGAGATTGTACAAGCAAAGTTTCATGTCTGTCTCTTTTTATTTCTTTCTCTTATATATTCTTCCAGGTAGACAAAAATAGAGCGATGTCTATAATAATTCTGACTGAGAAAAAAAAAAGATCTTCATCGCTCGTGTGGAATTATTTAAAATAATAATGTAATATAATTGCCGAGTCGGATTTTCAGTCACTTTTTTTGTAATTGCTATATTGATAGGAATCTTTTTTACACTCCATTGATTTCTTACTTTGATGACTAAACACAAATTTGTTACTTCTTTTGATGAACGTCGCTAGAACTGCTGCTGCTCACTTATATTTTATTTTTTTTTCATTCCTCAATGAAATCTGCAAAAATTAATCGAAAAAAATTGCTTCAGAAATCAATTTAAAAGAAGCAGGAGAAAAAAAAATTGTGAGTGGACGCTTTGATGACGATGAGGATTTTAAGAACCTAATTTTGAGCACAATCATCACTTAGTCAATAGGTGGCAATCTACAGTCGAAATTCAATCAGATTAAAATCTATTTCAATTACTTTTGTATGTAAAAGCCAATAAAATTAATGAAAATATAAGCGATGAAGATAGGGACCTTGGGGTTTGTGAGTAAGTGATGTCTTTAAAAAAGGAATTGATTCTCTGCATCTTTTTTAACAAAGCTTTTACTAATTGAACGAGTCCGGGTTCGCTAAACTACCTGATCAATCTAGTTCTACAGTTTATTGTGGGATTAGAACCACAAACTTGATCACATCGTTGCCTGGTACTTATAAAGGAAGACTAAAACATTTAAATACAGTTCAATTAAATCTAAATTATGATTTGTGAAAAAATTTTGCTTACCGAGTCTCGAACCAACAAACGCTGAGTAATTAACATAGCTCACATGATTTAGTTAAAGCTTGTTGATTGTATTGTAAAGCTAGATAAGTTACATATTATGAGAGGTTAGATCTAAATTGATCATTTTTGCTGCTATGCTGCATCCAAACGATCTCTTATTCTATCAACCAATCAAAGTAATAAAGCTATCACAACGTAAAAGAAAAGATGCTCCTGAACTCAAGGATAAACATCACTTCCGAACAACACCATGTCTGCATGAAGATTTCTTCAAAGAGCCATGGAAAAAAAATTTTTTTTTTCGCGAATATATTTCAATATGTTGCGATGTCTATTAAGAATTCTTTTTCAATCTATTCTATGTACCACTCTACCTTATGTATTGCGTAAATCTTATGGAGATTTATTTTTATTAACATCCCATTTTTTTTCGTATTTATATGGCTCGGTTGAGTTTTATATGGAATGGAATTTCTTTTTCTTCTTTTTTCTCATTCCCATATTAATTCGCTTAGTACAGCAACGATGTATACTGAACAAGAGATTCCAAAATACTTTTTTACTACATAAATAAATAAGTAGATGGGAAGGTAGGAGAAAAGAAGAAAGATATTGAGTAACTAAATGTCTGGTAAACACTCTCGCTTTTATTTTACATACACTTCCATTCATTCTCATTAATGCTATTTCATGTGGTGTAAAAATTTATTATTTTTTCATTCTAAACATTGGAAGTGAAGTTGCTGAATTTTCTAATATTGCTTTGGACAAGGTATCGAAACTGATCAGTCAGGTTTACTTAAAATTTGGAAATTTAAAACTTTTTTGATCAAATTTTGATTCATTTTAAGTGCACTTGATTAATTTTAGTCTAAAGTTTTAATCAGTTTCCAACCCTTGTCTATGAACGTCCACAACTAGTGATTTTCTAGCTAATGATCCTTATGATGACGATATGAGAAGTTCCTTAAATATCAAATTAAAGTAAATTAGCTTTTAAATGCTTCGTTTTCATTTTTTTCCATTATTTACATCAGAATAAAAAAAATTACAGAACAGCAAAACCAGTAAATATGTACGAAAAAAAATAACATAAAACTCACTTCTATTGTTCTCGTGGATAATTTTGATTATCTGTAATTTATTTTAATTTCCCATTTCATGATCACAGTAATAATATTAGCAACAAACCGAAAAGCAAAAATCATACATACATAAATAAATAACCGTGCAGTTTTCATGGCAATAGCAACTGCTTGAGCAACAAAAAAAACTTATAATCATACTCGGTAGTCGGATATTCTTTTTAATGATTTTTAAAAGTCGGCGAATTCTTTTTCGTATAAACAAGTTTTTGAGATGTCCAAATCTACGTCATCATAATCATCAAATTGTGAATAATCGCCGGGACCAGAAACTTTTGGTACGAATGGTGCCATAATTTCTTGATTATATAGTTGAATCCAATTCATATCATTAAACCACGGATGTTGTTTTATGTCGTCTGTGCCGTTCTTAAGGTTTCCAAATCTTCGTGTCAAGTCAATTTGCAAAATATTCTCAATGAGATTTCTCAAGTCATTGCCTACAGTCATTGGAATTTTGAATTTACCGATGCATATACGTTCCATTAATTGCATTTGTCCTGGATTACCGACTGCAAACGGTGAAAAGCCACATGACATTTCGAAAATCAATACACCATATGACCACCAATCAGCTGAAACTCCATATCCTTTGTTCTGTATGACTTCAGGTGCAAGGTACTCTGGTGTTCCACACAAAGTGTATGTACGATCCTTAATTGGCTTACAAAACCCAAAATCAGTAATCTTTACAAAACCTTTATAGTCAATCATTATGTTTTCTGGCTTCAAATCTCGATAAATCAATCCAATTTTATGAATATATTCTAGACCCATAAAGACTTGTGCTGCATAAAATTTCGATAATTTTTCCTCAAACTTTTTTCGTCTGTAAATAATTTTGTTGTTATTATTATTATTATTCTTACACGTGATTATTGATTCTCAATTTACAATATTCTTACTTACTTTCGCAAGTGAGTAAACATTTCACCACCGTTAATAAATGGCATACAAAAGTAGAGATAACTGTTATCCTTGAATGCAAAATCTAGATAAACAACGAATGGAAAATTCAAAGATTGCAAAATTTTCTTTTCATTTAAGCAATGAACAATCTGTTTAGTCTTAACAACTCGCCTCTTGCTGATGATTTTCATTGCGTAGAATTTATCGTTCTCTTTGTGTTTTACTAGTTTCTGGAAATAATTTAATAATCGTTACGTTAGGTGTTTATGATTTGGAAATATTCATACTTTGCGTTTATGAACAGACACTGAGTCGAGGGGATTGTTTACTAATCTTAAAAGATATTTTTTAAATATATAGGATGGGTACCAACTTTACATGCTGTATTTTTTAAAAACTTTAACATCTGACTTAATTAATCATGGATTTTCTGATTCCATTTATGATTATCGAGCAAGTCGTTTAAAAATACTAAAGATCACATATTAATTATACTTACAACAACACCAAAAGCTCCCTGTCCCAAAATTGTCATAAACTTGAAATCATGCAATCGATCACTCGGCTCTGATAATTTATTTTGATTGTATTTTTCAAGAAACTCATTCTTTAAACTTTCTATGAATTTATTCAAGTCCTCATTGCTTGTTATTTTGATATCGGCATTTGATTTTGTTGCCATTGTCAAAGAGTTTCGTGATGAGGCAAGAGCCGTGGTCATTACTATAAAAATTCTTTAATTATGCCTTTTCTAAGAAGAAAAAATAGTAAGTTTTAAAGCAAACTATGATTGTGTGAAAAGAATAATTAAGAAGAAATTCTTATAGAAAATAAAATTATTTTATTGATCAAGTTCTTTAGGAGTCATAAACTGTTAACTTAGTCATTCTTATAAAAAATCTCATTTGAATGGATATAACTGAAAATGGATCTTAAATTGAATGTATATATTATGAGAAATAAAGAAAATTTGCGCGCATTATAAGAAGCCTCATAAAAAATAAGCTATAAGTGAAGCGATACTGACGAGAGAAGCAAAATAAACGTAAAATTAGTCTTCTTAGCTACGATTGTCGATTTCTATCTTCTGGCAATTCGGGGATTTCCTTAGACTAAATCGTAAACACAACTACTAATGGCGTGGAGTAAGAAAAGAGACATTGATAGATATATAAATGTCGAATATTTCATTAATGTATATTCTGCTTGAAAATTGAGGTTGTTTTTAAGTTCCGTCTGTCGGTAGATTAAATTACCAAAAAGCAACTCCACTGTGTGTCTGAAGAATTTTAGAATTAAAGTGTCAAATTGATAAAATTGTGGATATTTCTATTTCCTTAAAGATTTGAAGGGACCGTGACACAAAGTTTTAGAACAACTGGTCTATAACCTTACTATTGCATATCAACTACCCTTCTCCTCTGTTAAAAATTTTTTTCAAGCTATACCAATACTAGACGTCATTTAAGATCGACTCCCAATTTATAAACGAGCTAGCTGGAATAGCTTATTGTGTCAAATTTTTCATTATTATGTAATATATGTTCTATAGAATATTTTTTCAATTCTTTTTTTGCATTTTTCTGCTTCGTTTTCTTCTGCAATTTCGTACGAACTCATTGAATTTCTATGGAAATGATGAAACAATGGCAAAAGCAGAAAAAGGGAAAGAAACAAAATAATATAATAATATAAGGAAAGAAAATTTATTGCATGAATTTTTAGAATTTTAATTACACTTATATTACTTGTCATAAAAGCCAGACTACGACGGTTTCTTCTTCATCGTCGTACCGACTAACGAAAAAAAAGAAAAAAATACTGAATAAGAACAAGACTTGTTTGGTATATCGGAAGTTTGTAATTGTGAGGTTTTCTTCTTTGCAATCGTCTATTTCCACGGTGTTTTCTTCTCCTTTTGACTCTTATAAAATTAGAAACACTGAAAAATTGTGTGTAACTCATCTATTCCTTCTCCAGACGTTCATTATAGTCACTCTTTTATTAAGTTAATTTCTGCTGTTCTTATGTTGAGGAGAGACGACGTTGCAGACGAAAAAAATAATGAGTATGTGAGTTGCCTAATTGTACAATTAGTTTACTTGCATAATCGTGAACGAAATAGGAATGCACGGATGGATGGATATTCATCATATGGTTTTTTCAATGTCAGATGCATTAAATTAATGTGTGTCAGAATGTGTATGCATAAACTTACTTCTCTTCTCTCTTCTTGTTCCTGAAAATTTCCATACATAAATGAAATTCCTGTTCATCCCGTTTACTTGCTTACTTACTTACTTACATATAAATGTACACACGAATAGACAGCAATGAGAGATAAAACAAAGGAAGTAAGAAGAAAAGAAATCTCTTTTTATTTTATTTTTTTGGTGGGTAACAAGATGCTTCTATTTTTGGAATTATAATTTCATTAGCATTTCTCATGCTATTTTGTGGATTTTTACATTTATTTACTTTCGGTCTCAACTGCTGCCGATTTTCACTCCTTTTTCGTTCTCCTTCCCTTTTTTACGCAAATGATCATCATTTGATACACAAAAGAGCATTAAGAATCGAAGGAGAAGACATAACAAAAGACAAACTAATGTTACAAGAAGCTACCCGGTAACAGAATCGAAGCCATACACATCAGAAATGCAAAAAGATTGTAATTATGTCTTTTAAGAGTAATTTGATTTAATCTCAAACGCTTTTCTAGATGCGAAAATTTTATTATGTTCATTGACAGGGGTGTATGATTATAAAAGACAGGTCTGGGTATGGAGCTTAGGAATATGTTGAATATTAGTGAAATGCAGATGAGAGTATAGTAGGGCAAGAAACTGACTGGATGATTGATAGCTTACTTCAATTTTCTATGCTGACTGGAGTTCAATTCCCATCAGATTTTAAATTTTTTTAATCAATCCTGTATGCTTAATAGATTCGAAATTGTCATGTTGCTCCCTATATTGTTCCGACTAAGTGTCATTCTAAAATGAGGCTGTGCAGAAAAGGTTCATTTATGCTATACTGGAATGCAGTTTTTAGAGCTATTCCTTGATTCTAGAAACTGTAGATGTAGATGCCAGATTTGATCGACTAAACATTAAGTTATCTGGGTCATAAATAAAAATTGACTGTGAAAAGAGCAGGCACTTACTAGAGCTCTTGAAAGCAGACGCTAGATTCAACTGAAACCCTCACTTTTATATTCAGGACTGATTTCTATTGACGGCTATTAAGTTCTAGCTATAATAATTCACAATTAATCTGTATCTGAAATGTAGCGAATCTATTGTAGTCACATTTAACAAGTCCCCAAAATGCGCTTAAAAATTGATTAATAGAACCAATATTTTCTTGTTGCTGTATCAACTCCCCTCGATCATTCGTAGATGTTTAAATGATATCCAACATAGCACCTCAGCAATTGCCTCAACTCTTTGCTTCTTGATGTTGTTTTTATATTCTTTATATTTTTTTTGGGTGCTATTGTTCTCGATTCGCCTTATGATGATGATGATTACGAAAGAAGTTGAAAGCATACGAACGAACAAGAAAGAGAGAGAGAGGAAGAGTAAGAAAAATTCTTAAAGATTATGTAATAATTTTATTGCCATGTGAATCAGTTTATGTAGAACAACAACAACTCGTTGATTCTTCTTCCTCGTTTAAGAAATAAGAATGAGAAGGAATAGAAATAGGAGGTATTAATTTAAAATTAATAAGAAAATAATTGTAATCAGAGACAATAGATAGAGGAATTCCAAGAACAGGAAAAAAAAGTAATAAGCAGTCAGTCCAAACATCAAATCAAAAATTGCTTGCTAGAAATATCAGAATAAGAATACACTTAAAAAAAGTACGAGTATGTACAGTATATAAATAAAAAGTGAACCGTCATTATTTGTGTACTGGAACCATGACAAACAGCAGTATGGCCAAAGAGTGAAGGAAAAAAAAGCGAATCGAGGAATAAAAAGCGAAAATGATATGAAACATATGAAAAAAAAAATACACAAAACAACTCGATGCCACAAATACAACACAACCAGACCTTGAACTTGAACGAGAAATGATGTAAATTTTCTTGATGTATATGAGGCAACTTTTTTCGCTTGCTTGTGTTACTGTTGTTGTGTGTAAATAAAAAAAAGAGAACTTGAATTTTTTTTCGTACATTTCATTAATGTGTGCCTGTATATGCCGTACGAACTGTGGATAGAGAAAGAGAGAATTATTCTTTTGCTTATTTTCTTTAAGCTATTTTTTCTCTCGCTTTGTTTTCAATGTCAAGGCCTAAGCTCCCTCAGCGACGTCAGCTATATGTATGTGCCCGAAAGTGATCACTACAATTGTAATTGATTTTTTTTAAAATTTACATTTGAATAATTTTTCCTTGTCTTCATCTTCAGTGCCTGTGTTTGCTCAATAAGTTGTGTTTTCTCAGTTCTCTTTCCCTCCGTTCTTTCTTCTTGACGACTGGCTGACTGACTGATTGAGTGACTATCTCTTTATACACAAAACAGGATCCTCTACTTTATAAGAATCCTTAACATTTTGAACTATACGAAAGAACTAAGAAAAAGAGTCAAGACAAATGAATTTATTTGTGGAGGCGTTCTTGTCACTCTTAACATTCTTTATTGAGTGGATGAAAGAAGAATTGTTTAAAATTAACAAGCATTTAGTCTTACTTGCCGAGAAAATTGTGTTCTTAAAAAGTATGAAATGAAAGAGATTTAAGATAAGCTGGTGCTGAATGCTTAGAACTTCTGTGCTGGTTCTTGATTTTAATCAATTCTGTTTATGGAAATGGGTGGATTCGCGTATTCTTCTTATTATTTCGTTTCGATGTTGTGTGGATTACTTTTATAAATTATTATTTTTTTTTTTGGATTCTCATTTTATTTTGGCTCAGCAATTTTGATTCTGATGCTACAAAATCAGACTAACATATGAATGGAGACTCAACCAGTGTTGCATTCTGGCTATTTGTCTGGATCAGATAAATTCTGAGACAGAAATTTCTTCATAAAGATCGATTCTACATGTAGAAAGAAAAAAACCATCTACATGTAGATTGTGTCTACATGTAGAATCTGTCTACATGTAGATTTAATGTAGATGTCTACGATTCTACATTCTTCTCTGATGTAGACCTGGAAAAAATGTAGAATTATAGACATCTACATCGAATCTACATGTAGACACAATCTACATGTAGATGGTTTTTTTCTTTCTACATGTAGAATCGATCTTTATGAAGAAAGTTTCTTAGCTAGACAAAAACTATTGAAGAATCTACATTCTTCATCTAGTGTAGACATCTACATTTGCAACACTGGACTCAACATTCAAAATGCTTGTCTAGTAACATGAAATTAAATTTTTTAAATTCATAGTGTTCAAATCTCTTCTGATATGGAATCCATAGTTACTAAATGCAAGCTTCCATTGTCACAGTAAGTAGTCCCTAACCTTCAAGAGAAAAATGAACACTAGCTCACAGAAAATTCCTTTATTTTCTCATTCCCAGCTTTAAAATCCGCAAAACAAGTCATAAACATTCTTGAAACAAATCCAGAATCAGCAGCAAAAAAATAGCATGAGAGTATTTTTTTGTATAAATTCCTATAATAACAGAATCTCAAATTACCTCAATCACGAAAATTACTGACCATATCCGAAAAATGTATACATTTCAGTAGCCACATTTCACAGTCTAGATCTATAATAAATTA